GCATGACGAACTGTTTGCGTTCGCAGCCCCTTCCACTGATGGGGCAATATGATGTGCCGTCGCCTCCCCTGGCACGCTAGTAGGGCCGCTCAATTCTTGAGGACGCAGGACGCAGGACGCACTCAGAGCACAACTGATGGATGTGATGGGCTAGCCGAACCTGCCGCATATGGCAAGGTACCAACCTCATCTCTTGTGCTCGTTGTTTTCCAAGGGGTCTGTCGTGTCCCAAACCTAACAGAAAAATATGAATCGCGAGTATGTTGGAGACGAAGGCTTTCCGCGTCGATTGACATTACCCTTGAGGCACTTTGTGAGGGGGGATGAGTGTTATCGTCGCTCGAGGGGTTTCGAAGGCGAGCTCGTCGGCTAGTCTCGCTTAGCCCATCACCTCCATCAATGGCCTCTGAACGCGTCTTGCGTCCTGCGTCCTCAAGAATTGAGCGGCCCTAGTGGCTGGTCAGAAAAATGTTCCTGTCCACTGCTGGAGCTCAGATGCCGACTGACATGTGCGCCAGATCACCCCGACGCACGACATTGACTTCGTCTGCTACCCGCATGTCCAGCTGACCGGTTTCCGGGCCCGACGCGTATAAAGCAGCTGCCAAGACATGCGGTACGACGAGGGTCCCTCCTTCCTGCTCTTGCTCAGCGTCGGACGCGTACGGTCGTGATGATGGTTCGGTTCACCGTGCTGTTCACATTGGCAAGCTTGCTTCCCGCCTCGTTTGCTAAAATCAAACCTGCGACCTGGCATACGAATGGCACGTACATCAATAACGCGACAACTGTTGCTGCGGACCCGTACGTTCGCTGGGACAAGAGGAGCGGGGCGTACTGGGCGTACAGCACCGAGGGAGCCGACGAGGGTTGGTACTACGGCATTTACACGTCCCCGGACCTCGCGACTTGGACCAAGATCCCTGGAGGCGCCATCAAGAATGATTCTGCGAACATCTGGGCGGAGGACTGGTGGTGGGCGCCTGAGGTCTACTATAACGTGCGTACGCATTCAGAGATCTCAATGGTTGCGGGGCTGTACAGGGCGTGGCGACTTACAGGAGAAGACCGGCTGGTATTTCCTCTTTCATGCCGGCCGCTTCCTCAATGCCACCAAGGTCGCAGAGTACTTCAAGTACCCCGACTTTGAGGAGGCATCCAAAATTGGCGTCGCGGTCTCGCGCTCGCCCCAGGGCCCCTTCGTTGAGATCGCGGACCGCCCGATCGACTACTACCCCTTCGATCCGGACTACGATGACGTAAACCTGATCATGCGGCCCCCATACCTCGTCCCGCCCTCGACGCATGAAGAGGGTAAGTCAGCGCCGAAAGGCACGTACATCCCGAGCATCGATCCGGATGTGTTCTGGGACGACGACGGGAGTATCTGGCTCTTCTTCTCACGGAACGCGTACCGCAACTGGGTCTGGAGCGACGAGTTTGGCAAGTATATCGAGGAGAGCAACATCTACGCCGTGCGCTTGGATAGCGCATGGTGGAACGACCCGCATGCGAAGACGCTTCCGTCCGTACACAGCAGCTTCAAGGACGTGCACAAGGGCGAGCCGAAGAATTGGCAGACGTCGGTGAACTCTTCTTTCCCCGGTCCGACTCGTAAGGATGGCTGGGTCGCGGTCATCTCCTACGCGCTTCAGCCTCAGGTGCGTACTTTCGAGACGCGTTTCTGGTAGCTTGAAACTCAAGACCGGCGGTTATTTAGGCCTGGGAGAACGCGCACGTCAATGATCACGCTGCGAGTGGTGGCACGCTGAAGGACCGTCGCTGGTCCGAAGGCTCGACTACCATCAAGCGCTACGACTCCAGCGGCAACCCAGTATACTATCTCACGTACTCCGCCAACAAGTAAGAGTGCTTTCCTGTGTCTCACATTCAGACGAAAACCCTGACTTCTCACGGAATCAGCTACGAATCGCCCGACTACGGCGTTGGCTACGCCGTAGCAGACAAAGTCTCCGGTCCGTACTACAAGTCCGGCTCGAACCCCGTGCTCTCCCAGGACGCGTCCCGCTCGATCTTCTCGACCGGCCACGGCTCCGTAGTCGCTTCGAGCGCGAACCCCGGCGAGCTCTACTACCCGCACCACGCGCGCCCCTCGCCTGACGACGACCGCTACCTCTACACTGCGCGCCTCTTCGTCGAGCCCGACTCGCTCTACCTCGGCTTCGGGCCCGACGCGGGCGACCTGCGCTTGCCCTCCGGCGTCGCCCCGTTGTCGATCAAGACCGAGGGCGGGCAGAACGGCACGTACGAGGTCGTCGTGAGGAGCGCGTCCGGGGCCAAATTCGACCTGTCGAACCCGATCAACCGCGTTCGCGTCGAGGTCAGCGGCGGGGCGACCGCGCAGGTCAATGGGGGCTTGGTCACCATCGACGGCAACGCGACCGCGAAGTCGAAGGGCAGCTCTACGGTTCGCGTCGTGTACGAGCGCGCGCGCTCGAACGAGACTGCTCCTTGGCTTGCTGTTTCTCAAGCGCGTGGGATCGATGCGGGCGACGTCGTCGATCTGATCATTGATGTCTGAATACTGTAGTCCGATAGAGGGGTTGTACCTTCATGTACCATTCATCCGGACGTCCGTTAATGTGCTCGATCGGGTGGATATGTTATTGCTGTGTATACAATGTTGCATTCGAGTAATACAGCTAAAATTTGGCCGAACATTTACATAGCCGGAAGACGTGTACAGGATATCTCCGAGGATGGGGTATCTCCAAACAGGCTTGACACGAGTGGAACGCAGAAACTCAGGAGTGTGCATTTGGCTCAAGGGATGGGAAGCTGCGGAAGCAGAAAGCGAGGAAGTTTGTGACACCCAAGGAGTCCCTGGCTCTCTCTCTCGGAAGAGCCAATAATGGCATCGTGGCTCCACTGGATGAGTCAAATGCGCCCGTGGTTACCGACAAACGCGTGTTGAATTGAGGCTGCCGGTTGGGTCTGCCAGAAACCTGTGAAGGACGACGACCAGCGAGTGACTGCCAAGATGAAGAGGGTTCTCGCAACTCTGCTTGCGACGAAAGCCGAGAAAATGTTGCCGAGCTGGAAGAGTTTCGCTGGCTAGATCGTCTGCGCAACCCGTTCTGAGAAGACGAAGAAGTCCAGGGATCGACAAACGAGCGCGAACGGGACCGGGAACGAGATCGGGAACGTGAGCGGCCATGAGAGCGAGAGCGGAGATGGGCCTTGGGTTGACTCTGCGAGAGGCGTTGCCCAGAAGACCGCTGCCTGCGACGGGGAGGCACTAGGACATAGGCCATCACGACACGACGCTTGCGAGTCTTAGGCGTGTCTTCCTGGGCGTCTTGACGGGGCGCGTTCTCGGGGACCCGAGGGACAGACTCGCTTGAAAGGTCAGGTTCGTTGGAGGCTCCGGCACTGTTCTGGAGGAGGCAGAAGTCAGAACTGGATGGTTGCAGAGCGCGCGGATCCCTACCAGACGTTGTCGCCCTCGTTTGCTTGTTCCGTGATTGGAAGCGTCCACTGGCACTGCGCGATAACGCGTGTGCTCGACGAGGATGTAGTGGTCTCGTCCTGCTTGAGTGATGTTGAAGAAGGTGTCCTTCCCGTCGCATTTTCGCTTTTTGGGAATAGGTACTTCAAGAGGTTCTTCTTTCACAGCTGGGCTTGCCGGTGTAGTGTTAGGCAACTCAGCTGTAGGACTTGCCACAACAGTGGCTGCCGCCTGCTGACGTCTTCTATATGCCCGTGTGCGCATTGGGGACATGTTGATGGGTGATTGCAGACGGACTGTAGACGCAAAGCGAGCTGGATGGAGAATCGACACCTGGTCCCTCCCCATTGACTGATATAAGTACTCGGACGAACATGAAGGTTTCGTGCCCTTCACGTCGCCCTTCACGTTTGACAGAACGCGATACTGGTGGGATCAACTGACATCGGAGAACTCCCACTGTACTGTGCCTGCACAGAGCCTTGAACCAGAACAGTACAAGGGGCCCAAGTTGGATGAGGACCTTATCGAGTCGGTGGACGGTGGTACATAAGTACTGTGACATCAGGCAGTGGCTGAGCGCTGGGCCGCCGGGCCGGACGGACGCTGCCTGATCGAGATCGGTATACCCCGCGCAGCGATCTATCACATGCGAACAGTGGTCTGACGCACGACAACGTCCAACGTTCTTCCCTCTACACCTGCAATACTTCATCTGGCGTCCCAAGAACGCATCCCACTCCCTCCACAGGCTGCGTCTCGCGATGGCCGTGCAGTCAACTATGAGGCCGTCCAACGAACGCGTCGCCCAGCTCGTCGCTGCCTACGTGAAGCACCGGCCCCTCGTTCAACGCGGGCTCACCGCTACGTTCGTAATCTATGCTATATCCACCACCTACAAGAGTCTGTCTGCGCGCCCACCCTCAACGTCTTCTGCATCCTCGAAGCGGAGAGGGAAGGGCAAGGACGGTGATGGTGCGGGCAAAGCGCCCAGAGTTGCAGTGAGTCTCCATCGCTCCCTCGTCTTAGCTCGAATGGTATGCTCAGCCGGTGTCTTAATGCATAGGTAGATGCGCTTTTCTATCAGAGGCTGTCGCGTATATTGCGTATCGTGATTCCCAGCCTTCGCTCTAAGGAGGCCATGCTATTATGCATGCACTCCAGTCTACTCATTTTCCGGACCGTTATCTCGCTCTATGTCGCTGCGCTGGACGGAAAGTGAGTGTCTCTTATCGACGACAATGCCCCATTGGAACATGAACATGGTCTTCTTCCAGGATTGTAGCGTCCTTAGTGCGCGCGCAGTTTGTCCCCTTTCTCTTCAATATCCTCCGCTGGTTGCTTGTCGCCATACCAGCCACATGGACTAACAGCTGGCTCGGTTATGTCGAGAACAAGCTCGCCCTGGCCTACCGCACTCGACTGACGCGCGAGGTCATGAAGCAGTACCTCGGCGATGAGAGTGATCCGACAGACCTTAAGACGTTTTACAAGCTAGCAAACTTGGACGACCGTGTCAAGAATCCCGACCAGTAGGTTTCAGCGAGAATCATTGGAAAGGAGCAGAGTGGCTGAATGATTGTGCAGAATGATCACTCACGATATTCAGCGATTCTCAACACACTTGGCTGCTATTTATGCCAATGTCGCGAAACCCGTGCTGGACGTCATCCTGTACAATTATCAGCTGTCGCAGAATGTCGGTGCTGAAAGTCTTCTCCTTCTGACTGTCCTCATCCAGTCATCCGCCGCGCTCCGTGAGCTTCGAACTTCTAGATGCCCAATGCTTCCGCTGAGAAAACGCGTTCTCTATGGCAGTCCGAGCCCTCACGCCTCCCTTCGGCCAGTACACCGCCATATCCGCCCAGCTTTCCGGGAACCTCCGTCACACCCACTCAAGATTAGCCGAGTTCGCCGAAGAGATTGCCTTCTTCGGAGGCGAGGAGACCGAAAAGATGCTCATCGAGCGTGAGTACGCGGGGCTTGTGAAGCACGAGAATCGCGTGCTACGGAGACGATGGTGGCATGGATGCTTCGAGGAAGGTATCGTCAAGTGGCTGTGGGGAAGCTTTGGGGTGAGTGGGCCTCCTTCAATTGTGTTGTGTGACTGCGCTGACAGCTTGCGTGGAACTAGCTATGCATCTGCGCCATTCCCGTCTTCTTCAAGCTCCCAGGCGCAGCTCTGCTTGACATGGGTGGCCGTACCGAAGGCTTCGTGACGAACAGGCGGCTTCTGCTCTCTGGGTCCGGTGAGTGCTCCGTTGTTCTATATCCGTCGATATAGCTTAGACTGGTTTAGATGCCGTCGGACGTGTCATGTACTCGTACAAGGACCTTTCGGAGCTTGCGGGATATACTACGCGTGTCGCGCTTCTATTGGAAACCATGGATGACGTGCGCAAGGGCAAATTTGAGAAGGCACTTGTCAGCAGTGCGAGCAACGAGGAACATGCGAAGAGTGTGTTGTCCGCCATTTGACAGTGCAAACTGAACCACTGATCACGCGAACTAGTCCTCAAAGGCCGCGGTGTCATATACGAGTCCGAGGAGATTGAATTCGAAAACGTCCCGATCGTCACGCCGAATGGCGATATTCTCGTCCGGAGCCTCAGCTTCTACGTTAAGCCAGGGGTGAGCCATACCCTTCTGCCGCATAGCCGCGTAACGGGTACTGACCATGCTGTCCCTGTGCTTCAGCAACACTTGCTCATCGTGGGCCCTAACGGCTGCGGCAAGTCTTCTCTGTTCCGCATCCTGGGAGGTCTCTGGCCGGTGTACGGCGGTATCGTGCGCAAGCCCCCAGCGGACCAGTTCATCCTCATCCCGCAGCGCCCCTATCTCTCCCTCGGAACGCTTCGGGACCAAGTCATTTACCCACACGGCGTCGAGGACATGGAAGCTCGTGAGTGTTTTCGCTTCCCCGTATTTCCCTCACGGTCATTTGAAGTATCTGAACGCTGGCATGTTCGCACATGTAGGGGGCATCACGGACGACGATCTGCTCCAGATCCTCGCGGTCGTGCAGATGGAGCACATCGTCGAGCGCGAGGGCGGTTGGGACGCGGCGCGCGAATGGCGCGAGGCGTTGAGTGGGGGCGACCAGCAGAAGATCGCGTGGGCGAGGCTGTTCTACCACAAACCGAAGGTTCGTCCCTTGTGCGAGCAACATGATGGGTGGCGAGCTGATGCATGGACGTTGGGCGCTCTTAGTACGCCGTGCTTGACGAGGCGACTTCGCTCGTCCCTCCGGATATGGAGGGGATGATGATGGAGCATGCGACCCGCCTCGGTATCACGCTCCTCACCGTGTCGCATCGTCCGTCGCTGTGGAAGTACCACTCGATGATCCTGCAGTACGACGGTCAGGGCGGATACGTTTTGTGAGTGCTTCTAATGAGTTGCTCGCTGCCGTTGACATGGAACCCTGACGCTTCACGTCATTCCGTAGCACAAAGCTCGATGCGGAGAAGCGACTTGCGCTGCAGCAGGAGAAGGAGGCGCTGGACTTGAAGCTGCTCGAGGTGTATGTGTTCCATCTGACCTTGACGGCGTTATGGAAGTTACTCACACGGGTGTCTTCCACTCGGTCTCATAGGCCCAAGATGAAGGCACGGCTTGCGGAACTGCAGGAGATCGCTGCGGAGCGAAACCGGGTTTAGAGCGCTCTTCTTGTAGGCTGCTCAAGTTTCTCGAGGGGTACCGTCTCATCCGCGCGCACGACGTTGGCAATCGGACTGTTGTATATTTGGATGTATTTCTTGTGCTTCGCCCTCCCATGGATGGGATAGATAGTACATGCATCGCGCCATTGTGCTGACATCGTCCGCAAGATATGGCACGAGACACGAGGGCGGCCCGCCGCGGACACGGAAGTATTCCACCCTCTGTGGTGGCGTGTCTCTCTTGTAGTATCATATGTTCCTCCGCGAATAGTACTGAACTGGCAGGCGTACCTGATCGATGAGGTCTGCTATTATTGTGATGGGTCGACCTCACAGAAGATACTGTGGATAACGCCTCGAGCTCGTCGCGCATTCCGCCGCCAAAATCCCATGAACACGGAGATAGTGCGCTAGACGGAAGTCCGACCATGTCTAACCATAGCATCAAGTCACCCAAAGCAGGTCGTGCGAGCCGATTCAGAATTGGCCTTGGTCGTCTGAAGAAGCTCCATCGTTTGCATCAGTCCGAGCCATCGGCCGGGGGATCGGGAGGGTCCGGAAGGAATGCGGGGACTCGGGCCTCTCCAAAAATTATCACACTCCAGTGAAATGCCGGCACCTGATTGGGCACCCACTGCCACCTCCCACCCGTCGTCGTGTGCGCTGCTTTCGCCGCTTTCTCCACACGACGGTCATCATCTCCCTTTCTTCATCCACATCGCAAGACCTACTTTATACTCGCCTATATCCCGTTCTCTCCGTACCAAGCACCCTTTAGACGCCTCTCGACTCTACTACGCCAGCGAAATGCATTACTTCTCGCAGCTCTTCAATTACGAGTGAGTCTGGCTTGATTGCCCTCCGTGCGAAGTTAACTCTCCGCTGACTATCCTCCCTCCTTGCCCTCGTTACCCTTGATTTGCGCTCGTTTTGTCCTGCATGTGTCTGCCTGTACAGTCACCCCTGGTCCCATGTCGTCATTGGGATGTGGCACAAGTACCCGAACGCGCACTGCAGTCATGTAGTCACCATCGACGTCGTGGACCGCTCCGTCGACCCAAACACTGGTATCGTGCGGACGGAGCGGATATTGGGGTGCAAGCAAAAGGCACCTACATGGATAGTGAAGGTATGCATCGACCTCTTCTGTGTGACTCTTGCCTCCCTGACATATGTCTCTTAATCCCGACTCATCCAGTTGTTTGGCGGTTCTGAAGACGCGTTCGTCCGCGAGGTGTCCTTCATCGATCCCGCAACGCAAACAGCAACGATCACTTCCGTCAACCTCTCCCTATCGCAGTTCGCGACGTGCTACGAGACTATCCGTTATTCTCCAGCGTCGCGCGGACAGACGTCCTTCCATCAGACGGCTGAGATACAGGCGCAGATGAACCTCTGGCGAACTGCATCAGACAAGCTCGAAAACTGGCTTGTTCAGCGGTTTGAGCAGAACGCACAACTCGGCAAGCTCGGCTTCTCGGACGTCCTCCGACAACTCTGGGAGAACCGTGACCGACAGCAAGCGCAGACAGCATAATCGGGTGCCTTCCTTCCCCGCCCCCGACCCTCGTCGTCTGCGTGCACTCGGTTCTTGGCTCTGGTCTGATCTTTCGTATTCTATGGGTCTTTGGTGGAGCATGATCACGCACGCACAGGTCTTCTGCGCGTGCGCGGTTTTAGACGGGTTCGAGGACGTTCGTATATAGTAGACTGCCGACCTGTCCCATTCCCCCGCAAAAGCGTCGGCGCCCTCGCCGACGCCTGTTCACACACCATGATATTACGATACACTCATTGTACTCTAACCCCCCGCATATCTTTCAGTCTGGCCACCGATTCGTTGTCGAGCAACATCTTAGATACCGCGCTCGTACCTCCCTTATTACTCCCTACGTGCGCCTCATCCCTCGACCGCCGACCTCATTCCACCATTCGCCCGTCATTGTTTGTCGACATCGTTGTGAGTAGTGCTATACGAAATGTCTGATATTGTTTGAGTCACAAAGCGCATGACGCGTGCTGCTTCTTACATGGCTCGCCGAAGTGACATGACCTTTCGGCCGTAGGGAGTCAAAGATGTCATAGTGTCGGCTAGATCCGGGCGCTTCCATAAAAGGACACGGCGAAAGAGGACGCCGTGGCGTAATCGCAAATCGCGCTGCACATCGTTGCCTTCGACTCGCCCCGTTCCTTGTGCTCAAGTTTGAGTTCGTCCACCGTGGAAGGGGATAGGCAAATTGTCTTGAAAGTGAGCATTTATTGAGCCTGACCGAGAGCTGCAGCCCATCCTGACAGCCCTGAGAGCTACGTCTCGACAGGGGCCGCCTGCAGGAAATCAAGATGGACGAGCTCGTCCGCCACTGTCTGCGTGAAATATCGTTTGACGGAGACTTGGGTGAGTGCTTGAACGCGAATTTTTCCATCCATGTGATCGTGTCGAGCTCGAGGCGCGCGGTGGGGTATGGCAGCAACGCGGTCGTCGAGGGGTTCGAATCCACGGCGGGTCGGTATCATTTCGACGGCGTCGTTGAGATGCCCTCACCATCCCCGTGTGCACTCGGCATCCTCGTCGCAGTGCAGAACTGACCGATGCCTATATGCGCAGGATGCGACGTCTCCCGCCTCAGGGATTTCGTCTCCGAGTTCTACTCGCACCCGTCGTCGAGCCGGGTCCAGGGACAGAACGTCGACGACGCGTTCTGTGCGTTCGTCTGGTCTGTGATCGTCCAGCAGCCCGGGATCCGCATCGGGACCACCCCCGAGGGCAGTTCGACGGAGGTATACATCGCCCCGCAGGTCCGAGCTATCAAGAAGGCAAAAGCGAAGGGGGAGGACACTACCGCTGCCGAGGATCCGCCCCCGGCGACGGGGCTGGACATCATCGAGGATGCTACGATTCGGCCGCTGGAGGATTTGAGGCAGCAGTATGGGGATAAGCTGCGCGTTGCGGTCGATCCAGAGACGACGTTCGTCGCTCTGACGGGGTCGCACACACGGGTGGATACAGCTTTTCTTGTCGTGCGAAGGCCGCGGGAGCTGATTTTGTTCGCGCATATAGCCCTCGAAATTGACTCCGATGATCTATACTGGTCTCCAGATTATCACAAGAGGCAGAGAGCACGGTGTCAGTGCCCTGGATCTCGGCAAGAAGTCCGGATATGACCAGAAGACATGCTTCTACATCATCAAGCAGCTCGTCGACCTCGATCTTGTGTACGAGACCCTCATTAACTGGCAATCGCTCTCCCGCTTACCATTGACTATTGTCAGGGTCAAGCTGCGGCAGCCGGGTATCAGCACCAACATAGTCGTACATAAATACTTCTACGAACGAAGTCCGATATGGCAGCAGGTCGTGTCAGAGGAGAAGAAGGCCGTCTCTGAGGCCCAAGCCAAGGAAGATGGCGACTCGGAGGAGGAAGATGACGGGGATGAGACGAAGCCGTTAGAGCCAGTTCACTTCGACCCCATTGATTCCCGACACCTGTCAAGCATGCCATTGCTCAAGTCCCGTCTGACGAAGCTCCTGAAGGCATGCCCACATTATATGCATACTTCCAACAACCTCATGCTCAAGATCGTACGTGCTTCCTCGCGTGAGTAGGGCGAGGTTACTGATCATATCACACGTGACAGGGATTCGTGAACCCTACCAGGACAGAACGAAGGTTCTTTCGTACGCGTATTCGAGAACTGGTAGACGAAGGCTTCATCGAGAAGGTTCACGTTCCGCATGCTGATAGGAGGCGCTTCCCCGACAAGAAGGTCCCATGCATTCGCCTTGTAACAGATGATGCCGCATCGCAAGCACGGGGTGAAACTGTTCCTGTCGAAGACGATGAGCTTGAGGGTTCGTTGTCTCAGTTCATCGTGCTACTCTGTATTAACTTCGGTCACAGATATTGAGATGTCTCAGGTGGAGGACTACACCGGCTTGAAGGCAAACGCGTCCCTCCACAAGCAGATGATCGACCGTCTCGCAGAGGCCGGCACGACTGGAATGACTCTCAACGAGCTCTCCGCTACACTAGGCGACTTTGACCGGCGCACTGTCGACCTCCTCCTCAATCGCCTCGAGAAGGACCCACCGCCTGCTCATCTTGCCGACCTCGGGATCGCTCAGCTCGCAGAGACGCACGGGCGCGAGCGGCGGTACAAGTACTACACCGTCGCTCACTATCTCGCGCTCGCCGAGAAGGAGCGGTTCGAGGACCGGAGATATCGCGACGTAGACATGTCTGCCGTGGGGGGCTTCATGCCCATCGAGGTCGAGGCGTTTTATGAAGACGAGGAGGAGCTGGACCGCCACGTGCGGCTGATGAGCAGTACGAAGAGCGGGAGCGCTTCCTTGTCGAAGGCGAAGGGGAAGAAGCGCACCAACCCCATTTTGGCAGACGGATCCGTCAAGAAGGGTCGGCCGAGGAAGTCCCAAGTGGTGGGAGAGGATGAGGAGGCCGTGCCTACACCGTCGAAGAAGGGCAAGAAACGGAAGAGAGAGGAGTCGCTGGACGGAGGTGCTGTCCGAGAGGGCGATGCAGCCAAGGGCGGCGAGCCTCCTATCAAGAAGAGGCGTGGACGACCACCGAAGAATCATGCTGCGAGCATTGCAACTGACGGTGGGCTGTCAGAAGTGGCCCCGATCCCTAAGAAGCGGGGGCGGCCTCCCAAGAAGGCAGCAAAAGTTGATGAGCCGACTGGTATCATGGCTGGGCCGTCTTCAGAGGTACAGGAGGGCGCTGTTGCTGCTGCTAAGGCTCCGAAGAAACGCGGTCGACCAAGGAAGACTCGTGAGCCGACAGTAGATGCTACTCCTCGGGACCTGGTCATCGCTCCCGCCCCTGCGAACGACGATGATATCCCGCCCATTTCCGCGCCAGTAAAGGATGTTCCAATGCTCGAGGATCCATCCTCGTCACCTTTGCCCTCGCTTTCAAATTCGCCCACTCCTGCGATCTCATCAGCTCGAGCCGTCACAAGTCACACGGAGGATGTAGCGCAGCCTGATCCTCCCTCAATCGCTGAAGATAGTCAAGGCGCCCCTGAAGCAGTGGCGATCTCACAAGTAGCTCCCGAAGTGGCTGCCAGCACTGGTGTTCGACGCTCTACGAGAACACCGAAGGCTCGCAAGCAAGACGACGCCCTCTCTCCACTGAAGAAGAGCATACGCCGAAGACCACTTTCTACAACGGTCCCCACCGCTGCCGAAGAGCCTTCTGCCCCATTGCCAACGATAGACATCGTCGAAGCCGATACACAAGAAGAACCCTCCGACAAGCCAAGCCTCGACGTGATCACTGCCGGCGAAGGGCCCCGGTCGACAGATCCTATACCGGCCGACAGCTCAACCACCGACATTCCTATTGACCCTGCCCTGCTCGGTGATAACGAGTTGTCCCGAATGGTCCAAGGACATTCGCTCATAGCGATGGTTTGTGCCCATGTCTCAGAACCATGTTTGCTGTACTAATGTTGAGCCCAGTCACCTGCGCCGGAGTTTCCCGAAGCTGGCCCCAGCACAGGTACAAGTGTACCTCACAAGCGAGATCAACCCGACACGGTGTCCGAAGGGCCTTCGACCAAGCGTACTAAGTCGGGTGACAGTGCGAAGTTGCGCACAAAGGGCAACATCTCTCAGCCGCGCCGGGAGAACGAGATCTTGCGGCTTCTTGCTGAGGCGGACGGAATCATCAACACAAGCTCCAAAGAGTTTTACGAGGCCCATGCAGCCCTCGTAGAACGGCTGGTCGCGGCCGGGGAGCCAGTCAGTACCCGTGTTGGAGCGAGAATTGACAAGAGGACCCTCGAGGCGACGCTCAGGGAGCTCGAGTCGAAGGGCAAGATCAAGCTCCTGACGACGTCCGCGCCGACGCTCACGGGAAGCACGCGTATGGCTCGCATCGCATATCTTCCCAGGATCCCACCAGACGCGGTGAATACGTTTCTGGCCGAACTCAGTCAGCAGCTTTGGTCCCTGTCTCACAACCCTAGTACAAGTACTGCAAAGACGCTTGAGGAGCCGATGGACTACGGCGGCATTCGGAAGAAGACGTCAGGTCGTGTCCGTCCCTCAATCGCCACCGAGCAAGAGGACGGAGAGGTGCAGGAGATCAAGCCAACCGACTTGGGGGCACTATTCCAGCAGGATGACCAAATCATTCATGATACGCTGCTTACCGAGAAGCACACAGTGGCCCAGCTGTACGGGTATCTCGTGGGCAAGGCCGCGAGGGCGCGTTCACTCCATCTCGCAACTGTTGGGCTATTTGGACAGGATGCGTCGTCCACCCAAATTGTCTCCAAGGAGCACAGGATAGTACATATCTCCTACTACTTCACGGACATTCCCATCTCCACCTACTGCTCTCTCGTCGCAGTCCTTCAGCCCAACGAGGAACTTGCCACGCTTCTCCGCTCCCCTGCGGGACAGGCTACGCCGGTCGGCGGTGTTAGCGACAGCCTTCGCAACGTGCTTACTCCCACACAGTCAAAGCCTCGTGCCCGGATACTCTCTCTTTTGGATCTACTTCAGGTGCTCGGTCTTGTCACACCTCTGATCCCTTCTGAGTCGGACACTCCAGCCTTTTCTTGCACAGGCAACGTGCATCATCCTGCTGCCTTCGATGTCGCACCTCCTGACACATACACACCTGCAATTGCACCTTTGTACTGGCGATTCAACGACTCCGCTCCCATCCGCCTCTGGGCGATTGGAGAGGGAGTACCTGCGGTGTGGAAGATGGCCCCGGTCTCTACCAGCCAGCAGGCCGCATTGTACTGGAACGACCTTCAGCAGGTCTGCACTGACCCGCTCCACGCACAGCACTTGCTTGGCCCCGCACCTGCATCCACGGGACCCGCGAGTCAAGAAGTTGCTACCACCTGCAAGTCTCTTAGGCGTACGATTTCCTGGAGCGCAGTGTACAATTTGTCATTCTATCAGACCGAGTATCTGCGCCGCTACATCGACCCTGCGACAGGCAATACGCCCTTGGAAGACGAAGACGGAGCCAGGCGTGACGCGCAGTTAGACCGCCTTTCCTGGATCGTCAGTGCATCGAGAGAAGTTGTCGCAAGCTGGTTTGAGAAAGCGCGGAAGAAGCAATTGCGCGACATCAAGAAGGTCAAATTGGCTTCGACGAAGGGTAAGCAAAAAGCTGCGACAGCGGAGGATGCGGGTGTCGTCGTAGCGCGTCGCGCAGCCGAGGCGAAGGAACAACGCGAGCTCGCTTGGGAGGCCATGGTCCAACGTGTACATCCTGGAGAGCTAAGGCAGTCCGCTGCACAAAGGGTCAATCGGGTCAGATCTAAGTTCATACAAAGTTCCGCGAAGCCGAGCGACAAATGGGAGGCAAGGATATTGGAGGCGATCAAGGAGGCAGACTTGGTCGCTGACAAGCTCTTGTCAACGGCGCATCCCCCGCTGTTCGCGCCTATGCCTGTGGCTAAACCTGCACTTCCTGCCCCTGTTCCAACCGGTTTACAGGAGAAGGACGTGGATGAGCTCATCGCCTCGCAAGGTGCAAGAGCAGCCCAAGGTGCTCGCACTGGGAAGAAGACCAAGAAGGGGAAAGCGAAGGATACAGGTATGAAATCAAGGATATGTCTGTCGTCCTCGCACTGAAGCATAACCGGAGGTGAGACGGAAGTGAAGGTGCCCCGACGACATCGCTTTCTCTGGACCCGCGACTACGATGAGCTCGTGCGAGACGCATCGGCCATCATCAAAGCTCGATGTCGCGGTACAACGCGCCTTGACTGGGGCGCTATGGAGCAAATTTTCCCCGCTGTCCCCCGTAATTCCGTCAGGCAGCGCCTCGTCCACCTGAAGGAGGTCCCGGGAACGGAGACGTACCTCTCCCGACTTGAAGACAAGTGGTATGATCTCTGGGTACAGCACCGAGGCACAGACGTCCTCCCGGATCCCGATCCAGAAAGTGCCACGAATTTCGACCTGGCGACGCACGTCAAATTTCTGCGCAAGCATATTGACAAGAATGCCATGTTTGTGCCCTATCCACCCTTATATCCCTAGCGCGGACATAAATACGAATGCTGACGCACGGGACTTTCTCACAGACGCGTCGGGTTTGTCGAGGTGCAAGACAGCCAAAAGGTTGATCTCCCTGCGACCATTGAAGACATCAAGCGGCACTATGACATCGTCGAGAAGGTACCTAGCGCCCCGACCTGGGACTTCATGTGGAGCGTTGTTGCGGAAGAGGCCCGCGAGAAGCAGTTTGCACACCAGGCCTTTACAGCAGAAGTGGGTGGTATGCCTCCTTCGCCCTCTTATGAGTCAGAGTTCCTGTATGTTGCCGATACAGCAGTCAAGGTGCGTTCGCCGGCCGGCCTACTGCGGCTACAACAGGTGCATTGACTGCTTTGATGGCGTAGATGGCCCTAGGCAATCCTAACGAGACCTACGACGCCGACGTAGCATCTCGGCTGCTCAAAGGTGTTGGGGAGGAACCAGTGCGCGCAACAACAACGGAGCTTTTGAATCGCGGAGTACTAGCGAGGACGACTCGAGATCCTACTAAGACGAAGCCGGGACGGACGCTCAAGATCTCCGATAGGTACGAGCGCCGATACCGTAGTGCCCGGGGGTGACTGCTCATGTTGACCTCGCGACTGCTCCCATCAGCAACTACAATTCGCTAGGCGGCCAGCTGCATCGGGAACTCTTCCAAGATGCATCTGCGCTTGAGGAGCTCATCGTCCAGCAGCAACAAGGAGACGGTCTGAATGCACCCCATGAACAAGGGCAAGAGTGGTCGCTGCTGGCCACGGACGGTGACACAGCCTTCCTCCTCGAGCTCACGTCCGAGAATAAGGTATGCTGTGCTCTCGAGGAGCATGTGCACTTGGTGTGTGTGTTGGGCGGTAGTGGTAACGATGACGTCTCCAGGTCCGATTTGATGTAGATACCACACACCCCCAGAAGATGCGGTCCAACATCGACTGGAACAGCAAGAAAGCAGGTGAGCCCGCCGGGGCTCTGGCCCAAGCACTTCGAGCTGACATGCGTATCCTCGCGTATCGTGCGCTGGACAGATGACGACGACATCGAGACTGCAATCCGGGTGCAGTATTTGGATGTCTCCGGCCCATCGCGAGATGCACTGTCAGAACCCTCAGCAGAGCCTTCGGGCATCGAGGTCGAAGCGGAGATGGACATGGATGACGAGCACTCCCTCCGCGAACATGGCACACTGGCAGATGGCGAGCAGGCCTTCTGTCGCCGCACATCTGAGGGCTTGATCGACTGCCAAGCGTGTCTCGAAAAAGCCAGGAAATCTCTCTTCCGGGGATTGAACACAGATGAGCAGGCTACCGTTGACAAGATCATAGCAGCGCTGGATGAAGCTGGTCCAACGGGCCTTACGAAGCAGGAACTTCTCGTAAGTCGCTAACGACAATGACGTCCAGGAACGAGCTAAGGATGCTATTAGGCGAAGTTAGAGTTCGTGCGAGGCGACACGCTCCACACGGTCGTTCAACGCATGACAGAAGGCCCTGTTCCCCTCGCGCACTGGACCGGATATAACGCCGTCGTCCTCGTGTCGTCTGCCGCGATCAGGAAGTGGACAGTGCTCGTGAACGACAACGCGACTGAGGAACCTGAGCAGCCCTCGATGTCCGAAGCCCCTGTGCTGAAGTCGATGATCTTTCCGCGCCGCTGGTTAGACATCTATGGACGGAAATTACACGACGTGTGGGAGTCCGCACTGCGCGCCGCACTGGGCCTCGTCCTCCTCCACCCCGGCATTTCACAGGTGCGGTGTCATGCCCATCTTCATCTTCATCTTCATCTCCTTCCCAGGCTGCGCGCTGTTCCCATGCTCTAATACTTCCATCGCCTCCACCCGTCATCCCGTAGAACGCGCATCGCTGACTATAACATCGGAAATCCACAGGCCGAGATCCGGTGGCGGCTGCGGTCCACTTACGATCGTCAAGAGGTGTGCGAGGTGCTGCAGACGCTGCTCGAGGAGAGGTACATCATTGCACGAGTTGATGCTGTGCATCTAGGGCCGTTCGAGGGTGTGCCTGCCGATGAACGAGAGGAGAAGTTCACGTTCTGGTTCTTGAATGCTTCGGGCACTGGACGGCGCTGGTACCAGGTGTAGATTATCTCCGTTGACGCAGCGCATGTTTGGCAGTTGTGGTCAGTTTGATACGCCAGGTCTGAGCCTGTATGATGGGTCGTGTACGCCACTGAGATCGAGGAACGGTGTTTGCGGAGTAAGATTCGAAGATAGCCAAGCCGCATTGCTGATATGAATGTACATACTTGTTACTGGTCCGGTTCAGATCAGAATCCGGCTGATTGCCACACTACGTTCTCATAATATGGCTTGATCCCAGCGAGCTGATAATGAAGGGCCGACTACTTGCACAAAGTTGATGAGCGACGTCTAAGTATATCGATATCAAGTCATCCATTCCTATTTACTAATGTGACTCCGCGACCCGACAGTGCTGGGCATCTAAGAGGTCAATTAACTTCTCTTAGGAGACGAGTGATTGCTGAATGGAATGAGGTTGGCAGGCGGCCACGACTCGGAGCTCGGGACGTGCATTGCCGCTGGAACTGCTAGAAATAGCTGGACAAAGAATAGCTCAGTGTACAGCTAACGCCGTCGATTGATGTCAAGTCGTTGTGACGGCTGTTAGACAAAGCAAGGGAGTGTGTACACCGCGTGTGCTATGTACCAGTGCACGAGGATCACGACGAGGGACTCGAGCCTTGCTTCTCGCCTGTCGGAGGACGGTCGGTAGCGAGGGCCGAATCGGACTGCGCGGCCTAGACGGGTCACGGCACCGCCCACACTATCTATGGATGATTGTTGGAGTACGCTGAGGCGAATGCGGGGAAGTTGCTAGGGCAGCCTACAGCCCATGTCGAGCTCACCTCGGTGAACAGCTGCTTTGCAGACATGGAGGGCAGCGAAGGAAGATAGCGTGCAAGCGACCCTATGAATCGCAATATTGGAGCGGTATGTGAGGTGTTTTCGCGTGTTCGCGGTCAGGCGGAGAGGAGCGGTTGCTACGGACTAGCCATGGCGACAAGAAGCTTCCTGATTGACGCGGGGCGGGAAGGGACGCCGGGCAAGATGGGATGCGTGCGACAGGTAGTATGTTTGTTTGTTGGTATGCTGCACGTCCTCGCTCATTCTCTGGCTGCACCAGGACTCCTTGGTTCCTACCATCACCACCTCCCCTCCTTCTCTTCTCCGTAAAACCTTTCTTCGGTTTGCAGCCGGCGCGCGGGACCGTCGTTTGCATTCCGCCTCCGGGACTGTTGAAGTTGCACTGGCTGGGCTTCACGTCGCTTTCTCCGCCCTAGCGGCACCTCGATCTTCTGCCAAGGTTTGCAATCTCGACCAGGATTGGTGAGCCTTGTCTTGGGCCTCCTGCCATGACATCGGTCGATTAACACTCCATGTGCGTTCTCAGAACATTCCACAATGCAATTGCCGCATCTCCTCGTCGTCCATGGCTTGAAGCTTTTCGTGAGTGAACGCCTCGTTCTTTCAGAGTATTCCGGTTCCGCACGCTGGCGTGTGGGGTAACTGCGACTGGGTGATCGTAATCCCGCAACGTAACGGTCAATGCTGCTTGAACGCTTAGCCACCGCCACCGCGTTGTGGATACAGTACTGAATCCTTCTTCGTACAGTGGGATCGCGTCACCTTTTCCCGGCTCACGAAGATCTACTTCGCTTTTTCGGTTCTCCACTGCATCATCCAGGTTATCTTCCAGGTGCAAGCGTTTGTGGCCAATGCAGATGCTGCCAAATTCCTCTCAGGTCTCATAGCCCAGGGCAATGCCACTGACCCTGGCTTTGCTGTCTACGAGACCGACCTCCGCATGTGCGATGCTGTCCCCGCAAAGGTACTAGACTCCAGTTCATGTACTGTCATCTGGGATGGTCATACAAGCGCGAACGGCTCGCAACTCATTAGCGGCAGCGGCACCAATTATGCTGCTAATGTCACGCAGTCGTCTCCCGCGGCGGTGTCTACCATCACACTCGACTCCTCTGTCTCTGCGTCGCCCTCAACTACTGCTGTCCTCTCGGTCAACGCCACAGTTTTATCGTCCACTGTCGCGTCTACTTCGTCTGCCACTCTCTCGACAACCGCTCTCTCGCAATCGTCTGTCCTTTCGTCGGCTGCTTCCAGTTCCCTTGCTACCCAGTCATCGGCTTCATCCTCTATCCAGTCTGCGCTGTCCTCTTCGCCCGACGCTGGAACGTCTTCCTCAACGAAGGCTCTGTGGGCTTCTTCGACCAAAGCCGCGTCGTCTTCTTCGACCAAGGCCGCGTCGTCATCCGCTGCGAAGGTCGTGTCATCTGCCGTTGCCACTGCCGCTCACGCTAAGACGATTACACTCACTGTGTCGGAATCTGCGACTGCTACCGCTACTGCCACCAAGACTACGGCTAGCAATGATAGCGACAGTGATGATGACAGCGACGACGAGTCTGGTGATGAGGATGACAACCTCTTCGACCGTCGGGATGTTGTGAAGCCCGAGACTCAATTGCGGCTCACTCTCAACGGCACCTCCACCGTCAACCTCCATGGCCTCAATGGTGTCTTCGCGACTGAGCTGCCACGCAAGTGCTTGTACGTTTTGAACTGGCCTGTTGACGTGTAAGTACATCTATTGTTTTGCTGGGGTTGCTGCACGCTCATGGCTATAAAGGGTTGACAACACGAAGCGTGAGGACATTACGTTCATCGCATTCCAGATCTGGCTCCTAGGGATGTCTTTGGTTGCACTGTTGAATGAGTCGATCCCTCACATGTGAGTCGCGCGTTGTTTACCCCTCCATGCGCATTTGGGTTGACTTGCGTGTCAAAGTGCCGCTTCGCTCTTGACCCACATCATGGCCACGGCTTGGGGAGGCTTCCAGATTGTGGGTTCGCCTTACTCGCTTACAAGACATACGTCTCACGAGCTTGATGCGTCCAGGTCAACACCAACGACTTCCATAAGAAGTTCAGCACTTTGACGACGAAGGGCGCATGCGGCGTCAACCTCCTACCTGAATACTGGAAGAGACGCTCGAACGCTGAGATCCCCAGCTTGGCCCTCAATGTGTTTGCTCTGCTTGTATCCGCCTTCCTTAGCTGGAGGCTCATGAAGGTACTTCGCCACGCGCATATATGCATCTTGATATCGATGTTGACGCGCTTCCTTCCAGACTTTCGGCTGGCAGACCTTCAAGCGTGTCGGCGCGTCGCGCACCATCAACCGCGTCTACAACCTCGTTTTGATGTTTTCCATTGGGATCCAGCTCGCGCTGTTCTTTGTCGGGGTGTCGGCTGCGCTCTGGGTTGACCAAGTGTACAACGGCAACATCGGCCGTCTCACCCAGGACCCGACCTTCTTCAAGGCTGTCATGATCACTGTTCTAGTTCTCCTCATCCCTTGGCTCTCAGTGGTGAGTAGCGATACAGACGATGCGAGCCAAGTCTGTTCGTGCTGACCTCGTTGTGTAAATCCCTAGGGCTGGATATCAGTTCGCAGGGAGTATAGGATCCGGATGCTGACGTTCTTGGCCGTTGCTATCCTTGTCCTCGCCGGCTGGGGCACGATGTTCATCGCGGCAACCTTCCGCTGGACATACGTCACCTGGTTTTTCTTCAGGGTCATGACTACTGGTGCAGTTCTACTGGCGCTCGCGGTCCTTATCCTTGGCATCGTCTGCCGTGTCAACTTCGGCAAGGGTCTCACTCGCTACCGTACGTTACCTAAGCCTCGGTTTTGTAATTCCACGCTAACTGAGTGTCATCCCATAGTCAACGCACACGAAGAGCTCAACGACGAGGGCGACTACCCAACCGAGAAGACGTACGACTCGGAGAAGATCGACTTCCCCTCGGGGGACTCGAGCGTCCCGAGCTTCTCCGTCACATTCGGCTCCGGGCTCGAGGTCCCTCCCCCCTCGCAGATGCGCTTCGGCCCCGCGCCGCGCGCCATGGGCCCGCGCTTCTACTCGCAGACGAACTCGACCGCGTCGGACCCGTTCAACTCGCCGGTCGAGGGCAACTCGCTCCGCGCCCTCACGCTCTCGCGCCAGAACAGCGCGAGCAGCCAGATGAGCCACTCGTCGACGCGCAGCGCCACCTCCGCGCACTCGACGAACTCGGCAGGGTCGACGGGCCCGGGGCGGGGCAAGCGCTGGGTGATCGAGTAGAGAGCGCGGAAGCCGTAGTTCGACCGTACCTGTAGGCGTCCCCGTGCGGCGTTGTATTATTGGCAGGCGAAAGCGAAGAGGTGCCTTGGCTCTGCGACGTGATTACGCATGTACCGCCGCCTAAGACATACATGTGCCTTCTTTGCTTTCTTATGTTTCAGACATATTCCCCGATTCCCCTCCGCACCGGTAGGATACCAGGCCTCATCTAAAGTGCATAGCGTGTATTCTGCCTTTTGCTTGTCTGATCACCGGATGGTCCCAATTGTTGCGTGTATTACTGTAGATCCAATTCAGCTCCTTGCTTTGCGCGCTAGTACTAGTACATGCATACAACGTAACAACGCATCTCATCGTCTATCATTAGACCCAAAAGAAAATCGTTTAGCGTAAGAGATATGTGTATCAAAACAGAGGAAAACGTGGATGATGTCTCGAATCAGTCAAGCCTACAGCAATACGAAGTATCGCGATGGAATGCGTGGGTACATGGGTGAATGGGTGCAGGGAAAGCGAGGAGTAAGCTACATGAGTTTCAACGGGTATTCTATGAATGCAGACAGGTGTCCATGGGAGCGGCGGAAATTCATGAGCCAGAACCAGAACCAGAGCTGTTCCCATTCGCGCTCGAACTCGAGCTGTCTGGGGTCGAGAAGCTCGACAGCAGATCCAGGCGAGCGTCATTCAGCCCAGGGGAGAGCGAGTTGACCGACGAGCCCTCTGGTGACTGTATGGGCGACAGACTAGGTGACTGGGCTGCGATTAGCTCTGTTTCCTTCTCCTGCAGGATCGCGGCCTGGCGGGCGACCGTTGCGGCTTCGTAGGTGCCTTCGGCGGGTATTGACGCGCCGGATGCGATGACGTTCTCCGCCTTCTCGTAGTCCTCAAGCTTCTCTCGGAAGTCGAGCATCCACGGGTGGTCCATGAGCTCTATGGCGGTCGGACGGGCCAAAGGGTCAATCGTAAGGCATCGCCTGATGAAGTCGATGCCCATCTCGCTCAGCTGGCCGGGCTCGGGCAGGGGTGGATGCTGAGTTGCGACACCGATATGGAACATTATCGCCCTACGAGACGAAGTATGTTACGTGTGAGCTCACGGCATGTCAAACCACGAAACGACTGCAAGCGAGACACCCACCATTCGTTATCGAGATTGCTCCAGGGCTTCCGGCCAGTCGCGCACTCCAGGACGACACAACCTAACGACCAGATGTCCATGGCACCATGACGTCCCAGTTTGTTGTTCCTGATGACTTCAGGCGACATGTACATCGGTGTTCCCGTGAGGGAGTTGTTGAGACCGAGTTGGTCAGGGTCTGCCGCTGCTGATCCTGGTGAGGCAACGGAGGAATCTGAACGACGAGTGCGTCGGAGAGTCCCACGGTTTTTCGCAATGATCTTGGCCGCGCCGAAGTCGACATACTTGATGACGCCCATATGGTCGAGGAGGATGTCTAGAAAGAGACACCAGTGAGTGACGCCAATAAGAAGGGCCAGTCAACTCACTGTCTGGTTTGATGTCTCGGTGGACAATGCCCTGAGAATGCAAGTACGCAAGACCCTCTAGCATCTGCAAAGTGTAGACTTGCAGGATACCTTCGTCCTCGATACGTCCGTGCTCGAGCAACGCAGCCAAGCTTCCTCCCTTGCAGTACTCTTCGAAGATGTATACCTTGTCTCGGTGAACTTCGATGCCGTAGTACTCGACTACGTTTGGATGATGCAGCATTTCCATGACCGCAAGCTCGTCGCGGATGTGCGAGTACAGGCTCGTGAGGCCCGCAGTCTCCTGGAACTTGATCTCCTTCACGGCCATCAGCGTGTTGGAGTCGAGGTTGATCGCCAAATACACCGACCCGAACGACCCTGCGCCAATGAATCTGCTTTGCTGCCATCGGATGGACACGTTGGAACTCGACCCAGCAAGGAACACAACGGAGCGATCTACCAGGACGCGCTCGTCCAGTACACGACCGATGATATGGTGCTCGGTTCCCATTTGTGCGCGTTGCTCGTCGAGTTCCCGAGCGAAGTCGGAGGTCTTCTGCCAGAACGCCCGCAGCGCAGGGTCTATATACGCGTAGACGGAGTCCTGGTTTTCCGGAGACGCTTGGAATGCAGCTTCCTCCTCGTCCTCGTCCGACCGCCGGTTGGACGTCCGCAGCCGCAATAGCTCCTCCTGCCGCTCCTTCTCCCGCTTCGCGTCCAACGCCGAGCGCGCGCCTAGAATGTCGAAGTGGGAGATGAGCAGAGTCATGCAGGTTGCGACCTTCTGGCGCAGCATTTCGAACTGGTCGTCTGGCAGATGGAGGATGTTGTTTCGCCGTGTCCGATGCAGGGGGAATTCTAGCGCGGTGACAGCCCATCGGAAGGTCTTGCGATCATTCGGGTCGCAATCGTCGCAGATGAACGACACCCATGAGATCGCGAGCTTGATGAGTGACTGGTTGTACTTGAGGAGCATTGCCTGGTCCATGTACTTCTCCACGTGAGCGCCATAGTCGGAGGCGAACACGTACCAGTTCTCGAGGAGCTCCTGGTAGTTGGTAGTGTCTCGCAACGTCTGACGAACATAGTGCACCGATTCCACGATAGACTCCGCTAGGCGATTGGTCGCGCGCCCTATCTTACGCAGCTCGCGATTGACCGAGGGTAGATGTGCTTGCTGTTCGATCAGGCAGTTGGGCATCGGCATAGCGGGTTCTATCGGCTCTCCCGTCTCCTCGTCTTCTACGGATTGGAAGAATTCGGAGAACTGGCGTTTGGCAGCCACTAGTCGGTGCTGGGAGCCATCAGCGATGAGACGGATGCGGTTGTCCTCTAGATGCAGATCAATCTTGGGTAACTGCAGCATCAGCACGAAACCGTTCCAGAGAAATCGTGTTCGTGGAGACAGCACGAGCAAGTAAGAAGCATCCTCCTCCACCTCCTCCGGCTCCGCCTCACCCATGTCCATCAGCCAGCTGCTCTCGTCAATTTCATGAACATGGAACGCGTCAAGGAGGAGTCGTCGGATAGTGTCCGGACGGTCTCGGAGAGAAGGGTGTCCCACGATGTACGTGCCCTCTTCCTCGAAAGTCTGAGTGTACACGAGAAAGTGGTCTGACTCCACCAACGTTGCGATGAACACGTCAATGCTGGCATCCTCGAGATCGTATTCTGCCGAATCGCAGAAACGACGTGACAGGACACTGCAACATAAGCTAGCTCAGTGCGCATGTTCAGCTGATTAGGCGAGTATACGACATACCGTCCCAGGCGCAGCAATTTCCGCGAGCGTTGCTTCACGCCGTCGAGAATTTTGCCGTACCAGGTGACCAGCCGGTCCTTGGGAACATTCGCACTTGGCGGCTGCAACCCGGTCGGGAGCGTTTGCTGACCTGTAGGAGTACCGTTAAGCCCACTAGAACGGAGAACTTTGCGGACGCGATCGCTGAGCATCTCTGATAGGGAACCGTCGGCCATACCGGGAACGCGGATAGATGTGTCGAAGTAGTTCGTGACACGGACAATGAGCTTGTTTGTCAGAGCGCTGTAATGCTCGTGAACAGGCCGCTTCATGAGAAGAGACGTCATGGATACGCACCATAGTTGCTCGGCGACCAGCGTAGCGCCTCCAGGGATGGTCAGACTGACGTCGTTGAAGGTTGCCCACTGTGCCTCAATGACGTCGGTCTCCTTGAAGTGAATTCCCTTCGTCCCGCTCTTCAACTTCCAGTGGATGAGTTTGAAGAAAAAGGTCAAGGATTCTAGGATGGTAGAGTCGTAATCGGCACTGATACAGGGAGGGAGCCTCCAGTTGCCCCCTGGATCGGGCACAAGGAAGGCTTCATATTGCCTCTTCAGCGTACAGGCAAAGCCAATCTTGACTTTGAGGTCATCTGTCATCTGGTCGATGATGAGGACGTCGGGGTTCTTCAGCTTCTGCGCGTACGCGAGCCGGACGCGTAGCACGGCTTGCGCGAGGTTCGTCAAGAAAGAGACAAGCGGCACCAGTTCTTGCTCGAAGGACGGCAGATTCATCTTCTTGAACATGGGCGCCAGGTTAACGTGCGCATCGCGAGTTGTGCCGACAAGAGCGTGAATGGTGGTCATAGAGCCCTTCTCGAACTGCCTCTGGATGCTCTCCTCCTTCAGGAACCTCTCGACAAAGGTCGTGCCGCCGCCGTTCGCGTTCTCGCTATAACGCAACGAAGGCGTTGGGGGATGTGACGAGGGCTGAGAGACGTCCATAGTTTCACTCCCGGTCCATTTCCGCAATGTCCCGAGGAGCTGTCTCAGGGATGTAAGGACTGTGGACCAAGTATTCAGGGTATCGCATCGCGACTGGAACTCGACGTCAACCGCGCTGTGACAGTCTATGTAGAAGGCGCGTAGACTGGGATATAGGGAGTGTGCGATCTCGAGCCGGCGGAGCACGGCATTGACCTGCTGAAGCGCGTACGTTTCGCGGCCTTCTGTCGAACCGGCGGGCGGGTCCTGGACGCGGAAGTTCAGAACCTCCTCGATCACGGGCTTGACCGTCCTCAGCCGCCTCTCCTCGAGCTTCCTGCGCTCCTCTTCGACCGTGCGGCCATGGAGACGCGCGCGAATGCCGAGCCAGATACCAGAGCGGGGATTGTTCTCTTCTTCGGAAGAGGAGTTGAGCGCAACGGCGATGCGCGTGTTCTCCGCTTTGAGTACGTCGCCTGCTAGGACCGACGCGAGCATTGTCTGCCACTCCAGCCGCTCTCGATCCTCTAGTGACTGCGGTTCGATGGGTTCCGCGTCCAACATAAGGGACGACATACGGTCGTGTGGCTCGCCCATCCCTGGAACGCCGCGAACGTCTTCATCGTCGCTCTCCGCTCCATCCAGAAGCCCTCCAAACCCGCGCTGGTAGTAATGGGTTTCTGGGTCGTTCCGTGGGTCGTCGTCGTGGTTGTGCCCGGGCCGGTAGCGTCGCACGAACTGATTGTAGATGTTGGTGTAATTCCCGCGTACAGGGGTGGGAGGAATGGCGGCCGCAGCGGTAGACGCAGCGTTGATACTGGGAGCGTTCGGGTTGAACGCGGCCCTTTGCCTGGCCTTTGTCCGACTTTTGAGGCTACCAGACGGGGGGTACCCGTGCGAGCGCGTGCTGCTGGTCTGCCAGGACTCATCATCTTCATCGTCTGCATCGTGCTCTGGATGTGTGAAGAGCGTTGGCTGGTGTCGTTTGTTAGGCATAGAGGACGTAGAGGGGGAAAGGAGCGGAAGGACGAGGATGAGTGACTGAGAGGCCGAAGATGATGCTGCCCCGGGTCGTCCAAGAGCCGCGCCTGCCGCGCCTTCCGTCCACAGCGCTTACCTGCCCGCTCACCTTCACGCTTCACCACCTCCACCCCCTTGCTGCGTTGAGCCTCGTGTTTTCTATACCAAGAGAAAGAACGTCATTCACATCGTGCCTGAACTCAACGGGACGTAGGTCAAGATGGGCATTGTAGAGAAGGTAGGCCGGGATGTCTACATCCCGAGCGCGTGTGGCTAAAGATGGCTATCCATGTCTGCAGATCAAGGAGATCGAGGGTAAGAGCTCTATAGACGACATGCGAACTGCGAAATTGACGCTATGCTTCATATCCAGAGGAGATGGCGAGGAGTAAGTCTTCCATGCACCATGTTGTAGCTTTGAACTCAGCTCTTGAATAGCGCAGAAGAACAAGGTGAGGACGTTACCCAGTCCGCGACTCGCCCAGCCTGTTCATCAGGCAGCGAAGTAGGCCACGGAGTACCACCTTGGCCTCCTCAAGGCCAAGCTCGCCCGATACCGTGCACAACTCCTCGAGCCGACAGGCAAGTCGAGCGGCGGTGGGACGGGCTTTGATGTCCAGAAGTCCGGCGATGCCAGAGTCGCCCTCATCGGCTTCCCTTCAGTTGGCAAGGTCAGCGTCCGATCGACTCAGGATTCTATTGCCGCTGCCTCGTCTGACATCACCCCTACGTCCGGGCTAGTCAACCCTCCTGAGTAAATGCACGCACACCCAATCCGAGACCGCGGCGTATGAGTTTACCACCCTCACGGTGGGTTTGTTCATCATACAGACCATTACGTCCTGATGTGCCTCATGCCGTTACCCTCTCAGGCTATTCCTGGCGTCTTGGAGTACGAGGGCGCGCGGATACAGTTGCTTGACCTGCCAGGGATCGTTGAGGGTGCCAGCCAGGGCCGCGGTCGTGGGAGACAGGTTGTAGCCACAGCCAAGACTGCCGACCTCATTCTCATCATGCTTGACGCAACGAAATCGGAAGAGCAACGACGGCTGCTTGAGATCGAATTAGATGCCGTAGGCATTCGCTTGAACAAGCAGAAGCCCGATGTCGTGTTTAAGCGGAAGACTACTGGAGGGGTGCGTGGTGCGCTCGATGCCGTCATTGTGTCCCTTGATACATCCGGATTCCCTCTTTACACAGATTACGGTGAGGTACACCGGTTTAACTCCCCTGATCTCTTGCTCATATTCGTCTAGATCAATAAAACGGTGCCATTGACAAAGACCGATGAAAAGACCATTCGGTCCATCTTAGCCAGCTGTAGGTGGACCCTAGAATTGGACCATGCGGTAGCTGCTCACGCTCGTCTGGGTTACAGACAAACTGCATAACTGCGACGTAATGATCCGTGAAGACGTAGGTTCTGTCTTTTCTGTCCGAATATGCCAGTGACATTCCCCACAGATTACGACCGATGAGTTCATAGATGTCTTAATAGGTATGTCCTCTCCTATCGACCAATGTGGACAACGGCCTTGCTGAAACCCCGCGCTAGGAACACGCAAATATCTTCCGTGTCTATGTAAGCTTTCCCGATCCTTGAATGCCGGCCTTGCTGAGAATAATTTCGACATAGACGTTTACAACAAGATAGACGCCATCAGCCTTGAGCAGGTGGACAAGCTCGCGCGACAAGACCATACCCTGGTGATCAGCTGTGAGCTCGGGTTGAAGTAGGTCTTGGTCAATGCGTCTAGAATAGCACCGAAGCTGATGTGATGCTGCGCAACGCAGCTTGGAGTACCTCTACGAGAGGATTTGGGCCGAGCTTGGCCTGGTGAAGGTGTACACTAAGAAACGGGGTGCCCACCCCGATCTTGCGGATCCTATCTGCCTGCGCCAAGGGGCCACCATCGAGGTGCGCAGACACGGAAACTTACAGCACGGGGATGGGCTTATCTGATGCCTCGCTTTGCAGGGCGTTTGCAATGGTATTCATCGCTCGCTCGCGGCCAACTTCCGATACGCACTAGTCTGGTGAGTCTGGAGACGCTCGTGCCGCCTTGTCGATGTCCGCTGACATACGTTTCTTCCAGGGTGAGCACATCAGACATGTTGAACTCAAGGAATGGTGTTGTGACGCCTATAAATCAGGGCAAGTCTTCGAAGTTCAACCCACATGCACAGAAGGTTGGGCTAAACCATCACGTCGCGGACGATGACGTTGTGTCAAGTGAGTATGATCGGACGCCTTGGAACCCGCGTGTTCTCTAGACCTGACCGCCGGCGTTTGGCAGTTTTCACGAAGTAATTTAGGCGGCACGACTAGGCGGCGGTGAGCACGTAGGAGCTGGGTGACCACGATCAGCCGGCTGGTCGTATCCCCCGGGCTGACTCGGAGATAATGGGCTGCTTGCTACAGCGTGTAAGATAAGCCGATGAAATGAATACACAGCATTCGAAGTATAATTATTCGACCGCATGGCGAAGCTCGTTGCGGGAATGTGTAGATGGTTCGATGCATGGACGCTCTATATGCAGCTGGGGGAGAGGCTGACGCCACAGAGCGGACCCGAATCTCGATTGAGGGCAGCCACGTGAGAGGAGGTTGCGTCGCCTGTTGTGCGGACGAAAGGGCATAGTTGCCGTAGTGCTAGTACGCCCTGTATCTTCCTATGCCGCACCGCCCTGGCAATCTTTGGTTCCATATCACTCGCCCCCTCTGCGGCGCACAAACAGCCTCAAAGACTTGATCGTTCGCAGCGCAGACGCCTTGCACGTGCAAATTTGCTGATAGGACAGGATGAGATCACTCTCGCGCCGTACTCCGTTCTGTCCGCCAGATTAAGATGCTTGTCAGCCTAACCCAGCCGCCGCCCTCCGACATATAAATTTGACATCTTGGGCACCCATGAGCGACTCAACACACCCCTCTCACCCCCCGCTATCTCCCTCTGTCATACATATGGGTTCGATCGACGCTCTGCACGCCTATGATGACCCGGTCGAGCTCATCCTGCTTGGCACCGGAACCTCTTCGACGCTCCCGCACGTTGACTGTCTGACGGCTCCACCAGGTGCGAAGCCGTGCAGGACGTGTCTGTCGACGCTAACGCCTGAAGGCTGGAAGAACAAGCGGGTGAGTACGCTGTGGCCCATCCTGCCTCCGGAGCGTCTGCCCTAACGCCAGATCGATATGATATCCAGCGCAATACATCCGCCGTGCTCAGAGTCCGCGGCCGGGATGGGCTACCCAAGTGAGTATTACCCCCGTGCCGAACCCATCCTGAGACTCCGACTCCGCAAAACAAGCGCTGCAAGCTGACTGCCGCCGCCGCCGCCTTGTGCCTCCGATACATACAGGACTATCGTGATAGATGTTGGGAAGAGCTTCATGCCAGCCGCAGTGGAGTGGTTCCCGAAATACGGCCTCCGTCACATTGATGCCGTCCTCATTACTCACGCCCACGCGGATGGTACGTGCGATTTTGCTTTTGCGCTCAATGCAGTAAGCCCACGTATCGTGCAATTGCCTTTTAGCGATGAATGGCTTGGACGACTTACGAGGTGAGCCTGTGTGACGTTTGCCGCTTGCTGTTAGTTCAGATGGATTCCTGACGCAGCCGCCGGGTTTCAGGGTGGACATTGGGTGGCGCGATCCAACAGGCTGTAGACATATATCTGTCTGCGGAGACCTTCGAAGCGGTCAAGATTGCCTTTCCTTACTTGGTTCGCAAGGAGTTCGCTTCGGGCGGAGGAGACGTGAGATATTATCGCCGACTTTCTCATGTACCCTGTGAGCTCACCGAAGTCGTCCCAGGTGCCGGAGTTCAATTGGCATCCCTACGTTACCGACCGGGAGCCTTTCGAGATCGGAGACACCGGGATTACGGTGAAGCCTTACGCCGGTACGTAGCGTAGGATTTACCGCTTCATGGAACGGTGATCGACAGTTGTCGGTGTCTGTGCAGTCCCCCATGGCTTTTGCGGTGCGAAGCCCGTCAAACCGGTCCCCAGCATCGCGGACCAAATTGCGGCCGCGGTACCATTCTCGACCTCAAGCCCTTGCGGGACGGGCATGCCGGGTACCCCCACCACGACCGGCAACGTGACACCAGTCGAGAAGGAGAAGAAGGAAGACTTCCTGTGTCTCGGTTTCACCGTCCAGAACGCGGTGACATATATATCCGACTGCTCCAAGATACCCGACGACGTCCTTGCCGACCTTCTGTCCTCCCCGATACCCGTCCTCGTCCTCGACTGCCTGCGTCTGAAGGCGCACCTCTCCCACCTGAGCCTCGCGCAGGCGGTCGAGTACGCGCGGCAACTGAGGGCGCAGCGGACGTACCTGCTCGGCTTTAGCCACGAAGTCTCGCATGAGGAGTATGAGGTGATGCTGAGGGCCGTGGGCGGACATCGCGTGCCGAAGAACAGGATGACGGAGATGGTCACGGCGGGCCTGGACACTCTGGACTTGGGGGGCGAGAAGATCTGGATCCGGCCTGCCTTCGACGGTCTCCAGGTGTTTGTGTCCGACAAGGGCGAAGCGAGGGACACGGCATACTACGACTACCCGGAGGAATAATGAGTGCTGTGTACATCTCGGTGCGCGCGGCGTTGATGTTATGATAGCTTATCAGAGGTGTCAAGCATTGAACTTCCTGGCTCCAGCTTGGTTTAGATTATTTCTAATCATTTCCATGTACTACTAATGATGGTAGCCTTAGCAGTTGTAGTAAGTAGTAATGCATCCTTCGTGTTTGCCACCTGGCATCACGCCGACGCCGGAGACTGACGCGTCACATTTGCCCCGATATATGCAACCTAGCCCAACAGCAGTCGGATGCCATCGCGCGGCCACCCAACTTCATACAACTGCATACAGCCAAAGTAGGGTGTACTGCCAAATAATGGGCACCGCGTGAAACGTCAGATTTCGGAGGGAGGAGAACACGGCGGCAATGAGCAGATTCCCACCACGTTCTCCCCACATTCCCGCCACATTCTCCGAGAAAGGAGAATGCGTGTTCATCCTCTCACAGAGCCACGCATTCTCCACACATTCCCTTCCATATTCGCCACACATTCTCTAACGTAGACAATTTAGGACAGATCCGGATACCACGAAGCTTGGCTTACCTGGTGCCATATCAAGAATTCATCAATTTGTCAGCGCACATGTTGCCACATCCCGCGTGCTCCATTTGCGAGGTTATACTGGACCGCATATTCACCGCGCAATGATAATTTAGGCACACAGATTCAAGACGGACATGAATGCCTACGTAACTACAAAAGATAGCTGGGTCGCCGGATGAAAGCTAGCGCGCGGCTTGTAGAGTGCCCGCTAGCAGCGAGGATGCTGCAGCTGGTGAGGCAGCTGATCGACATACACCACAAGCAGCGCATCTCCTTGAGTTTCAAGTGACGTCCGTATATGTAGGAGTTAACCCTGCCAGAAACCGGCATGAGTTTGCACATTGTGAGAAGGGAATGTGCCAGCTTCCGGGAAGTATTGGGATATGTTTCAAGACACAACTTGATGATGGCGCGCTTTGCGTCCAGGCGTCTCTCAGCACCCAGGATAGGAAAATATTCAAAGATGTTGGCCGGCTCGGAATGGAGGATCGCGAGACAGATAGGGGGGAATGTCTCGAACAAGGGCACCGGCGTAGACAAGTCACTATCCCCAGTAAGGACCGAAAACACCAGAGGATCCGGCACAGTCATTTTCATGGTCGTCCAAAGGGCCAGCTGACTAGTAGTGAGGAAGACGGCGAAGGAGGCGTGTCGGTTGCAGAGTCCAGAGATGTCCCCCAAATGGCAAGTGTAGGCGGTGATGAGACTCGGGACATACTAGTACGGCCAGGAGACGTTGCCAAGAACCATGATGATGCGAGATCGAGTCTTCCGACACCATCGACAACGTACTGAGTGCTCCGCCCTCCCGGTCTGCAACATCGGCACTGGACAGATCCTCGCGTACAGTCCGCGCACATCCATTGCTCACCAGTGGTTCTCCAGGTTCTCTTTGCACTCGGATCCGCTCTTGAGTCTCGCCTTGAGGTACGGCTTTCTGGCTGCTGACCTGCACCACTGCAAGTGCGCGTTCCTTGTGTAGACAGTTCACAGACCAAAGACGTCGTATCCGAGAGCCTTCTTCGAGACTTGCTTTTGCACTTGCATCATTTCGGTTGTTGCCAGGATGGTTTGTCGAGCATGGTGACAGCCCGAGGTCGACTGTCGACAGTAGATGGATGAGCAGTGGTTGAGATCGATGCAGACCTAGAGTAGTAGTGTACTGGTACAACTTGGGATCGTGATCTCGACGCAATCCACGCTTACAAATCAATGCGCATCCAAGGCCGTGGCATCGATAACCTATCAGACAGAAAGTCATCTCAATATCACTTATCTTGAGCTATTCGAGGCTACCAAATTGAGAACTAGAGAACATGATGAGATTGTCCAGGCAACATGCATATAGTCTACAGATTCGCCGTCCTGGAGAACATGGGGGAGAATGTGGAGCGAATGTGGTGGGAATCCGCACATTCTCTGCATGTTCTCTCCCGCCAGAATCTGGTGCTTCACGCTGTGCCTGCTCAGGCTACCCATGACCAAAGTCACTAATATTCGCGCAGTACCGCGAGACTCAGGATCGCTCTAAAGGTCCAACGTCCCAGAGGCCAGACATCTTGAGCTGGAATTAGTCGGTTGCAGGTGGGTGCATTCGGCTTTATTCGTTTTGGGCTTGTTCACACACTATTGGATGGTATGGGTCAAATGACTGTATAATTTCGTATAGGATCGCATTACTAGTACACAGTACGTCTACAATGGGAGCGCAGTTGGATTCCATCGGTAACCACATCTAGTGGGGTGTACTGGTCAGGCACCTTGCAGAGGGGGATGTGTCGTGCTCATGCTACTTGGCTGGTGCACAAGCATCGCCAACTGGGCCAAAGCTTGTGAGCTGTCGGATGCACATAGCCAGAATCATATAGGACATACCTTCTAGTCCACATGTGCACATGCGCCTGCAATGTTCCGTGAGTGCTGCCTCTGTGCTGGGGCTCTTTACATACAAATGGAGTGGGTGCATACAGTAGGCAACTATGGCGACGTACCTCCAAAGGTGCTGCACATACATACTATGACCCACTAGGATGGTGTTGCGATGGCGACACCATTCGCCGCAGCTCACCTTATGCTCACCTCAACTGTGAGACGCACCTTTATAGTTGTCTAATGCACCTTCATAGCTATTCCAAACCCCGACGTACCTGCCTGGTGTTGGGAGTCGGTGTTTGGGCTGTGCAGGAGGGATGTGTGCAAGACTGGCCATAGGGCGGGGGAGAGGAGAGGAGAGGTTGGAGCCAAGGTAAAAGACAGCTGTGGTCCGTGCGAGCAACGAGTCAACCACAATGACATCATCTGTTGAGGGCAGGTTCCCGCTCTCAGAGAACATGCCCTTCGCGTAAGCGTGGGAGCTCTTTGCTGTCACGCTAAGTGGCCTGAGGGTCCGGCTGCGAGCGTATTTGCAAGGGACTGTTGCAATGGTTCGTTCTGGGCGGCCTTGCGGTAGTAGTACGTCCTCTCGGGGACTGGGCGCCGCTGGCCCCTGCAATACCTGATACATTCACAGAAGGACTCCCTTTGTTTCGACTGGCGCGAGCGTGGCATGACTGATTCCAGCGGCGAGATGAGGTACAAGGATCCTGCAGAGGACTTGGGCGGCCGGCTGAAATGACATGTGTGTTACTTGTATGGCGCAAAGCAATGAATTGTGTTACACAGCTAGACACACAGTTAGACACATGCTAAAGACATGTCTATGTCAGAGACAAATGGACGTCACCGCTGTCGGGACATGTCCGATCGAGGCACTCTACGACATGATTTGGGCGCCTACAGCCTACCGCCCAATCTGAACCGACAGCTCCCGACCTCAACCGCTTTTACACGACTTTCGCCGACCTAAACCAGCGGAGCCCATGTAAGTTCTCACTGGGGCTGAGCCCGGGCGCTTGCCATGCGAAAGCTTGAGGGGCTCGTCCTGGCTCGTTCTCTCTAGCTCCATCGTCCTTCCTCCCATCTCCTCCCTAAATACTCGTACCCTACCTTTAGTTCTGCCTAGTCGCTCATAATCAAGCTGTCAGTCTTTGCTAAACACTCGTGCCGGGATCGCCTGCAATGAAGTTCTACTCCCAGTCCTTCTTGTACGAGTGAGTTGAAGCACCTTTGCTGGTCGTCTCGAGACACCCTCGCACCCGCACCGATACTAATCATATGATGTACGTGACAGCGATCCCTGGTCCATCGTCTCGCTCGCGTATCTACTCCGATACCCCAACCCGTACGCGAACCATATACTCTCCTGCGACGTCATCTCGCGCGAGGTCACACCCGAGGGCTCGCTTCGCACGACACGCCTCATCCTCAAGAAGGGTTCGCTGCCTCGATGGGCGCCGGCGGGCATGATCCAGCGCGCGGAGTCTTGGGTGCTCGAGGAGAGCGAGGTTGACCCGCTTGGGAAGAACATGCGGTGCACGACGAAAAACCTTGACCATGTCAAGGTCATGCGTGTCGAGGAGCACATTCACATACGCCAGGCGGAAGATGGGTATATCACTCATGGTCTTCAGATATGGAGGCAGTGATAATGACACCTTATCAGGAAAACGCTACAGACCACGGAGGCTATGTTCTTGTCTGGTTTCGGCTGGGGCCTGACGAAGAAGATTGAGAATTACGGGCTTGCGAAGTTCAAGGCGAACTTGCAGCGGGTGCGTAGCGCTGAGTTTGGGCCTATCCTGGACTATGCTGATGAATACTTAGTCTCGCGAGGGCTTCTTCGTCATCCTTGACCTCATCCGTCAATCCCGTATGCAACCTATGACCATGGGCGCGCCGAGTTCTTTCCTCTCTCACCGTTCCATTGCGGGTCCAGACGCAAAACCTCCCGCTCATCACGAGGTGCCTGCGAAGGGCGACAGTAGGGAAGACGGTGCTTCCAGCCCCGCCCCTGCAAGAAGAGGGTATTGGGCCAGGTGGAAGACCTGGCTTGGTTCAGGCTGAAGTTGCTCGTCTCGATTAATATTATCCTGATTATTGAACGGCCCTTCGTGATTTTATCCGATCCTGCTCCCTGCTCAGTTCCTGTCTCTTCGGTATTGTGTCGTGGGTCGTGCATGTTTTTTCGTTGTACCATTCGTGTATTTGTAGTCATCGTAGTCAGTACTTGCCCACGTTCGTCAATCGCATTCATAGTATACGTTCGCATTCACACTGATGAGCTAGTCGTCGCGAATGAGTGTGAGAGCAAAGTCTGTTTTGTCCGGAGCCGGGAGTGCACACGCGCACGTACGCGGGATGGCTGCATCATCGGCGGGAACGGCCCTGACAGATGCTATGTGTGTTGAGGCGCATCTCCATCCATTTCCACCTTCATGCCACGGATCCTTCCCAGACTTGACCGACGCGCGCGACATTCCAGGTCCCTTCGCGTCTGTCGCCCGCCTCGTCTTGTACCAGAGCTGCCATGTACTTCCCGACCTCTGCTGCGCGACAGCTCTCCAGCGCCCCGGCGCTGCCTCTCCCAAGCGAGCTCGTGCTCTCGATAGCCCCGAGTCCGCGGAAGACGCTCTTCGCGGCTGTCACAAAGACTGGGCTTACGCTATGGCGTGTTCGGGTGCGTGCATACCTTGCTCAAGCGCAAGGCCGATCTGACGTCTCGTTGCGACGTGGCCCTGGATGTAGCCCTCCGCGGTAATAGCACACCTCTCGCGCACCCCGACGTCAGTGCAGGAGCACGGAGAGAACGTACACTTGCATTGGTCTCCTGATGGGCAGAGGATTGTTGTCCAGGTGCGTAGGTCTCGCCGCAGCTTGTGTACGTGAGATTGCAGACTTAGCGTGGGCACGCAGACTACGGACTCGTACCTCGTCCTGGTCACCGTCGAATATAATGCGGATGAGCTCCCGTACCAGCCCCCACCGCTTGCGCCCAATGCGGCGCGACACTTCTTGCCTGGAGCAGGCGAAGCCTTGCCCTTCCAATCGCTGAGCTTGCGACTAGATGGCGTTATACGGATTGAGGGCACACTATTGAGGTGCGTCTCCTGGTTTGCATGACCTCCGTGGGGCGATGGTTGCTATAGCCATTTTGCCACTAGCGTCTCGCCCCGCAAGGATTCCATTCTGTTCTCTACAAGCACCCCGCCGGCAATCCAACGTGTGCCGTGGCCAGATATCTCCCGCGGTGGGACCTCAGGAGGGGGGTACGAGACATGGATCATCAACGACGAGGAGTTCCCGTGGCTTGCAGATGCAGATGGTGCGTGCTGCTATCTACCGCTTGTACCTCACCTCATATATACCCACCCTGCCGGCAGTCACTGTATCCCAGATCACTTACCACCGCCAGACTGGCTTCGAGACGTGGATAACCTCCGACGGCCGGGGATATCTGGTCCAGCTCTACGAGGACCAAGATATACAGCCCGGTGCGTCCGAAGCGAGCACCGATGACACCCAAGCGGACCTCGGGCCCTTCCGACACCCTCGACGGTCCTCAGACAGCTCGGGCTCCGCACGACCGTCCCAATGGCTTGGAACGTGCATACACCACGTCGACCCGCCTCGCTGGGTGCAGAAACGGAGACAGGTCGATCCGGGAGATGTCGTCGGGTACACATACAACGAGCCTCGGCGTGCAATGACTGTAGCTCTCAACCCGAAGTTCTCTTTGGTCGCTACGGGGACGTACAAGTGAGTGTGTGGCCTGCGTTTGGATGCGGGCAGACACTTACGTTGTACCTTTCAGTGGCACCGTCGAGTTCTCGAGCTTCCCCTCGCTGGAGGGTGTGGTTCCGACGCCGCAGTTATTGCAAATACCGAACATGTACGCGCGAGAAGGAACAGGGTCAGTATGCACCATGGAGTGGAGTTCGGACGGTTACGTTCTAGCGGTGGGATGGGAGAAGGGGTGGGCAGTATGGAGTGTTGGGGGACGATGCCTTGCTTGGGGCTTCGGCGTCGAGTATGAAGTGGACGAAGAGAAGTTCACGGACTCTTTCATGTACGGGGTCAGGAGTTTGGTGAGTGCGCCGTTTGTTGGCAGCTTTCCTCGCATGACTGACCAAGTCCAGTTTTGGGTGTCAGGCAACTTCGAGCTCGTCATGTTGGCGCAGAACTCTCCTAACAGTAAGTCATCGCCTTATATGCAGACGACTCGAGGATCTGACGTCAGTTATAGAGCCTGATGGTCAAATGTTTGTCCTCCCATTCGCCAAGAGCGCAACGACGGGGCAGCACTCTCCAGTATGCGTTGACCAGGGTTGTATCCCGCGCTTCTGCTGACATACAAAAATAGGACAATACACAATACGCATTCCTTCAGATGGACGACCGCGTTCTGGTCTACCGCGGCGCAGACCAACCGGATATGAGCGTTATCAATCCCGAAGCGGACGTATGGCAACACATCAAGGTTCCACAGGACTACATGTCCGCGAACTGGCCCATACGGTACTCTTCCTTGAGCTCTGACGGGAGGCTTATTGCCATTGCTGGTCGACGAGGACTGGTCCACTATAGCTCGACATCAGGACGGTGGAAGATGTTTGCCGATGAACGACAGGAACAGGCTTTCACCGTGAAAGGCGGCCTTCTATGGTTCCACCATGTCCTCATCGCCGCTGTAGAGGTTGCTGGGGCTTACCAGGTAAGCGAGATATGCGCACGCCGGTGTGGGCCTGCTCAATGACTCGTGCTTCCTCTGTTGCAGGTCCGCTTATATTCGCGTGATCTGGAGCTAAGCAATCAGAACGTATTGCACCGCGAGATGATCCCTTCGGCCGTCGTCATCCTTTCGCTTGTCGACAACTCGCTGCTTGTGTATACAGCGGATAACACCCTGTACCACTATCTCATCATCCCCACAGCCGACTCCATCAAGCTGCATCTCTGCGGTAGTATCACATTCGGCGGAGTCATCGCCGTTCCAGGCGCTGTGCGAGCTTTGAGTTGGATGATCCCGTCCGCGCAGAAACGTGGGTCCCGCTGCCCGAGGCGAGATAGTCTATCGACTGACAATTTGCCTTGGACAGAGTTGGGCGACCCATCAGACGACCTTGCCGTCGCTACCGTTCTCATGATTGTCGGAGGTAAGCTCGTGTTGCTGAGGCCGAGGAAGGTAAGTTATAGCACATTCTTTTGAGAGCTTCTGTTTCTTACCTGAGTCTGTAGTCAGAGGAGGGCGAAGTCAATTACGATATGCAAATCCTAGCGGACCGTATAGAGTTCTGTTGGATCCACTTGCGTGGCATCGGGACGCTAGAGAACTCGTTGTGGGGCTATGATGGGCAGGGCATCCGGGTATGGCTGAATGCACTGGCGATCGAAGCTGTCCCACCTCCCGCCGAGGACGGAACAGTAGTTCTGGATCATGTCAAGGAGAGCGTGAACATACCACTTGACTTCTATCCCCTCTGTAAGAGTTTCTGTCGTGCACCGGTGGTAATCTGACTGACGGTCCCTGCAGCAGTGCTGATGGACAAGGGAATCATCATCGGCGTCGAGGTCGAGGCAGCGACTAGGATGAGCTTGTCCTTCACCATCTTTCGGCATGTCACTAGCGTGAGTATGCCTTTTGCAGCACTGCACATGCACGACGCACTTACTGATGCTGTGTCCGGCAGTCTCACCTCTTCCTCCACCATATCTTGCTCTCCCACCTAGAGAACTCGCAAGGCAAGGAGGCCGTTTCCTTTGCATCGCATTACCAGCACCTTGTCTACTTTGCGCATGCGCTAGAGATCCTTCTCCATACTGTCGTTGAGGAGGATGCAGGTGCGCCAGAGAACGATAGCGTGGATGGGCCAGCAAAGACGAACGGGCTACTTCCCACTACTATCGAGTTCTTGGACCACTTCGATGATGCTCTTGATGTCGTCGTCGGCTGCGCAAGGAAGATAGAGATGACTAGGTGGCCGCGACTTTTCGATATTGTCGGAAACCCCAAGATTCTCTTCGAGGTATGTCACGACATGTCACACGGCACGCTTTGCGTATTAGATACTGTGCTGACGACGAGCTACCAGTCCTGTTTAGGGTCAGGTCGCTTGAAGACGGCAGGCTCGTATCTGCTCGTGTTGCATGGCCTTGAGCAACTTGACGGGATGAACGGCGACGCGATTCGGCTGCTTCGCTGCGCAGTTGCTGCACAAGATTGGCAGCTCTGCCGAGAAATCCTGCGTTTCTTGCACTCCATCGACGACACCGGTGCTGCTTTACAGACTGCGTTGGTAGAAACCCAGATATTACCTCAGGCTGCTTCGCATATCGGCCTAGGGAACGGCACGGTTCATTGACACCCTCATCTCTGCTGTAGACAGTATATCTCATCATGGGACATTCTTCGGGTCTGGATAACTTATGTAGATCGTACAAGTGTACCAATCATTGCACAACAACCAAAGTTGTCTCACGGCATATATTTGCGCCTAGTGCCAGGTCAGGCTCGGTCGAATGAGGGTGGTCCTCTGCGGACCGCTCGCCCCGGATCTCCGAATCGATGGTGTTGTTGGAGTGAGCCCAGATGGCTTGAGCCAGACCAAACGATACCCTGCGGACGAACTCACATGTGAAGCTTAGAGACGACCGCACCTCCGAGTGGACGTTGACCGGAACGCAAGAGGCCTTAGCTATCGTGTACGTGTCCATCTGCATCGAGCGGCGGTGAGTCCAGTAGCCTATGATAGGGGCATGTAGACTCTCGTTCCGGCTATCTCGCCCGGGAATTACCGATTTGTTCGACGTTTGGTATACTTTGCTATCTGACCCGCATGCGTATCTTGTCTTGGACCACAACCCATGTTGTCCCTAGCGAGAACCGCTCTCAGGAGAAGTATGGCCACTGTAGCTGGCAACGGCTCCATTACCTTGACCTCTGAGGGTGCTGTGTCAATTTCGTACAATACCCTCGTTTCTTCTCCGCTTTCGCTTGCCGACTCCATCGGTAGGTGCTTTGTGCGTCCGGTAAAGCCACTATATAGCTAAAGACTATTCAGAAAGGGCATTCGGCTCGCATCCGGATAGCTTGGGTATCGTCATCGTTCGCGACCTGCCTTCCACGTATACTCCGGCTCGAGAACGGCTTCTCCGACTTGCATATCGCTTTGCAAACCTAGAACCGAGCATCAGGGAACGTTATGCGGACCCAAAGAGTCGATACAGGTATTTCATTGTCTTTTCTGGCTGCGCACGCATATGCTGATGGAATGTGCAGCTTCGGATGGTCTCATGGCAAGGTGAGCGCATCGCTTGCCAGTCTCAACCATTCGGTAGCATCCTGAACTTCAGGCGGTAACATAGGAAATCATGAATGGCAAACCAGGTAGGTGGAAATATTCGAATATCTGTCGAAGTTTGCCTTATTGACTTACTACTCGCAGATACTATGAAGGGCTCTTACTATGCCAATCCGGTGTTGGATGAGCCCAATGTCTCCGCCGAACTGCGTCAGGCATACCCCGAATACTACGGCAAGAACATATGTGAATACAAAGCGATGCTATGCAGGACATGTACTGATCTAAACTAGGGCCAACGGATACGCCGGAAGTCTCGGAATTTGAACAGGCATTCAAGGATCTCGGAGGGTAAGCTAGATGAGTGATGTCTTCTGAACAGTAATACTAACGCCGAACATTGCAGTTTCGTCTTCAAGGTCGGATGTCAGCTCGCAGTCGCCTGCCAGCCCTTCGGTGAATATTGCACTTGTGTTCACCGACTGAGAGGGCTTGCTCTTACACACCTCATTCAGCCTCGTCATACTTGTCGGACTCCTCGCTCTCTTTGTCAGACTTGATCAGCTCCTCGCAAACCGTTAAAGCGCGGCTGTTACACTACTTCCCTCCCTCGCCCGAGAATCCTCTTCCGGCAGAAGACGAGGCTATTGACAGCTGGTGTGGCTTCCACCTCGACCATTCCCTGCTCACAGGTTTATGCTCCGTGAGTATCCATGTATTCTGCTTCCGACTAGGTCTAAGACGTCTGCCTTGGTACAGGCCTTGTATCTCCGCAAAGACCCGTCGGGGGAGCCCGCCATCGTTCAATCCCCTTCGCCCACGTCCGGGCTCTACATTCGTACTCGCGGCGGTGCCCTCACCAAGGTCTCTATTCCCGCCGACTGTCTCGCCTTCCAGACTGGGGAGGCCCTCGAACTCGCTACTGCAGGCAAGCTCCGTGCCACCCCACACTGTGTGCGGGTTGGCGCCGCTCCTGACGCAGAGAAGATCTCCCGCGAGACGTTTGCGCTCTTCATGCAGCCGAACGTTGACCAGCAGCTCTCTGCATCGGAGAATTTCGGGCAGTTCAGCAAGCGCATCTTCAACGAGCACTACAAGGACGAGTCCGCCGGAGCAGCTATGTGAGAAGAGGCATACACAAGGGGAGCGGTATGTTATACAGCAAGATGGCTATACAAGTGGCCCAAAGGGGGAGGGACATCTAGAAACATGTACAGATTCAATTGCGCTAGCGCAAGTTGTGACAAACATTAAGAAACTGCAGGCGGCGTCCACCAGTGTTATATATGCATAAGAGTGCCTGAAGGTCCGTCTAGATGAGACAGAGATGTTCGTGAAGTCATTAAGGTGATTGAGGCTCGTGTGGACCGTCGTCGGAGTCAGAAATGACACTCCAGTCACTGACCGCGCCAGATGCGGACATGCTGGGACTTGCGCGCTCCGGAGGCGTGGACGAGCCGGAATAGTCGCGGATGGTAGCGTGTTCGGCATTAAGGTGTTCCTCGATGTGACGTTGTGCAACGCCCTTGATCAGGGTTCGAGCATACTCCATGTCACGATAGATGGCTTCTATAGCAGTCGCAACGCCGTTCTCCTACAAGCACAATCAGTGTGCCGCAATGCAGTATCGACAACAGGACGTACAGCTCGAATTTGCTCGCCAACCAATTTGGCGCGGTCGATGACCTTCTGATTAGTTGTGGCTTCACGAAGCGCCTGCGACAGGCTCTCAACGGTCAACTTGCGCACAGCAGCTCCGATACCCAGTGCTTCGACGCGATCACCCCAGAAAAACTGGTCACCGAAGAACGGCTTAATAATCGTAGGGATGCCAGCTGCGTATCAATGGTGAGCAAAACAACAGCCAAGTGGGACACTAGACACACACCCCGCAAACTCGCTCCGGTTGTCCCTGCTCCCCCGTGATGGCAAGCGGCATCGATTTGCTTGAATAGCCAGTCATGGGGAATGGACGAGATGGGATAGATCTGCTTCGGCAGAGGTTCTTCGGGCTCGGTCTGAGCTGGGACATTCTTCACCAGTCGGTCAGACCAGCCCTTGGACAGTATGGCGTGCACGCCACTCTGCACAATCGCATCGATGACACAGCGCGTCATAGCCTTAGGGTCGGGCACGACGATACTCCCAAAGCCAATGTAAACGATCTTCTTGTTAGCTTTGCGCGCTGCATCGATGAAGTCCAATAGATCCTGCGGGGGTTCCCACTTCTTCGAGCCCACGTCGGCGGCGTCGAGGAACCAGTAACCTAGACAATGCTCGGTACGTGGTTCAAGAGCACGATAACAGTTAACTCACCCGTGATGCGAATCCATTCGGGCCAGTCAAGGGGTGGGGGCACGATGGTTGGGCTGAAGTTATAAAGGAACGGAATCCTGTGAGGCTCCATCTTGTCCAGGCTAGTACCCGGGAGGCCGAGGGTATGCTTCCGCCAGCGGTTGATCTGTCCAGCCGTTCCACGCCAGAATACCTGGTCGAACAGTACATATGTCTGGGATCCCGGAAACTATCAGGAGCCAGTTCTACAGATTGGCTAGAGCGAGCTTACCATGTAGTTGTAATTGCCTCCCATCTATGAATTATGATCAGCGCAGCCCTATGTGATCGCACTCATCTCAAACACACCTTGTGCTCTGGAACAGCGAATGCATGTGGGTATGCCCTGCAACGATCGTCAATAAAGCTACCAGCGTGTCCTTATCGACACGCACCTCGTCCGAGACCAGGTCATAGTGAACGCACGGAAGTACGGGATCTTCAGAGCCTCAGCGATGTGGTAGCCAGCCATTGCACTAGGGCTCTCAATGAGGACATCTGTGCCTTGGCAAGCCTCCCATGACGTCTTGAGGAGATCGTCTATCCATCCTCGGAACTACACGAGACATGAGTACCAGATCCTTGGGTTGTAAACACGCTACTCGCCTTCTGTACGCCTTCCTTGAGGAAGGCGACCGTAAAGGTGCCGTTCTCGACGCATATACGCATGAGCTCCGCAGGATCGCCGCCTACATAGCCAAACTCGATCCCATGCTGCGACCAGATCAGATACAAATGCAGTACACGGCAAGTCTTGACTTACGGATTCGATCCACTCCTTGAACTCGCCATGAGTGGCAATACGCACACGATGCCCGTCCGCCTTGAGGCCCTTGGCAAGCGCGATGTACGGCTGGACGTCTCCACGCGAACCGATGGTGAGGAACGTGAAGTGGAGCGACTTCTCCGGCTTGAAAGAGAGGAACGTCGACGATTGTGATGTGAACATGTACGCCGGTGCGGATTCGGACGAGGTCGACCGCGACTCGTCCATGTCGAGCGCATTTCGAGCGCCATATTCCTCCAAGATCAGAGCTTCGTGGTGGCCGTCCGAGGGTGCGCGCGGGTCGCCAGAGCTCGTCCGCTGCCGCACAACCTCGATCTGCTTCTGGAGGACACTGATGAGGGCGTTGCGTCGCTCTTCGTCGACGAACTCGAAGAACAGCTCCTCGTGCCCCTTGACGATAACTACGAGACCGTGATGGCCGAAACGGAAGGACTTTGACTTCTCCGTGGCAAGTACATCCCTCAGTGGGAGGATCATCTGTCCCAAGAGGTCAGGGGAGGAGCGTCGTGCACGTGCGCGAGGTACATACCTTTGTTTTAGAGGTCAGTGGTCCGCTGGACTTGAAGCAGAAGTAATTATCGGAAACGTAAAGACGGCCATAAACAGGCAACAACCGGAACAGATATCCCGTGAACACTGCAAATTCGTAAGGCAACGCGTCTCCAAGCAGGGGACGTCGAAACTTACTGCCAAGCAGGTTCTCCTTGTCATCAAACGCGAACGCGTCGCGGAACTTATCGACCATCTCGCTGTCTACCGCGGTCTCCGGGGTTTCAAGGATACTGAAGAACCCGAAATCGCCGCTCATGGACGCGCTGGGCAGCTTACCGGCTGATGAGGCGCGAGACGACACGACCTCACTCACTGTCCGGAGGGCATGGGCGCTAGGCGGCAAATGAACCGTTGCCGCATGCTCGATGACCGGCCTCGCTAAGTTGCTCGTCGACGGCACTCCGAACAAGCTACGAGACGGCGCGCGAAGCCAGGCGGGGATTGAAGGGATCGAGGGTATGCCCACCGACCATCCGCTCCCGCTCGAAGACGCGGTTGGTTCCTTGGTCGAGCCCGCGGCGCCATTCCCGCGGAAGTCTACGACCGACGCGGAGGTGGAAGGAGGGTACGTGTGATCAGAAGCGGTGAGGGTGGAAGTGGGTGTCAGAGTCGCAGTCGAGTTGCGGAGAGAGCCGGGCCCACCTTCAGTAGGGGAGGTGGTCTCGTTTGTCGTCGCGATGGGCACGAAGGACGAGCTACTCTTCTTGACAATGTGCGTGAAATCTTCGTTATGTGCGTTGTTCGCGCCATGTGTGCTACCCGAGCGGCCATGCGTCTCTTGCAGCGGCCAGAGCAGCGAGGTCAGTCTAAAGCCTGCTGGGTGCTTTGTGTGAGGATCTGCCGAGGGTTTGGTCGGCGACTGTGCCGAGGGCGACCGAGCGCTGGTGCTGTCAACCACGGTAGGCGAACAGTCAATTGAAGGTATGCCGCGATATGTGCGAACGGCATCCCGGATCTGTTCCAGGGCAGTGGGTAGATCTTGGAAGTAGGCGAAGAAGTAGGAGTCGAGCGCCAAGTCAGTCGTCTTGTCCTGCACTTTGATCTCGATTGTTTCGCTGAAGTCCATCGCCCCTGATACGTCGACATCAACAACCGTCGGATACGGGATAGCAATCTTGGCTACACATCAGTGTTAAGTCCTTGGTTTGCGGAAATGCTGCTCACCTTGATACTATCTCCATTATTCTGAGCCTTCAACATGACCTTGCGAATGGCCTTGACCCATTCATCGCGACTGGGTACGGAGTCTGCAGACAATCGAATGGACTTCTGGTTGGTCCGCAGGCGGATGTCCTTCTGATTCACCGGTTCGCAGCTGATCGCATACCGCAGATCGACGACTCCATGCGGGAAGTATGGATCCTGACGTTTGACTGGTATCAGTACCATATATACATGACACCGCCAAGCTGATCTCACCGACGCAGACTGGTACCATGATAGCACGTCGTTCTTGAGGACAAACCAGTGTCTGATCCAACGCTTTGTCCGCTGAGCCTTCTTGAACAGGAAGCCGGACTTCAGCACTTGGTCCTGAGGACACTCAATCAGCAATGATTCCGACTATTGGTATAGCAAACAAACCTCTCTTGATGGGAGGTGTGCGAAGAAGCATATGTATGCGTCCGTGAGATACATATATCCTTGGAGCACTTCGAGGGACATCAGTTTCTGGTAATCGTAAAGCGCTCTGGGGGTCCCCACTCACAGACCGATCGAAGCAGCCAGCACGGCATCTCTGCATAAGACGTAAGCATTCCCTTACGTAGACGAGTTCAAGTTGAAGCCAAAGCCCTACCTGCTACTACTTCGTTGATGTTGCTCAACTCGAACACGTCTCGCAGCTTCCCTGCCAGCTGCGCGCGTCTGTTCTGCCGTACGGTAGCCATGCTACCAGACCGACCCGTTCCTCTCGTACTGCCATGGGCTTCTAGCACTGAAGAATCCAGGTCCGGTATCGTCTCGGGAGACATCCGACCTGAATGTCCCGGGCCAGTAATCAATCCTCCTTCGTGCGACTCGAAATCGCCTTCAGTATCGTCATCCGAAGGCGAGACATCGTCTGGGCGCGACGCCTCTTCGTTGTCAGACACACTCGGAAGGTCTGGGCTTCTAGCAGCACGATGCGAGGACGGGGCCTCTCCCTTCCGTGAGCGCGCGAGGGGTCGGTATATAGCATGTATAGAGGACGTGAGGCGGTTGACTGCGCGAAGTATTATCAATGTAGGAACGATCAGACCCTGCAGAGATAAGCTCACCGCTCCTGTCCTCATCATCGCTCTCCGTGCCTACGGGGGTAGCATCATGGTTCATCTCCTCATCGTCATTGTCTTGGTCCTCAGCCCATGGGACGGCCTGGAGCGCTTGTATAAAAGTCTGGGTGCCGGCATGCATCTGCGACGTGCAATATGCTTGTCAATATAACGCGATTAGCACATGTCAATTGAACACACGTACCGATCGGAACCCGCGGAATATGAGGTTCTCCGGACGAGTGGGATCCAGAGACGGCGAAGTAGGTGTGATGAAAGGCGATTCATCGTCTCCGGTTGCACCCTGGACACGGTGTTGCTTACGCGATGGAAGCGGTGGGGAGGACGGAGATGTATCCAGTTGTTGTGAACGCGAGGTCGATTCGTGTTCTAACACGGCAGCCACGTTGAGATCTGTTTTCCTAACTCGTTGCGAAACAGGCGATATACCTTCTTGAGCTTGTCTTTCCTTCCCCTTGCCCCTAGAGAGGCTCAGTATGCGTCGATGGCTCGATTGCGGCAACGAGGGCTGGCTTTGCGAGAGCAGGGGCATGTTCCGCCCTAGCTTGTCCGAGGTCTTCTCCATGACGCGCTTAGCGACGTCGCCCTTGGAGTCGGACACAGTCTCAGCAGCAGAAGTTGATGAGCGGTCAGATGTGGGAGAGGTCGTGATCGTCGGGCGGCTTCCTGGGGTATCGGGTGGAGAGTCTGGCTGTCCGTCTTGCGCCATCACTCGTCAAGGCAGTTGGATCAGCAGACACGACAAGGATGCGGTGGATCAAGTGGTGCAGGATGCGAGGTGAAATATTACAGAATGCGTCAGAGCGGCATAGCTGGACGACTGAGGGTGCGGAGGGGCCGCGCGAGCTCGCTCGCGACACACGCACCATACGGGCCAATCCCAGACGCCCAGACGCGCCCCTAGGAATGTCCCGAAAAGGCAGGCGGGGTTGGGCGAGGCAGGTGACTGGGACTGCAGACGTGCACGTCGCGTCCGGATTCCGCGAGGCAGGTTGGCATCGACGCTCGCCCGTTAGCTTTCCCCGCAGTTCGCCCTGGATACCCTAATCTTCCCTCTCCTCCCCCTTCTTGCCCTCAGTATACCATGCGAGGCGAAATATGCATCGGCTCTGCCTCCTTCCTCTCGTAAGCACCGTGTTCCTCCGCTACCCGTGCAGCGTGTCTTCGAGTTCTGTGACTAACTCTCGCGGCGCATGGCGAAGCTTCGCCGCGTTGCTCATGTTGATATTCGTACATGCAAGTCATCCCGCCTCTTCTAGATTACCGCTATCTCCTACTGATAGCCCACGCTCATCCAGGTTGGCCAAATCAACACCTCCACCGTCCCGCGAGGCATATCCATGGTGATTCGACCCTACACATCGACATGACAGAGCTGTTCGGGTTGACGCCGTGAGTCGCGCAGGTCAACATCAACATGACTGGATATGGGTGCGTGTTTGGCACATTTGCGGCGTCGATCGGTGGTGCTTAGTCTCCAAAAGGCAAGGTCTTGCTGCTGCACTGGGTGACCCCATTGGCGGGCTCTATGCCACCAACGCTTCTGCTCCGTTGCAACAGATGGAAGGCATCCGCGACACTTACAAGTTCGGCTTGTACTCCTACTGCGGCTATCTGAATGGCTCGCAGGGCACTTGCTCCAACACCTCGGCCGCCAACAGGTTCGAGCCGTTCAGGGTCATCACGGCCGACATGCTCGGAAACTACACCGGTTTCACGACAGCGCTCATCACCCAGGGCACCTTCATCGACTCGAACTACTTGGGAGATTTCACAAACGGCGCGTGGTACCTCATCCTCATCGGAACGGTTGCAGCAGCTCTTGCTTTGCTCACGTAAACGGTTGCCCATCGCTGTCAAGAATTACTACTAAAACTCCTTCATAGCGGTTTTCTTAAACACACTCTGTTCTTCCTGCTGTCAACCGCCTTCGCCGTGCTAGGCGCACTATCGCTACTCATCGGCGCGACAATATGGACGGTCATCATCAAGAAAGCCGAAGGCATAAACAACTTCGTGGTCGGGTCTGCCGGTTCGCCCACCCCTCTGGGCATCACCGTCTCGACAGGCGATGCGCTGTTCCTGCTGTGGGCCTCGTGGGCATGTCTGCTGGTGTCGTGCCTGCCATACATGATCAGGTTGAGTGACGTCCATCCGTGCTATGTTTAAACCGATCTGCTCACATGTCCAACCTTGCTGCGTAGCTGCTGCACATACCGCGGATAAATTTCCCATTGACCGATGCTGAGCATCATAGACTGCTATTTGTTTACTCTACGACCCCACATCCACGTCTACTACGAGGACACTTTCATGACTCTGCTATGTATTGGACGTCTGTCAATGAAACAGGTAGATTAGAAGTTCTATGCTCCTGGGTATTCCAGTCGTACGATTGCGTCCACGCCTTCTGTGGGAGCTCCGTTCAATCGGAGCCTACCTCACACTGCGGCCATAGGACGGTGAGCAGACCCGTAAAAAGCGGGCAGGGTCCCACCGGCCGCTTGGAGTTGAACGGAAATATCAGGTCCGAGCCGATTAGCGTATCACGTGCTAGATGTTCTGAACCTTATTTTCCTTCAGCTGGCACAAACGCAGGATGCAAATCAGCGTTGACGATACTGTGAACAAATTCTGAACATTTCTAGTATCTCCCGCCTTGCCTATGGTGAAGTCATAGAATTCCATTTTGATAGGATTGTCTCCTGGCACAATCCGGCTTACAGTGATGCTGCCGGGGGTATCCGGACTTATTCTTGTGTAATTGTGTTTCCTACGTTATTAGTTTACTTAACGCTGATTTGCACCCTGTGTTTACTGGTACGAGCCGCTGCCGAGAGTTGAATGAAAATAAGGTTCAGAACATCCAGCACGTGATACGCTAATCGGCTCGGACTTGCGACCGCTCTCCCTTTTCGTTCAACTCCAAGCAACGTCGGCTCAGAGCAGCGGGTAGGACGGAGCCTGAGGAAAATGTATGTAGCCCACCGCGAGGGTCGAACTCGCAGCCTTCAGATCACGTGCCAGGTCACCCGCTAGTAAGAGTCTGACGCTCTATCCGATTGAGCTAGGCGGGCGATGAAAGTCAAACAACTCTACACAATATCATCCCATTTCGTGTGTCCCTCGGGCTCTGTTCACCGTCGGCGCCTGAGTGCTCTTGGCATGCACCGGTTCCCGAGGGCGAGGCTGGCGGCATCCTCGACCTCGTTCCTATTCTATAAACCCCCACGCTCCCTGAGGCCGGTCCCCTCCACATCCCTCTTCATTCTATTCCTCCGTTCCCCCCGGCTTGTCAGCTCCAAAGTCTCCTACGATCTTTACGCCTCTCCTGAAGTCTAATGTATACCAAGCACTTCTCAAGAGCCGTCGCGCTCACCGGTGGCGTGCTAGCTCTCGTCGCCGGTGCACACGCGCTCCAAAAGGTCTCCCGGGTCGGACGATACCTGTATACGGACGACGGCAATCGCTTCTTCATCAAGGGTATCGCATACCAGGAGCAAGGTCTGTGATCATTCGATTCTGGTCGCAGTAGTTGTCCTGAGTGCTCACCGCGGATTGGAATTGATAGGTGCTGCTTCAACCGACCCTAACAACCCTTTTTCTGAGCCTTCAACGTTCATCGACCCGCTCCAGGATGGCACCGCTTGCAAGCGTGATATTCCCTTCCTCCAGCAGCTCGGCGTGAACACCATTCGTGTCTACAGCGTGAACTCGTCCCTCAACCACGACGACTGCATGAGTGCTTTCAGTGCAGCTAACATCTATACCATGTATGCACCCTCTCTCGTACCCTTCTTTTCTTGCACCGACCCCGCTTCAGCGTCGACCTTGCCCTTCCCGGGAATGGTTCCATTGACCGTCTCAACCCCACATGGACCACGAACCTCCAGGACCAGTACATCAACACCATCAATGTCTTCAACAAGTACGACAACGTGCTTGCCTACAACGTTGGAAACGAGATTATCGTCGACCCTTCGGGTACTGGCGCGGCTCCTTTCATCAAGGCTGCCGCTCGGGATATTAGGTCATACCTGTAAGTCGTCGCTCTGCGCTTACTCGTTCTGCTGACAGACTATTTGATGGCCCTTCAAACGCTCGTACTGGTCTGCAGCAACTCAGTCGGTTCCTCTGCTCTTGTGGGCTACGCCGCCATCGACGGTGACGACAACTGGGTTCTCCCCCTCGCGGAATACCTCTCTTGCGATCCCACGTCTGCTAATAATGGCTCGTCCGCCATTGACCTCTTCGGCCTGAACAACTAGTAAGTTAGCTGCGCAGCACTTCCTGTGAGAGTGCTCTACAACTCATGGCCCACGCGCGATCTGCTCCACAGCGAGTGGTGCGGCAACGACTCTCCGTCCGCTTACTCCGGCACGAACGGTAACTTCGCGGGCTACAACGTTCCCGCGTACTTCTCCGAGTTTGGATGCGTAAAGAACCCGCCGCGTCTCTGGACGGAAGTCGGCACGATCTTTAGCCAGCCTATGTCCGACATCTGGTCTGGCGGTGTCGCGTTCAGCTACTTCCCCGCCGAGTCCAACGACGGAGAGTTCGGCATTGTCACTATCAATGGTAACACCGTCACGACCAACGACGACTTTGGTCGCCTTCAAGCTCAGTACGGCAACGTGACGTTCCCCACCGTCCCCTCCAAGAGTTCCGCGGGCACAACACAGTTCCCGAGCTGCCCGCCCAACAACTCAAGCTGGCTCGCGTCGAACACGCTCCCGCCCACACCTAATGACAACGAGTGTCAGTGTCTGGCCAGCACGTTGAGCTGTCAGTTCACGCCCAAGACCGACAACACGAGCGTCATCATCGGGTCCCTTATCGACTTCACGTGCTCGACCCTCCCCAGTGTCAACGCTAACTGCGACGACATCTCGGGCAACGGCACCACCGGAAGTTATGGCCGCGTCGCCTTCTGCGATCCCGGTACGCCTTGCATTCACGATTCACCGCGCGTTCACTGACACATAAACACTCTTCTCCTAAACAGCGACCAAGCTCTCTTTCGTGATGTCGGAGTTCTACGAAGCCACAAATCGCGCCGCGACATCGTGCGACTTCTCCGGCAACGCGACCGTCAACCCGAATGCGCCCACGTCCGCCTCGGCGGAGAACGCCGCCGCGTCCTCCTGTCTCTCCAACCCCAATGCCGTCTTCACGCCTTCCTCGCCCGCAAGCGCCTCAGGGTCTAGCTCGACTGGCGGCTCGACTGGCTCCGGCCAGAGCGGCTCGAGCGGCAACAAGAACGCCGCTGAGTCGCTCTTCGAGAGCAAGGCGTTGTTCGGCGTCGGGATCGCAGCGCTGTTGAGCGTCCTCGGGTCTGCGCTGACGCTCGCATGAGCGACGGCATTTCAAATGCTTGGAGGGTTCACGAGGTAAAACCTATAATGCGGAAAACAGACGGACTGAATCGGTGTATTGTTCTCTGCAGTGCTTCGGCATCGGATGTGTATGACTGGACCCTTTGCTCGCAACGGACCGTACGGCGTTGTTCCCCTTGACCATACCCTAGCCTACCTTCTTATGACAACCTAGCTAGTACTACTTAGTGGCCTCGCCCGCTTTGCTCCTCTTTCCGGAGACGTCGGCCCCGCTATGGGACCGCAATGGACTGATCTTTCAACGTAATCGCAGCTCTGGAACCAGCTTTGTTCCAACCGTCTGCAGATGCCTTGTTACCTGCCCGAGCCAGGCAGGTCCTTGTTCAGCGAGCCGCCTTGCCATGACTCGATGCGTCGAATTCGCCGACGGCCTCGGAGCCGTTGCGACAGCTCTGCCCAGTAGTCCACCTTCGAAGGTCATTTCGAGCGACAAGGGGGCACCGGCGGCCATCGAACGAAGCCTGCCGCTCTGGCCTCATCAGCGACAGGACATACATAGGAACGCGCGCCGAACCTTGGAAGTGCTTCGGCAGAAGACGCGCACACCGCGACGAAGTGCCGCTCCTGTCAAATAACGTTGGCCAGGGACAGCCGATGGGAGAGTATTAGAGGTTTGGCAGGGCGGGAAAGGGTTGGGACAGCGGCCGCCCGCGGGACTTATTCGGTCAGGCCAAGCGAGTCAATTGCGGGCACACGCGGGTGGAAACAACCTGAGACGGCCTGGTGATTGCGCGGTTAATATCATGTGGGCTGACGACGGGGGCCCCCACGATGAGGTCGGATACTGCGTCGTGCGCGTCTGGTTGAGTGCGACGAAGGTGAGAACACTGAACAGCCATAAACTCAGATGCGGCAGTACAGCATGTGGGGTTGCGCTCGATGTTGGTTGAGAGGGACAAAAGTGAATAACAGAATCGTGGGTAGTTCGTGACAGTGTCAAGATGCGCGAAGCTGAACGTAGAACGGTAATGTATGGTAGTTTTGAAGGGTCCATGAACGCACACGGCAGGTGCGATGGCAACTATTTCATGAGAAGGAGAAATGACAGATTGATAAGCAATGCGGTGGCGACATTCTCAACAAGATGAGTGGTATGTACTGTAATATGTTATGCGGAGTCCAGAAAGTCTGAGAGATCACATTGTACGGCCAGGACAATGCGAGGGTGAGTGGCGACGCCAATCTAGGCATCGTCCATTTGAGGAGAATGACGCTCGTTAACGACGCCCATTAGGCCGGATTCCAGTTAGCTTTAACGACTTCCCGTTCAACGACCAACAAAGCGAGCCATACAAGATCGTGTCGACGCTCTACAAGAGGAGTGCTCCTGCGCCCGAGACGAGCGCGAAGGCCATCGCACCAAGAGAGCCGGGAGCGGAGAATGCGCTCATCGCGCCGTTCTTGCCAGCACTGGCAGCGGAACCCGAATTTCCACCAGAGGCACTCGCCGAGGCAGCGCTGCCGCTGCCGCTTGCTAGAAGTGATGAAAAGGGTCATTTAACAACCTGTCGATTTGGTATATGCAGTCTATCAAACGTACCGATCGGGTTAGACGTGTTGTCGTTCGTCTCAATGTACGCGTCCTGCATGGGCTTGCCGAGGCAGGAGATGATGGGCTCGATCTTGAAGGGCGGCTGGTGCGCAAGAGCATCGGGCAGGATGTAACCAGTGGCGATGTCAACGGTCTGCTGGAACAGGTCGTGCTCGAGGACAATGAAACCGTGGTCAATCGTCGTCGCGTTGCCGATGATGTTTTCCCAGTTGTTGAGCACCTGGGCCGACGTGATGAGGCCGCCAGCGATGTCAAAGTCTGGTAAAAGAACCGAATATTAGCGGCGTCCGAAGATTTCTTGGCGTGAGTAACGCAAGAAAAAGGAACGCACCTCCGGTGTCGAACGTGGCAGTGGGGCTAATGCGGGTCCAGATAGAGGTCTGGAGACCCATGGCCTTCGCAATGGCGCGGACACGGTTATCGACATCACCGTAAGGGGGGCGCCAAAAGGTGGGAGTGACACCGAGCACGTCCTTGATAATCTTCTTGCTCCATCCCAGCTCAGCAATGATCTCCTCGTTGGTGAGAGTAGTCATCTGCGGGTGGCTCCAGGTGTGAACGGCAATTTGGTGCTGAGCCATGTACTCCTGCTGGAGGAGAGCAGGGTAGGAGATCGCACGCGAACCGACGACAAAGAACGTCGCCTTGAGGTCGGCGCTGTCGAGATAGGCAAGGAGATCACCGGTGTAGAGGGCAGGACCGTCATCATAAGTGAGACCCCAAGTCATCTTGTCCGGGCACTGGACGACATCGTCGTCGTCCGTGCACCCACCGCACGTCCACCAGCAGCGGCTAGAGTCCGCGGCCGCCTGGGGGTTGGCAGGGCATCCACCAGCAACAGTAGGGCTGATATCAGGGATGGTGATGCCGGACGCATTGACCGCCTTGATCCATTCCTGAACCTGGGGGGAGCTGACGTCGGGCGTCTTGTCCAAAGTAGGGTAGTTCGCCGGGTTGAGGCTGAGCGCTTCATTGATGAACGAACAATGTCAGTAAATCGAAAGAAGATGACCACGGATATTTGATTGACTCACCGTTAGGTAGCGCAGGCGCGTTGGGAATGTAGGTCGGGGTGGTGCCGGATGCAAAGGTCGTGGTAGCAGCAACGGTGGGCTGAGAAGACGCCCCAGAAACGATCTGAGAAAGAGGAATCGCCGAAGGGTTCGTGGACTGCAGGGTAAAGGTCAGGGACACAGCTCCGCTTGGACCAGGGGCAGTAGTGGCGGCTGCGGCGGAGCCGGCACCCGCGACTGAGCTAGCACCTGCAACGGAGGTGGCTGGAGCGGCAGAGCTCGAGGCAGCAGCGGGGGACGAGGCAGCAGCGGCCTGCTGGCGTGCGTGGTGCAGGTCACGGACACCGTGTGCAGAGACCAGGGCGGGCAGCGCGACGGCGGAGACAAGGGCGAGCTTCATGTCGAACGAGTAAAGAGCGTAAGGTTATGCCTATGGAGAGGTGGAAATCGTCGTGGTCGGGTCGCCGTCGAGGGCGGACAGGGTGGGAGCGTGGACGGAGAAGATGGACAGGAGGAGAGAAGCGTGCGACAGGTGCGGGAAGCTTTGAGTGGATTTTACAGAGAGCAGGGTGCTCGGAGGACAACAGGCCCAAACAGAGGAGCCACTCTCGGCCGTGCGCGTTGCGGTGACAGAGGAAGATGTCTCATGCCCTCTGCCAAATATAGCATCCAATACAGCATCGCTTATATTTAGGTGACATCATCGCCGACACACCAGACCCTTTTCGCGAGCGCACCCGGACATGGCCGCGGCTCTCCTCCGGCACGCTCGGTCGCATGAATTACCCACTGCCAGGGCAGCGCGCTCGGCACATGCAACGCACAACGCCCTCTACGCCTTCTTCTGCTTTTTCAGACGCGGCTTTTCCAAATCAATCTCCTCCTCGTCTTCCTCATCATCGTCCTCGTCGTCCTCGCTGTCCACGTCCTCGCCACCCGCGTGCCCGAGGAAGTATTCAATCGCCTCCGGGAAGACGTCGTTGGCAATCGTCACCCCAAGCTGCACAACCGCTCGCTTATCAGCCGCCGCACAGCATGCTCGCGAGCAGTAATTATAACTCACGTCGAACGGGTCGTCCGCGACTTCAAACAAGTTGAAGAAGCTCCCGCCCTCCGACGGCAGGTCGTCGTCCACATCATCCTTCACCCGCGGGTGCAGCTTCGTCAGGTTCTTCGAGTCGTCCTTCCAGTCGATCTTTGTCGCCTGCATGTTCCAGCCGAGCAATATTAAGCCACAATTACGACAACAAACACGCCCTGTGCGCGCCGAAGCGAATTGCAACGCGCTCAAGCGATTAACATTTAAAACTTCTAAACTTACCTGAGGTTGCACGTCGCGCTCCCAAGAGAACTCGAGCATCGTCTCCGTGATGCCGTCAGCGTCCGGCTTGTCTTCCGACGCGACCGGCGGTGGCACGTATTTGTATTCCTTCTTCAGGACCGTGTTCGAGAAGAACGGGTTCTCCTTGAAGTGCTGTCGCCACCAACACCGCGTAAGCCCCTCTCCACTGCATGATTCACAACCGGACAGGAAGGAGAGACACGGCACCCTCGGGCTGCGAACCCAAACCACCGTCAAGCCCGAGGCCGGGGAGCACACAGAGTCCAGGGGAGCCCGAGGTGCGCGTCCGATCCAACCTGACAAAGACAGCAACACTCACGAATTCGAGCGTGAAGCAGCGCGACTCGACCGGGTCGCGGATGAGCCACAGGTCCTCGAGGTAGCTCAGCGCGGCCTGGTCCGCGTTGTGCTGCGCGTGCACCGCGAGCAGATCGTGGTTCATGAGCGCGACGGGCCAGAACTTGTTGATCGCCTTCACCACCGCGCGCCGCTTCTCGTACACGGGCACCATCTTCTCCTGCGCGCGGCGCTCTGCAACGCCACGCGTAATTCGTCAGTACGTCCATCCTTACGCGCCAAACTGGAGACAGCGCAGCCACGATTACGGAGTAGAGGGAAAAGAGGGGGCCGGGGGTGGCAATGGTTGGGAGAGGGAGAAAGCACAAGTTCAACGTACCAAGCACGAGCTCGATGCGGGCGATGTCCTTCTGGATGCCCTGGAGCTTGACGGCATCCTCGTCGGAGAGCTCGACGTCGCCCAAGGGGTTCTTCTCGACTTCTGCGCCGGGGGACGCGCGTTTTACGCCCTTGTTGCTCATGGCTGGTCGTCGTAGGGAATGTGATGGGTAAATTTCTGAGCTTCGCGCGCGCGTCCTAGGCTCCCCGCACGGGACCTGTCGTCGGAGTTGTCACGCTCGTCTTCCGGACTCCGCTGTGGCGTGGGTACGCTTTTGGCGTCTCCTGGCCGGCCGGAGCCGCATCTTCGCCGACGACGAGTGCCAATGCCGGTGGCCGCCTCCGCGCTGGTCGCCTTGTGTTGTCACGCTCGGTCGGGCAATGCTAGGTTGAAGGTCCCATGAACATGTCGTGAGGCATTAACATAGATACATAGGATACGGGGCTCGTGCATAGCGGAGTCCCAAGGTCCCAGTCGAAACACAGCCCGACGCGCCACCAGCATACGAAAGCAATACCTCAGGATCAGGATCAGTCGAAGTGCTCCTTGGACGTAACAGATCCCATCTCAATCTCGTCAAGCTTCTTGCTTTTCGCGCGGCGGTGCTCCTTGTCACCCGCCTTGAACCTCTCAAGCGCGGGCAGGCCAAGACCCTTGCCGTGGTGCGCAGCGCGGAATCCGGGGCCGTCGTAATAGATGATGTCAGTGAGCGGCTGCAGGCGCGGCCAGTTGACGTAGTCGATGCCGTGCACGAAGATGAACGCGAGCGAGACGAAGACAAGGGTAAACCAGAGGAGGAAGTAGTAGAAGAGCGAGTAGTCTGGGTGTGGATGGATGGACCGGGCCATCGAAGATGCAGTCAGCGGCTGCCATGTGCGGAGATGAGGAGCGGGCCACAAACGTACCGGACGTGCGAGGGAGCGTGAGACCGGCACAGATCATGAACAAGGAGAAGAGCAGGATGTATGGAGGCTGGAAGCGATTGTGAAGGAGTCGTGAGCGCGCAGCCAGTGTCAATTGCAGACCAGAAGACTTACCGCACGGATGATGAGCGGCCTGCGATCGACCACTAGCGTTGCTGGGTTCCACCCACGGCGAGGCCACCACGCACCGGTCATCAAGTCAAACGCATCCTATAGAAGCATGCCATGTTCAGCATGCCGGCATTCCAAGCGACCTCGGTTCATGGAGATGAAACACTCACCTGTCGTGCGCCGTCGAAGAAGTTGTTTTTGAGGTATCGCATTACAGAGTTCCAGCCATCCTCGAACAGGCCTTGTCGGGTCCTCTTCCCCGTGCGTGTGAAGTCGGTCTTGAGCGCCCCTGTTCCGGAGTACGCAATGGAGATGAAGTTGGCGTGATCGGTCCACACTGTCATGCAGAAGAAGGATGCATGGAGCCGAGATGTCAGGTACGTAAAAGACCATAACAGGATGACAAGATGGTATCGTTAGGCTTCTTGTCAAAAACTGAGAAGCAAAAGACGCACTTTCACGGAAGTCGCGCGTGAGCTCCTCATAGTTATCCACGGAGTCATTCTCCTGGATCACCCGCAGGTCCTTTAGCTGACGCTCAAGCATCCACTTCGCAATGGCCGACTGTGCGACGTTGGTGCGATCAAGGTTGTCCATGCAGTTCGTGCGGACAACACCGGTCTGCAGCTTGACTGGCTCCGGCTTGTTGGAATCAAGATGGAAATATCTGCCAACATCATTTCATCTCCTGTCCGCTGCACTGGTGACAAGATGGCTTATTACCCGTTTTGAAGCAGCTCTTCTTCCAACTTATCGATGAGAACGCTGATTCTGTGCCAGCGCATCTTGCTGCACTCGCTGTGGAAGTCGAAGTACTCGTATCTGGTCTTCGGTAAATTGGCCTGTCGGAGGCGATTAGTTGACCCGTCAACTGTCGGTCGTACCATCACACATACCTGGGCGATGTACTTCTCGAACGCCTCCTTGACAGGCTTCTCATGACCCTTGTGGTTGACTAAGTTGACTAAGGTCTGCCCGCCATACAGTTTGAGGTTCTCCTGTAGATGTGCACGCATCGCGTCGACCTATGGCCGCACCATCAGTAACACTGTGCAGAGCCACAGACTATCAGTGGCACTGACCGTATCCTGCAGTTCCATGATCTGCACGTCGGGTTTGTACCTTAGGGTGTTCACTTCTGCCCAGTACACAGGGATGCTGCCACGGATCTGCACAAAGCTGAGCTGGGTACCCGATTCATCCCCTCCGACGAGCAGGATCTGCTCTGTCTCGTTGAAGTTCGCGACATGTCCTTCAGGATCAATGCCACGCCTGAAGTACCGTGTGCCGGCGCGATAGCGAGACCGGCGACTGATGAGACCGAGACGGATCTGCCATATGCTGATCTGCACAGGGCGGATATCGAAGGCTACAGATGGCAACAGTAATACAACGGCAGTGAGCTCAAATTACCACTGAGCCTCGGAGTCGCTAACAAACGTACTGCCGTAGATGACCGGAAGGATGTAGGCACTGAGCTGCACGACACCGGGGTCAGTACCGTCTTAACACACACCGATAGTCCACGACACCTACATTCTGATCGGGATTCGTAGACGTGATATCTATGAACCTGTTGTGGAGGAACCTGGATCACAGTTGGTTAAAGAGAGCACCGAGGTAGGTCTGACTAATGCATACTTGTTCCAGAAGAACCTATCGTCTGCCTGACACGTAACCGTTGGTTTTTCTACGTTGGAAGCATGAACACACGCGGGACACTCACAATCTCCCAAAGTGCTTTATCTCCTTCTTCCTTCAAGGATGCCCACTGCGCCTGCAGTCTTCTGGTGACGTCCCAACCATAGCTGAAGAAGAACGTGCCACCCTGAAGATGCGACTGCACAAGTGCCAGGAGATGCGACTCCACGACGTTGGGAGGATTCTGGATAGATACATCCGGGTTGAGGGGGAGGATGTCATACTCCGTGGCGCGATAGATGTTCTGTCGCATTATGTGGCCGCGTAGCTCACGGCCAGTGATTACAATGACGTATTCCGCTACCAAACACATTGAACAAGGATTAGTGAATATGGGTGGGAGCAACGTACACATTGCCAACGATATCATGCCGTATATGCCGTATATTGTCTTCACGGAGCGTTCGGCATTCGTGGGCAGAGGAGTGTTCGGGGCTGAGGGTAATGGTTCACAGCGTATCCTGAGTCTGCGGAAGGGCGCACTCACCGTTGAGCACGATGTCCCCGGAGTTGCGGTATATTGTCAACGACCGCGCTCCCACCGGCTCGGCAGGGACGAATGTGTACGTCTCATTCCCGTCTATGTACCTATGCCATGTACGGTAAGCGCACGCGCAACATGTCGAAGCAATGTTCACGCACAAGTTCAGCCTCTGGTGTAAGGGCTTCATGATGGGGGAGGGGGCAGTAGGGAAGCAGGAGGAAAGGGGGAGGATGCAATGGTCAACGAATGCGGACACACTGCGCGGGGGCGCGTCGTGGGTGTGATTGCGCGCGACACGTGCGCGAGCCGCCAGATCCAGCTTCGCTTCGTCCACAGTCCAACGCCTCGCGAGTCGCGCCCGTCCCTCCACGCTCGTCTGCCATGAAGCTCACCCCGGAGCTCATCCAGTCCGTCCCCTCCACGCTCAACCCCGTAAAAGAGCGGCAGCTCGACCTCAGAGGTGCGTTGCGGGCTCTACGCGCCGAATGGCTCACTAGAAGTTTGGCTCACAGGATACACCATCCCTGCCATTGAAAATCTTGGTATAACCAGGGTACGCGCCCCCACCCCTCCGAGTATTGACCTTGGCCGAATGCTCATCCCCACGTGCAGGATCAGCATGACTGTATAGATTTTACAGACAATTCGATCATCGTCTTGGGAAACATACCCCTCCTCCGTCGCTTGCGCACGCTCTTGCTCGCGAACAACCGAATATCGTCCATCTCCCAGTCCCTGCATCTGTCTGTGCCGAACCTCACCACGCTTGTGCTTACGAACAACAACATCGCCGAGCTGGGCGATCTCGAGCCTTTGAAGGATGTCAAGTCTCTGCAGTATTTGTCCTTGCTGGGAAACCCTGTGCGGGAAAAGAAGTGGTATCGGGAGTGGCTTGCATGGCGTATTCCCAGTCTGAGAGTTCTTGATTTCCAGAGGATTCGCGACAAGGTGCTGTCTGTCTGCCATACGTCCCCATATATGTTCTCACGCGACACTCAAATACAGGAGAGGCAAGCTGCAAAAGCTTTGTTCTTGACCGCGGACAACCTCCCAACACAGCTCGCGACTACGATCTCGCAAACTGTCACAACACACTCGTCAAAACCTCCAATCACGACCGACGAGCCCAAGCCGGCCCTGCAGGGCAAGGCGGGAAGACTGATGTCCAAGGAGGAGGCGGACAAGGTCCGCGAGGCGATCGCGCGTGCGACGTCGGTGGAGGAGATCAGGAGGCTGGAGCGGATGCTGAAGGAGGGATTCTTGCCTGGGATGGAGTCAGTTGGTGCATGAACGTGTACGAACAATGTATCATTTGTTGTTGTTTTCCTTGTTATCCTTCCATGTCCATGACGGACCGAACTGCATTTGTGTGACAACATCCGTACTCCACATTTCTTTCCAAAGCAAACAAGAGATGACAACGAGTAGATGCGTAGTTGTGTACATAGGCGAGACAACCGTACGATAGAAGGGGATGAGGTGGTGTCGATGCGAGGGGAATCTGGACTAGAAGATGCTCTTGATACCCGCACCGGCGTTTCCGATGTACAAGCCATGGAACACCAAGGCAAAGAAGGCAGTCAAGTTCGCGAGGGAACTGAGGCCGTGAAGCTGACCAAAGGTCTTGTTCAAGCTCTTCATCTGCTCAGAAACCTGCGCCAGAAGATCAGTCGTGTAACGAAGCGCTCACGCCGATGTCGTAGACTCCAACGCACCCCAGGTTCGTTATATGCCTTACCCTCCTCCTTCTCCAGTCTGTGACGCTGGAACATCGTCCTGCCCCTGTAGTCAGCACCCAATCGCCCTCGAGATCTGTTCAACACTCACTTGCTAGTCAGGGGACCAATGACGAAGTAATTCACCACCTGGGAAAGCAGGACACTCGCAAGCGTGTACGCCTGCGAGACGTCTGCCACGGCAGGCTGAAGGTAGTGAGTGAGGACGAGTGGGTGACTCCATGTCCAGAGCGCGAGCAGCCCGGAGGACAGCGCGATGCTGATTGAGAAATAGATGGGGAATGTGCGATGTTGGAGGTTGCCGAATTGCTGCCTAGGGAGTACCTTGAAGGCAATGACACCTATGAAGAAACGAGATACGGTCTATTAACTCTGATCTTAAACGTGACGTTCAGGGGTACATACCTCCGATGAAAGTAACCCAAAGAGCTCAAGTGCATACTGGCGTAAGCGATTGAAATTACGCAAGATGGTCATAACGTACTCATGCCAAACAAGCTTGCATATCCAATCTGGTACGCCGCCTTGGCGTTGAACAGACTGACGAGCGAGGACAACGAGAGCGTTTCGACCTTAGCCATGGCGAATTGGTGATTTGTACGCGCGGAAATGCGACGAGGACTGGCTTTTCGGGTAAAGATGAGACAGTCGGGCTTATATGAGGACCAAGGCCGGAAGAGACACGCAAGCAGGATGTGGTCCTGGGAAAGGACGTAGGCCCGGATGCGACTCGATCGCGACGGGCTCTCTATGTGCGAAATCACGCTCACGTGTGCGCCGTGCGGGGCGTCGCTGCAGGCTTCGACGAGTACTACTACCAGAATCTCAAGAATAGTTGGGAAAGCCGTTGCGAATTGGTGAGAGCGCATGGCAGAACATGTCAGACACACAACGACATATGGGAGCCGAAGACGATTGTGAACTATCCATGGAGATTGGCAGCGCTGGCCTAAGCGATGAGGCGCGCGTCCAAGCGCCAGGTCCTCGCATAGACCAGATGGCGAGCATCTCCAAGAGATAACATCGGCTATCATGCTCCTGCTCTTGATCTCACCTGCGTAGCTGATAGCGGCGGTCCCTCATTGTATCTGCTTCTCCTCGCTAACCGCTGGTCCGATTACCTCAAAACAACGTGTGTACAATACTCATGTACGCAGCGAAGAAAATGTTTGGTCCAGATTTTGGCGAAAGTGCGCGCATTTTGATGAAAACACATCTTAAAAAAACTATACCAAAGACTTCAAGCCCCCAAAGCATACAAATGGATTGGTGTATTTCGTTTTGCAGGCAATAGGGTATGGACCATGCTATTAGACAATCTATGGAGGCAACCAAGGACAGCGGACGGCCTAAGCGCGCAAGCCGGAAGAAACGGTTTCCAAAAAAGGCATCTTGATCGTCCACTACCACGATGGCTCTGACACGCCGTTCTTCCGCTCAGATAGCTCACTCTGCAAGTCAGATGTGAAGAATTAGTGACAGGCGACTAGCAAAGGAGAAATATCAGCCTTACCACATTCCTCCTCCCATCCGGACATATTCTGGGCTGCCTCATAGCTCTACATCTGACACCCATCCTAACGCCCAGCAGCTCAAGACAAGCAGCACAAAGCGGCGATAAAGTTTGACGTTCCCACCCGCAGCATGCGGCTATACTTAGTAACGTAACGGAATGTCAGTAACCCTAATAGGCCTGCCATCTATCCTGCCCCAACTTACAGCCCGAAAGCACCTCAGAAAGGACGATTTGACGTTGTACCACTGAAGGTCCATGTCGGGCTCATAAATTCAATCGCAATCGTGTCGCTTAGATGATAATGCAGCCAAGATAATCGGAATCGGACAAATCTCGATATAGCGGCGAGCGTCTCTATCACATGTCCTGAACATCGGCTAGCGGGCGCTGCCAATCTCCACTATCCATCAGCGTAAGCTTGTTGTAACGCGCATGACTGACGATGTGCGTTGATCAGAGTCGTTAGTGAATATGTACCGCCCTGGAGGCTCCTAAACGAGACGAGGACCGCGACAGGCCAGTCAAATGGTGCCAGTGGTAACAAGCCTTTCACGGTTCCATGTGACATACGTGCCAGGCTAATCGTTGCTGCTACCACTCAGTCTGCTTCTCAAATCTGTCCGTAGGTTTCGAATGCCCGTTGCGAAAGTTTGGCCTAGCTCACTTACCATGAAACTGTGTCTGTAGGCATGATGAAATATGCACGCGGTTCACTCAAGCAGCCCGGATTCACCTCTCCTGATGCCTACCTGTCGTACCTGCATTCAGCTTCATTTCTTGCCTCGCGCCAACTCACATAGCGCTGCCCTATCAGTCCCTTACACCCACTTGCAAACAATCTATCCTGGATCTCAGCTGCTATGTCTGAGGTTTACTACCTACGCACTGTGCGGAGTTGACTGGTCCTCCATATATGGACAGAGCGGTGGTCTGTCTTCTTCGTACACATTACTGATACCGCTCTTCTGTCGTCCTCTTCCTCTCCCGTCCGTCTTTGTGGCACTCGATGCTCGTCGGGTCTGTTATGTTCCGGTCCCCCTCTCATTCTTGTGGATCTCTGACGCGACTCATTTCTCCTGCCCATGAAAACGAAAAGCGACCAGCATCGTCCACTAGCATGAATAACAACAGTCCATACCTCCCCTCACCGGTCGCCTGGAGCACAACGGACGGCGGTCACTGGCGGTATTGTAAGTAATGCCTTATCACCTCGCTCTGGATCTCTACTTGACACTGTCGACGGTACGCAGAGTCCAGACGTACGCAAGCCACCGACCAGCCGTAGCAAGTGATGTGGATGAGTCGCCGGAGCCTGAGGGTGCAGGAGGGGCTGACGAACTTGGGCGGTGGCTCCCCCTTGTGTAGTCGGCCCCTTCGGCCTACGGGGATGACATGGTGTGTCTGTCCCTAGTTGTCATCGCCAAGACTAGGTAAGCCAGCCTTTGAAGATTATCTCTACGCCCTTTTGGCTAACCTTCCATAAAAGCCTGCCGATGTACAAACCAAACCCGATACACCCACCATCCTGCGCTTTCGTGGGCACATGCCCATCTCTTGAGCCTTAGCCGGATCTTCTGCTTGCTGTGGACTACTATCGAGTACCTCACATCGCCGACCTCGGTAGTGTTTATATAATACCTACGTAGACGCACCAGTAGTAAAGGGACAGGCCACGCACCGTTACAGTGCTCTTGTACCTAATTCATACCTATTATGAGGCATCGAACGAGCCTCTATATACCTCCACCCATTCGCTCGACGACCACTCCACTTCCTCCTTGTAAGGGCATCGCAGGAATTACTAACTGGTATGTACTACCTATCGAGCAAGAACATTGGTAGGGAGATGGGCGTGACACGCTTCAATGCGGACACATTTATGTGGCTAGTGCAAGTATTGTTGGTTGGATGACATGGATAGGCGAGGTTCGAGCAAGTTGACCGGTCTAGACGAGCCTCGAAGCACGGCAAAGGCAGTCTATCTCGCTTCCTCGGGGAGGTGGCGAGCAAGAATTTTTGCCGGTCACACCGCCAGTCATTCAACCTGCCACCTGTGAAGGCATGTATCGCATCTCAGATCCTAGGTTCTGTGAAGCCATGTTTAGCACACGATCAGCGACATATTAAACAAGTGGTGGTTGGCATTCACAATGAGCCGAAAAGCGGGCAGCCAGCCTCCCTGAGCAAAGGTATAAAGAGCAGTGCAGAGCGACCGATTCTCTACATTATCACCATCGTCTCCGAGTCTCCCAGCCAACTGCGTTACCCGCCCAATCGACCACCTCTCCTCGACCTAGCGGTCCACAAGCAGCCTAAGCCACCACCTTCGATGTCTCCATTCCCACTCCATCCACTCCACACAAAACATCCTCCTGTTTTGACGTGCCTTGGGGACAGGCGTTCGTGTCGGTAATCCCCGCCACGGACGCCTATCCCCGCACGCTCTCGACCTCGCCTTCATCTTCTTCCACACAATAACCTCCCTCTCGCGACGCCACTCTCGATGCCCGTCACCCACTTCAAGTTATTGGAACGATCATCTCCCCTACCCACGGTCGAGCCCTGTTCGCCGAGAGTTGGGCTGTGCCCTGGAACCTTAGGTGAGGACTTCATTGCCTCATGTCCCGCTCAATATGTATTGACCGTAGTTCGCCTGGTTGCAGAGCGTCTGTTCAGCGGGGGAAACGACATGCACGACACCATATATGTGCACCCTCCGCAATTTGCGGGGTTAGCGCGAAGAATCTTCAGCCTAGAGCAAGGCTTACCTCAGGGCACCAAGGCATAGGGCCCGCGAGCCTGAGCCGCGAGACGTTGAGGCAGCACCTAGGAGAGCTCGTTAGGTGAATTTCTCCCTTCCCGCTCTGTACCGAAACCCGCCTGACACTTGGTTTCAGCTCGGAGTCGCTTTGCAAGGTACGCCAGCTGAGGCCATCCCTTGACCCCAAAGAAGCGGGCAGGGACCAACGATACACCTAGGTTCCGCTCGCATTCCCAACCAACCCTCTGGCCTTCGGTCGGAGTCCGGAGTTCATCGTGTAGCAGGTTCCTGACGGTTCATCGCGGCGATGTCCTTGTTTGTTGTGGTGTCTGGGAGCTTAATGTCAGTGGGGGATAGCGAAAGAAGAAAGGTCCCGAACAGCGAGGGAGCCCGCTGTGTTCTTGCTGCAGAGGAATGAAATTTTGAAAAACACCATTTCACTCGTATTCAAAAGAATGTGACGCTTCAGAAATACTGTGAACCATCATGCGAGTGGAAGAATATGGTACGGCGCAAAGGGATTGATGCTCAATGACGAGTTCAAGTTAGGGAACTGAAGCGCCTCGCGGTTCACTCATTACGGCGCCTACCCGGCTTCCTTCATTTCGGGCCACTGATGTCGACATGGCACCCCTCATATCCCTTCAGCCCTCTGAAGATGATGCATATACTCAGCCAAACCGCACTCTGTGTCTGTCTCAATCAGCAGTGACTGCGACTACGTCGAACTTGAGGGTGCATGGGCGGACACCGTTCCTAGCGTCTTACGCCGTGACCTTAACTGATACTGTAATAAGCGGCGGCATGATTGTCAGTCTACATGCCGCTGTCGAGAAATCACGTGGATTGAGAGTATGTGATACAAGGGGACGATCGTAGAGTTCAAACCACCACTTGCCTCGTACGCGCTATAACGAACGTCGACTAGAATCATCTTCACCCGGCTGACAACCCAACCTCCGTGGAGGTCTGCTCGGCATCGCCTCTGTCAGCCAGCCCTGCCAGCGGTATAGGGACCCGCACAGCACCGCAACCCTCCTCACCCCCCAGATGCCATCTTCTCCGCATCTCGGTGGATCATCCTCATCGTCTCGACTTCGTATGTAGGCCAGGATGTCGCCCCTTTTACCCTCATCCACGCAAACACTGGGCCTCGTCCCTGCTGCTACTCATCCGTCTATCGGCAAGGAGAGTTGTCCAGTCACCAGGTCACTCCTGCCTCACACCCGAGTCGAGAATGTCGCCGCATCCGGGCATTTCAACTGCCGAAATCTCTCATGAGTGACTGCCGAGGATGTTCACTCGGTAAGCATGGGATCATCTCCTCGTCCTTCTTCCTAAACCTGACTCCTTTGACGTTGGAAGGCAGCTCTACCAGCACGTATACTGGTCGCCCACCACTCGCGGAAAATAATGCAGTCGCCGACCAAATCGTCCTCCATGGTCCCTGGCGTATCTCCTCTAGCACTTCCGGTGCCACGGAGTCTTGGGGTTGTATGTCAGGTGGGGCTGACGGACTTGGGCGGTGGCTCCCCTTGTCCAGTCGGCCCCTTCGGCCTGCGGAGACGATGGCGACTGCTTCTTCTCTCCCTCAAAACACTCGGTAAGCCGATGATCCGCACACCTGTGAGAAATAGTATCTGAGGCTCCGTTGTACAGTTCCTTGGACAAGCCATGGCTAGTTCCCCTCCGCTGGGAGGGCATCATGGTCGCACCGATGGTCGTGGACGCTCCTCGATCCCATCCTTCGAGGACCTTCCGCGATCCTGCGGTTACTACGCCAAGAATCCTGTTGGAAACTCGCAACAGGGAGGATGGGGAGTTATCCAGAAGCATGGGATATGTCGTTGTACCGTTGTACCCCACTAGTATACAGAGAACACTATACTGGATGGTCGCAATATTTGCGAGTTATGTGTGAATGATCTTTGTCTGCGAGTTCAACAGCCATTCGTACTCCTCTCAATGAGCGAATGCAGCGGTAAGCCTCCCGACCGTGTGGTCCCAGACACCCGCGATCGTCACACCTAGTAACACTGGTTTGTGAGCCTGCAAGGGTGACAATCGAGAGGATCGCCAGTCTATACCAGCCCCGGCCGGGCAACAGATGCAGGGTGTGGCACATCCAACCAATCTGCCTCGCCTGCCTGCTGTTGGAGGTGCGATCGCAAGAAACCCAACCATATCACCTTCCTGTGAAGGCATAATGCACGCGACTAGCCCAGCCTCCCGTGAAGAAATGTCCGGCATCTCAGAGTCTGCCGGTGATCGAAGTAGTGGTTGACATTCGTCCCGACTCGAGCAGCGGTTCACCAGCCACCATGCGCAGGGGTATAAAGGGTAGTGCAAGACGGCCAGCACTCCTCATCACGAACCACCACCATCGAGCCTCTCCACAAAGCATACCGTCTCGGCATCGATCACTCGCAGTCATATATAAACGCAGCAAATCTCTTCTTCTGCCTGGCAATCTCTCAGTCTCAGCAACATCCAACATAGTCTCCGATGCCTCTGTTCCTGTTTCATCCGATTCGTCCTCCCGACTCAATATTGAAACCGGGGACGGGGCATTCGTGCCCGGCGGTCCCCGCCCGCCTTCGAACTCGCTTTCACCTCCTTAATAACGACAACCTGCTCCGGAATATTCGCCGCCGACTCCTGGTCGGCTAGAACGGATCACCTCGCCTACACGCCCTCGAGATGTTGACCTTCCTGGGGGAGGGACATCAAGGTGAGTCCTGAACTGCCTCGCCTTCGGTCGTATCAAGCTAGTGAGCTGACCGCAGCTGCAGAGGGCCAATTCGGCAACTAAACGGCGCGTACGACGCCATATATGCACGTCCTCAGCAAATTGCCAGGACGGCATGAAGAAGCGTCCATGGCGTCCTCGAGCAACGGTGTTCATCCCTCCGGGCATCAAGCCTGAATGCCGCGAGACGTTGCGGCAGCGCCTAGAGGGGTGCATTCGGTGAGCACCCTTCTCGCTATCCTGTTCCAGCAACTTGAATGGCTGACGCTAGCTCTTAGCTCGTGGTCGCTTTGCGCAGTACGCTAGCCGTGGCCGCTCGCCAGTCCCATTGGTTTGGGATTTGGTACCGAGGTTATGTCTAAGTCGTGCGCACGTTTCCAACCAGCCCTCGGGCCTGAGTCGGCCGGGGTCGAGGGTGGTTGGGGACTGCAGCAGGGCTGGACGGGTCGAGGCGGTGATGTACGCCAGGTTGTTTGTGGAGGTGTCTGGGAGGCCGATGTCAGTCGGGATAGTAGAAAAGAGAAAAGCCCGAGTCCGCTGGGTTCCTGCCTTATTGTACAAACGAAGTGAATAACACGAAGCCCTTTGACTCGAGAACAAGACAGCGTGTGCCGATGACTGGGAGCAGACTTGGCATCCAAAGCGGGAACGTCAGATACATTTGAGCATGCGCGACAACGTACGATGGCTAATACACAACATGATACACGTTCGTGGGATCTCGCAGGGCGTGACGATACAGACAACAGAGACTACGCGAAGGGGGCCGGAGTGAGCGGGCTTGTCCTAGTGGAAGCGATCGAAGTCGGACGGGCGACCCATCATGCCCCGTCGTCTGGAGCCACCTCCGCGGTCCTCCCGGCTTGCGGTCAGGACGGCGTGCCGGTCGACGAGCTGGAGAGGTGCAGCGAGTGAGCTAGGGCGCAGAAAGCAGAGACGACGGGGAAGGGGACGAACCTCGTTCAGGATGTTGGACGACTTTGTGAGCGTCGCGAGGTACGCGGTGAGCTGCACGTCCTCGTATTCGGTGTCGAACTCGTCGCGGAAGCCCTTGTTCTCGCTTGCGGGCAGCGAGGCGATGAGGGCGGACAGCGCGCGGAGGGTGGCGTGGTCTTTCTTCGCAGTGCCTGGCACGCTGTGTCAAACATGGACGGCGCACGACTAGGCGCAGCGAAGGCTCACCTGCGATGACCTCCGAAACGTATCGCGTGAGGAGCATGATACGGTCGTGGAGCATCTTCACTGCTGCGCGCTGCGTGGACAAATGGGACTCCACTAGAGACGGATGGATGAGCATCCCGTGAGAGGAGGCGCTGGGGGGAGCGAGATGTGGGGGGGTTACTCACGGCTCGTGCCTCCCTCTCCGCCCTTGGCTGTCCAATCCACCGCGATGCGCTCTGCCTCGCCGGTCTCGACGGAGTATGTCGCCTCGAGGAAGACGGAGCGGGATTTGCGATCGCGGATCTCGATGGTGGGCTCGTAGGCCTTGAGCGGGAGGGACTGTCCGGAGGTGTCTGAGGCGGCGGCGAAGACCGTCGAGGGCTGCATGATGAGGAGGAGTGGCGTGGAGCTGTACAGGGTGAACTGTGCACAGGGTGAGTGTGCTTTTCGATGGTATAGGAGGCGACGGGATTCACCTGTTCATGGAGGGCGATGTGTCGTGGTGTGGGACGCTCCGCCACGGTGTACCAGCCGATGAACTCGAGGGAGGGGAAGACTTGTTTGTCTGTGGTACGAAGGTGTCAGCGACTACGGACAGGGGCAGCGTTCTGTGTCAGCGCACATTGCTCCTTTCGGGCGACTAGGAAACCCTGGTCGACGGAGAGGCCGTCGTCCTCGACGGCAAGCTCGAAGCTGTTGACGATCTCGACGTCTCGGCCATTCTGGGTGCCGAGGAGGGCGCCGAGGACTAGACGCAGGGTTGTCAGTCGTTGAGTGAGTCAAGGTAGGTATGAAGGACATGCCGAAAGGGACCTGGTTCTTTGTCTGGAGCCGTAGTCGGGTGAGGTGCTCGGAGATGTTGAGGATGGGCAAGGGGTGGCTGGGGAATACGCGTCAACGGGTGCGGGGACAGAGGACAACGGGCAGGAGGACGCACAGGGAAAGGGACAGGGCGGAGGTGGTAGAGGAGGGCAAGACGACTGGGAGCTCATCGGTGTCCATCGCGGCCATAGTCGTGAGTACGTCGAGGCGGGCTGCAGCCACAGTCCGTGTACGGGCGATGGACTGCACGCAGAGGCGCCCAGGTGATGAGGACACGTGCGCGCGGGAGGGGCCGAGGACGCGAACGAGCCTGCCCTGAACGCTCATTTGTGGCTCGCGTCGCGCTCCCTTCGCCTTCACGCCTCTTCTTGCGACCATGTCTGGCTTCGACGCAGAACGCACGTACTCGGTCCGCTCAAACCGCCCCCTCAGGAAGGAGCCCGACACGTCCATCGAGCTCCCGTCCAACTCTGAGAAGCTCCTCCTCGACTTCCTCCTCCAGTACCGCGTCGGCAACGACTTCATCTACCGGTTCGTTCACACACACGCGTTCATATCGCTGCAATGTACTGACAACGCCCCGCAGTGACAAGCTACGCGCAAATCTCCTCCTCAAGCAACATCAAATCGAGGTTGACCTCCGCCATGTAAGCTTGTACAACGACGAACTTGCGCACGTCATCCAGGAGAAGCCGGGCGAGATCCTGCCATCTGTACGTCTCCATACTTGCTCATCTGTCTGCGCGCTCTTACGCATTCCTTCAGTTCGAGGCTGCAGCTGCGAGGGCGGCGAGAACCATCCTCTTCCCCCTCACCAGCAACTCCGAGGACGCCAAAGAGGCCATCCCCAACGTCCAGGTCCTTCTCAAGTCCGGCCTCAACCTCCAGCAGTTCCGCGACCTCACCGCCAACACCATGAACAAGCTCGTCCGCATACCCGGCATCGTCATCTCCGCCTCCGTCCTCTCCTCCCGTGCCACCAAGCTGCACCTCCAGTGTCGTGCCTGTCGCTCCACCAAGATCATGTATCCCCCAAGCGGGCTAGGGGGCTTAGGAAGCGGGTCAGACAGAGGACTGCCTCGACGGTGCGAGGCCCCAGAGATAGAGGGCCAAAAGAAAGATTGCCCGCTCGACCCGTACCTCATCATCCACTCCAAGTCGACCTTCACCGACCACCAGACGCTGAAGCTGCAAGAGGCCCCGGACATGGTCCCCGTCGGAGAGCTGCCCCGTCACATGCTGCTCTCAGCAGACAGACACCTCACCGGCCAGGTCGTACCCGGCGCGCGCGTCATCGCCACGGGCATCTACTCGACCTTCCAGTCGGCGAAGAACGTGAGTGGCACAGGCCGAGGTATCGGTATGCCCTTCCGCTGAACACTCGTGTATAGAAATCGAAAGGCGCAGCCGCCCTCCGAGACCCCTACCTCCGCCTGGTCCACCTCGAGGTGTCCTCCCCGGCCGCTGGGGGCGCGGGCGGTGCGAACCCCTTCGGCGCGCAGTTCACCCCGGAGGAGGAGGAAGAGTTCGGCGAGATGGCGCGCAGCGAAGGCTTCTACGAGCGGTTCGCCAAGAGCGTCGCCCCCAGCATCTTTGGCAGCTTAGGTGCGTCGTCTCCTCTATGTAGGACCGAGAGCTCGGACCGGCCGCTGACTGTATGTGCATGCGCGTGGAATCGCGACAGACATCAAGAAGGCCATTACGTGCCTCCTTATGGGAGGCTCGAAGAAGATCCTGCCGGACGGCATGCGTCTCCGAGGGGACATCAACGTCCTCCTGCTGGGCGACCCGGGTACGGCCAAGTCGCAGCTGCTCAAGTTCGTGGAGAAGGTCGCCCCGATCGCCGTGTACACCTCCGGCAAGGGCTCGAGTGCGGCGGGTCTCACGGCGTCCGTCCAGCGCGACTCTGTCTCGGTCCGTCCCTTTTCTATACCCCCTGCCGCGAAGAGCGCTGTTTCTGATGCGAAGAGATCTCTGATAATAGCGCGAGTTCTACCTGGAAGGTGGCGCGATGGTGCTCGCGGACACGGGGGTCGTGTGCATCGACGAGTTCGACAAGATGCGGGACGAGGACCGCGTCGCGATTCACGAGGCGATGGAGCAGCAGACGATTTCTATCGCGAAGGCGGGCATCACTACGGTGCTGAACTCGCGCACGAGCGTGCTCGCGGCTGCGAACCCCGTGTGGGGCCGGTACGACGAGGGGCGGAGTCCGGGAGAGGTACGCTTGCTTCCTGTGCTTGCTTGTGCGTGGACGAGAGAGAGGAAGAGGCCACTGCTGACATGACATGTTCGTGCAGAACATCGACTTCCAGACGACGATCTTGTCGCGGTTCGACATGATCTTCATCGTCAAGGACGAGCACAACGAGCAGCGCGATCGGGTGAGTGGCTGCTGCCTGCTCGCCATTATCCTTGGACGATGCTGACAGGAACCCGCGCGCAGATGATCGCGAAGCACGTCATGAACATCCACATGAACCGTCCAAACCAGAACGGGGACGAGAACGGCGAGATCGTGGGGGAGATCGACATCGACAAGATGAAGCGGTTCATCGCCTTCTGCAAGGCGTGAGTGCTCGTGCTGAAGCATCCATCCTGTGACCGACTACGATGCTGACCGTGCGTACAGGAAATGCGCACCACGACTGTCTGCCGAGGCGCAGGAGATGCTCAGCAGCCACTTTGTCTCCCTCCGGAAGCAGGTGCAGCAGGTCGAGCAGGACAACGACGAGCGCAGCTCCATCCCCATCACCATCCGGTACGTCTTCTCACTCTCTTACCCGTCTCCGTCTCTCTGCTAACGCGAGCCCCGCGCACACAGCCAGCTCGAAGCCATCATCCGCATCTCCGAGTCCCTCGCGAAGCTCACGCTGTCGCCCGTCGTGCAGAATCACCACGTCGACGAGGCGATCCGTCTCTTCAAGTTCTCGACCATGGACGCCGTGTCCGCGGGCTCGGCCGACGGCCTGTCGCGCGGGGCGCTGAACGAGGAGATGACGAAGATCGAGAAGGAGATCCGGCGGCGGCTGCCGATCGGGTGGAGCACGAGCTACCAGAGCCTCGTGCGCGAGTTCGTGACGCAGCAGGGGTACTCGAGCCACGCGCTGGAGCGCACGCTGTTCGTGCTCGAGAAGAGGGAGGTCGTGCGGTTCTCGGGGCAGAAGAAGGTCGTGCATCGGTGAGTGACCTTCAGCTCAGACTGTTCGGAGGGTTGGCTGATTGAGGGCGTTGCATCGCAGCGTCGGCGTTTGAGATACTGGGGAGTCGTCGGTCTTGTTTTCGGTCTGCTATCGTGTCATGCTGTAGAGTCTCATGTAGCTGTATTGTCCTAATGCGTAATGTACCAATATACTATTATTATTCACGGAGATCATGCCACGTCACTACTGAGGCAGTCGTAAGAGCGTCCCAAACCTCGAAGCCGACCAACTACTCAATCGTACGAGACGTCTGCACATTCGGATCAATCTTCCTCGGCGGGAAGTTCTCCAGCGGCTCCCTAGCAAACCAAACCGAAGCGACAGTCGCATCAGCCCCGGACATCGACGACGTAGCCGCAGAAGACAACCCACGTCCTGACGTCCCACACGTTCTCGCTGCTCTTGTGCGCGCGCCGGCGGGCCCACCACTCGGCGCGCCGCCGGATCCACACGTCGCGCTTCTCCTCGGGATGCATGCCCTTGAGGCTCATGCAGAACTTGAAGTCGTCCAGCTTCGGCGCGCACGTCGCCATCTCCCCGTAGCGGTACAGCGAGCGCGCCTGCGAGCTGATGACTGGGGAGGAGCGGAGCACACCGTCCATGCATTAGTATCAGCAAGCCGTCGTGGACGCACGAGTCGCGGTTGGGCCCACCGTTGCATAGCAAGAAGTCGTCGAACAGCTTCATGCATCCCGGGACGTCTTCGGGGGTGGGGTGGAGTTTCCGCAGGCGTTCCTCCTCCTGCCTGACGAGCTCTGGGTTTGGCTCGGCATCGTTCGTCATTTCTGGCAGTTACGATCGCCAAACGTGTACTGGGCTCCGTGTCGTGGTCTTGGTCACTTTCCTATCTACTTGAACTTGTAGAAGCGACGTCACGAGCCTCCTTCCTAATTCGGAAGGCCGATCCCTTCGAATGCATGCACAAGACGTTATTCTCTCTCTCCTCCGCCTATGACTATATGAATGACCTACTCTTACGAGAGGTCAGAGACTCCTCGGAGTACACTCGGTCCTAACTTGTGTCATAGGCTTAGGAGAGCGAAATAGACGAAGCGGGCTAGTGCAGCGTGAATTCATCACCAAAGCTCCCTACCAGATTAATGTATGACGAGCCCATGATAGATAACAGCTGGTCAGTTTAATGGTAGCCAGGTGTGCGTATATCCCCAGCACCACTAGAAGACGTAGAATTGCGAAATACTCGTCAAGATGAGACTCAAACCTTCGACCTCTGTGTCAGCGTTCGCCATACCTGCAAGAGCAACGATTCCTGGACAGCCGCCACTTGGATGAGTTCAGGGCCAGGGCGGCCCGCCATGATGCGAAAACGTGCCTGCAGAAGACGTCCAACCCTGCATGTGATTGTGTCTGCTTCGTCCCCTGGCCGAAGATGACGGTGATGATGTGAGCACCGAGCGCGCACGTCTCTTCATGCTGTCTCCTCATCTGCGACTTGAGGTCCGTCGCCTTCCCAGCCTCATTGACAGCTTCCTGTCAGTGATTCGTTGATCCCTGCATGTTTCATGACAGTCCTGCAGCTCCATTCTCCGTGCAAGAGTGCCGCATGCTGACGCAATATGGCCCCATGTTCCCAAAGCAGCGCGGAAGTATCGACTCACCTACTCAAAGCAGCCCCAACTGCCTGGCTAGAAGGCTGCTTCCCTGACATTCATCTACAAGCGAGACAGGCGATAGAAGCCTCCGGGCCAGCAGAAACAGGGAAGACGTGTTTGGATTAGCTGATTTCCCCCATGTTAGACGACCCAAGTGAGTCTGGTCAAGTCCTTTGGAGTTTCGCGCAAGCTTAAATAGCTGTCGAAGTGAGCTTTGTCGAACATTCCCTCTGCGTACCATCGCCTACATACAGTACGGCTCCAAACCCTACTCGAACTGAAACGAGACTGACCCAGAACGCAGCACAAAGTCTCAACTTACGGGTTCCACACACAAGTCCAACATGTCCACCTTGAAGCAGAAAATCGGACCAAGTACGCTTCGTCTTCTTCGCTGTTGTCTTGATACGTGATACTCACAGTCCGCCCTTTCAGTTGCAGGCGCCCCTCCTTCGGAAACTATACTGCCGGAATACGTCTACTTCAAGAACCCAGATGGCAAGTATCTCAAGCACTTGCCCAACAACATCGGATGGTACGGCCTCAAGTGGGAGCCCACTAAGCCCGATCTCGATACCCGTTTCAAGATTGTTCAAATCCCTGACCATCCTGTGCGTTGTTTCAGGTCTCTCTGAATTATAACGCTAATGTCGGACATTTTCTAGGGAAAGTTCTATGTCACGGGTCCTGCTGAGGATTACTACACCACCGTCTATAACCACAAAAATTCTGGGAGCACTAAACTATACGACACAGACCAATCCAAGCTCCCATCAAACGCCCCGTCCCCTTACCCCGACGCCCTCTGGCGCATCGTCTCTCTCGGAGGTGATGACATCTACCTGATCCGTAACGCGACGTACGACCGCCCCACTGTCTTCTTGAGCAACAACGATAATCAGCGCTACAAGCTCTGGGACCACAACAACGACTCCTGGCTCGATGTCGTCCGCACGACGACCTACGCCAACGATTCGAACAAGATCAAGGTCGAGCGCGCAGCACTCAAGACGGAGGTATATGATGTCAAGTATAATGTTGAGGATGCGGATCTCGTCGAGCTCCAACCTACGATTGCGATCGAGAAGGTGTTGGAGAACAATACGGGCTCTGAGGGCTCCCAGAGTGTTGCGTACACTTATACGAAGAGCGACGAGGGAACCTGGAACAACGTTGCCGGAATTGAGTTGGGACAATCGGTACGTCAGAACTCTCAGATCATCTCGGTGACTTCAGAGAGGCTGTCGGCCTCGAGATATTTGTTGCTCAATCCGGTTCTAATCCCAGTTCGAATTTGACGCCAAAGTGCCTTTCGTCGCTAAGGGGAAGTTGGAGATATCCTTCACCGAGTCCTACCAACACGAGTGGGGTGGATCGACCATCAAATCCACCTCGGTCACCACCACGACTAACATCACCGTCCCTGCGCACACCAAAGTCAAGCTGACCGTGCTGATCTACAAGACGCAGCTCAACATCCCGTTCACCTACACGGTTTGTAATTCTCAACAGTTATCTCCACTTTCTTGACAATGTGCTGATCAGGCCTCTCTAGGAGAGGGTTACTCTGTACGACGGAAGTGTTATCACGACCAAGAACAAGGAGGGTATTTACTATAACGTCCAGTTCATCAAAGACCATGCTATCACTGACATCATTGGGAAGTGAATGCCTCAGTGATTTGTAGGCGCGTTGAGACCTCCTTGAGAAGGCGTTGCAAAAGTTTCTTGGCGACGAGAAGGAAGTGTCGAAGGCTTCGAGGTGCAGGTGTTGTAGTGTTGATTTCCTTGTAGCCTTTGTTGCCTGAATCATGGTACTGCCGTATCGCTATACACTCGCGTCGAGGGATCGGTGTCAAATAAGCTGTACCCATGATGAGACCCCATGGAGCGGACAACAGCATGCCGCTGACGGACGAGAAGTCTACACAGCTCTCACCTCCACGAGGCGCCCCCGAGTGCGATAGCCAGTGAAGGGCGAGCTCGCTCCGCAAATGCTTGATATACTTGTTGGTACAAGGCTCTATGGGATAGGCACCGGAAGACAGTTGTTCACCTGTAGTGCACCGCTCTTCCGCTCGATCGACAGCAAGGGCCGACGCACCCGACTCGAAGCTCCGAACCGAGCTGACGCCGGACGTGCGAGCAGCGGCCGTCGAGGCAGACTTGTCGACAGACGTGCCAGATCGGAGATGTATGCGACCGGGTTGGTGGAAGACCTCTGACAACTGGTATTCTGTTGTGTCATCATGACCTTATGCAAGTGTCCTCGAGAGGTATATTGCGCAGTCCCTGGAAGGCAATCCTGCTCGCCCCATGTCAACAGCTCTGACCTAATCGAGCACTCCGACGCAGCTTGGGGCAGAAGCGAAGTGAGATCAGATGAGACATGTACGTAGTTAGGCAGTAATGACACCGGCGGCTTGGTGCGTAGCCGCAGCTACACGACCGTCCATCTGGGAAGTACGACTGTGTTTATATCAAGCGCTGCGCCTTGGACGGTGCAAGCGAAGAGCATACATCCGCTGCGCACGTATTGGGCAGTTCATTTTGCTCTGGAACATCCGTAGATCGAGGCGGCCCAATGACATGGCCTTGAGAATGGTACTACCCCATCACCCCGTAGCGACAACCGTGACCTAGGGCGCAAAGTAACCGTCAAGAAAACATGTTAGTGTAGACTTCAGATTCAAATCGAGTACTGCCACCTCTCGGGGTCCGGTCGAGAGCGTTGCATAGGCGATTCCCACTCGATGTTAGCAGTGTACGAACGTAGCCAGGCAATGTGTCCGAGATGAGCTCGTAGCCTTCTCTCCAAATTTGGGCCTGTGTTGTTGCACGAGCGACTGTGTCTGCGACATGCTTCTCGCAGTGCGGTCCATGTGCCTGGGCACTATGGTGCACGGAGGTCCTGACGTGCTGAAATAAGCTTGTCACCGGCAAGAATTACACATATCCACATTGAGCTTACCCGTGAATGTTGGGATTGGCGAGAACACAGCGATATGTTGCCTTGTACTTCCCAACATGCACCCATCGCTTCAATACGAAGGCGCGCCTAGACGCCAACCCACTCCGTTCGCAGGATCCCGGCGTCCTCCTATTCCATTCACGACGAGGACAACCTGATTAAATTTAATCAGGGCCTGGTACTCACCTCTCCCCGACGAAGGCAGACCAGTCGGCGACGGCGGGACCCTACTCGATTCCTCAAAATCGATGCTCACCACACTTCGTAATCACGGGTCCCGCGGCCTCCGGGAGTGGGCGGCCCAAGTTGCCGTAGCCGAGCACATACGCGTAAAGCGGAGCTGATCATACCGTCGAACTGAGGCCCAGTCGCCCACCCTACATAGATCTGACCAGGCATAGACCCCTATGTGACCGGATGGAAGCCCCTCTGAGGTACCTGTGCTGGAAAGTCGCGAGCACGATCGTATGTGGAGGCATCTCAGCTTTGCCATCATGCGAAGTGGCGAGGGAGAGAGCCACCAACAAACCTTGTGGCTCCGGTGGTTGTTGCGGCCATGAAGATATGCAGCTGGTCGCCCCCAGGTTCTCCTCCAGTCGCAGCGCGGGTGCCCGAATCACGAAGAATTATCAGTGCGCTTATCATTGTCATTAATGGGAAGTCGGAGGACAGCGCCTGATCTGCGTCCGTCGCGAGTCCAACTGCGATATCGCCTCGTAATGGCATAACGCGAGTTCCCTTTGTATCGTCAGCACACCTCGTTGCCCGACATGTGAGTGCCGAGGCCCGGGCCCATCTGTTTGGGAAGGCTCTGAGTGCCAACGGAAACTGGACATAAGTAAGTACTGCAACAAACGTCAAGTGAAGTCCGCGGCTGACCGTTTGGTGGACATGAGAAGGGGAGCTTGAATCAGGTTAGAGTCGAGGACAAAAGCCTGCCCCACGCCCCTGTGCACAAAGGTTTGTTGGATGGCATGCGGCAGACCAGACCAACTGATACCGTCCGGGCTGCAACGAGATTGACCACGTCGCTAAGAAGACTGTGTATATCAGAGAATTCTCACCAGAGAAATACCTTTGGATGTGAAGAGATGAGCGGACAAGGGCTGGCTCAGTTCCCAAACGCTGCGCGCTTCAGGTCAAATGAATATCGCCCGTACTCGTTCAGTTCACTCTAACCAACCACCATTACCCTTCAAGATAGCGGGACTGCAGGCCTCAAAAGTAAGCGAAATCTTGCCTAGAGGGATACAGAGCCTTGCAGCCTGTCGCAGACAGGTCTCCAGTAGTGCTGGAAAAACAAGCCCATGCAAAAAAGATTGCAGACCGAAGCGCGCGATTTTTGCTTGTCCCTGGTTTGTCCCCGGTCGGCTACGGCGAGAACTCCTGTTTCGGACACCGGGGCGCTCACAAGGGCTCCGTTCGACAAGACCATACTTGAGTCTGAGACCCGTTTTCTGCTGCCAAAATGCACAACCATGTTCTTTGCCTCCACAATACAACTTTCCGAGTACTTCCGGTAGGTTTGCAGCTGAATCATTGACCATGCTGCAAAGAGGGCTTCCCGTATCGCAGGCGTTTCCCCGGGTGGCCAAACAGGACCAAACCGGATTTTGCGCGCTTCGGTCTGCAATCTTTTTTGCAAAGCACTGTAAGACGATTGTATATCAGTAGAAGCCGAATGGTCGGTCCCGAATGCTTGGTGACCGAGCGGATGCTGGGAACGTATCCAGGTCGAACGAGCCTAGAGCCTTTGGCTGGTGCCAAGCACATGACACGGAACGAAAGCATCCTATTGTCCTAGATGAGAAGGATACACGTCAATCGGCCGTCTGATTATGGAGTGACTGCACGCATAGGTGAAGCAAGTATGATCGATAGCGCTACCACCGCCAGAAGGATATCGCACTTTGAGGACGAGATTCTTGGTAGGCGGCGCTTACTGAGCTGTTATATGACTAGTATCTTGACGGTGCTCGAACGTCCAGAAGCCACAATGGAATGGAATCGTGGTAGTCAAGGCGCGCAAATATAGCCCATCTTCACCGGTTCACCGCTCGCTTCCGGACTCCAAGAAGTGATCAGAATGTCGGCGATGTAGCTGAGGAGACAACAAGCCTACCATGAGCCACGGTGGTGAGGTGGGCCTGTATCATCTTCGTTCTGGACGTTCACATATGTCTGGGCCGACACATGTACAGGCCGCGGTTCGAAAAGGGGCGGCTTTCCGATTATCCGATCTGTCCGCCACAGCCTTGCCAAGTAAGGGTGTGGCAGTGCACGACGTCTGCGGTTTCGACAAGCTGCGAGTTGTAAACTCACTAACACCTGGGACACTCCCTCATCAAGGCAACTTCAGTACTATAGTCGGTGTTGATCCTCCTGTGCGACTTCTGCATGAAATTGTGTGCTATTCTCCCGGCCGGGCCGAGACCGGGCGTATGCAGTCGTTATGGATCCGCCTGGCACGGAGGGCGGCCGGCACGATGCCGAGAATCGCCTAGTCCTCATGACACTCCACCCACATTGTCAGCCTCATCAACTATCGCTCTGATTCGCTGGGAACTATCTGCGGGGTGATATGTTCCTGGCGCAAGGTCGTCGAGCGCAGCGCGCGGCAGCTGAGCGTACGTTACCTGGTCGCACGACCGTTCTTGGAGTGACATCTCACAGCAATCCCTTCTATTTTCTACCATCTCCCCTCCCTCCTGCTTTCAGCCAGTCCCTGCCTAGTCCGGCGCGCGACAGGTGGGACCAACATGGCCTCCAAACTTCTCCTATTGCTTCTCCTCATCCCGGGACTTATCGGCGTGGCAATGCTCTTCCCTCCCGGACGTCGGTTGGTCCGCCATTGCGTCGACGTGCTCCTAAACGGCAAGACGCCGCTGCGCTGGCTCGCCGGCCTGCTAGCGGGCATCCTGCCACCAGTAACGTGGACGCTGGCTTTCAAGTGCGCGAGGTTGATACCGGATGAGTGGCGACCAAAGGTACGTCCGCCGCAGTCACACGACGGTCGAGTTGTCGACGTTCCTTGCCCAGATCCACACCCATGTTCTCCCAAAACTCGAGGCGAAGCTTCTATCGTCAGCTGGGATACTGTTTGTCACGTTGTGCCTAGTGCCGTTGGCCATGCTCGTTCGAACGCGCTGCCACACGGCCCTATCCCGCAAACTATACCCCGCCCTTGTCGTCCTGTTTCCTCTCTGGCTCAAGGTCCTCAATATGCTGGCACTAGACCTGCCTACGGTGAGGCAGCTTCTCGAGCGGGCTATCGCGAATAACAACATGCTGACGCACCTGGGCCTGCAGACCCCTGAACAAGACGTCGTCGCCTGGATCTTCTACGGCGTTCTTCACTTCGCGTCCCCATTCATTGCAGGCTGGTGGATCTGGGGCTTCGCCCCACCAGGCGCTGCCATCGTGTTCGGTGCGTGTGTACTCCTCAGGAATGAGAAGCGGCATTGCTTAACTGGTCCCGCGCCGCACAGGTATCACGCTGGGCGCGCAGAACCTCTGTGGTCTCTTCACGCATCTTGTGTTTCCGAACGCGGCTCCGTGGTTCTACGACGTCTATCCCGCAGACACCGTCCCGGACTACAGCTTTCCGGGAAACCCTGCCGGCCTCGTTCGCGTGGACGAGGTGCTGGGTACGCACCTCTACAGGGCTGCGTTCAAGAAGAGCCCGGTAAGGATCCGAGAATGCACTGCTACCGTAAGAGGATGAACTCACCTGAACGATAGGTCGTGTTTGGGGCACTGCCCAGTCTCCACGCCGCCACCTCGCTGTGTTTCTCTCTGTTCGTTGCCTGTTACGGGGGTCAGTGGGGCATCGTCACCATGGTCGTCTACTCGACGTTCATGTTCTGGAGCACAATGTGTGAGTGCACAGCCCAACCATCTCCCAAACGAGCACTGACGTGAGCTTCGCGGCATCGGACCGGGTCGCCATCCCCCAGACCTGCATCATCGTAAGTCAACGCACACCGCCTCCGAGTCTGCCGCTGGGGCTGCGCGAACTCACCCCTCCTTCGACAGATTTCGCCATCGATCTGCTCGTAGGCTCGTTCTACGCGCTCGCCGCCTTCGCCGTCACGCAGCACTTCCTCCTCCGGAAGCTAGACGCCAAGTACGTCGAGGAGGGCCTCACGCGCGGGGTCGACCGCCTCTTCTGCCTCACCCCGCGCCACGCCGCCTACATGCGCGTCCCGTCCTCCCCGCCGCGGACGGGCACGCCCGACGCCGCTGCGCAGTCCCCGCCGCGCGACGAGGAGGAGTCGGGGCCGGACGTGCGCAGCTTAGACGATAGCTTCCCGATGATGAGCGTGTCCCGTCAGCAGCCCGCGACGGCTCCTCATTCCTCCCCGACGCAGCTCGCATAACACTCCATGTCGAGGCTGACGTAGATGGGTCCGCGGATCAGGAGCACATAGGATGTACATTAGTGACGCATCGGAACGGGCGCGACTGCGCCGCTGTCGCAGCCGCCCATCGCGCATTTCATGGATGTCAACAAGGACCCACAACCCCGCTGCGCGAATGAATAGAGGCAAAGCCATGCAAGCTCACGGATCCAATTCACACTACATAGCGTATGACGAGTCTGTATGCCCCGATCGGAAGGGACCGGTACATGTATGATATCACCGGTCGCCTCACAAGCAATCGGCAGTGCTTTTTGTTGTTGCAGTATATTCAATTTCTTTCTTGTACAAAGGCATAAAGACATAATTCGCATGTAATATGTAGGCAGACTACAAAGGAAATGGGAACGATACGCGAGAATAGATAGTTGACGAACGCGTCTAGATAATAGTACTGATACGGCAGACAAGGGCGAGACTATAGGTAGACGAAGGGCATGACATCACCAACAAGTCAACGAGTGAGCTCGAGCTCGGCAGGTAGAGGGGACATTCAAGGAAGCGCGAACAACGATCAACGGGGGCATTGGAAGCGAACCCGTCGACGATGCACACGCAAACATCGAACATCATCGTCGTCACGATGAGAGCACACCACGGCCGGAACATCCAGACCTTGAACGGAATCTCTGCACCGCTAGACGGACGTGATTGTTGCCAGCGCTGATATTTAGTGTGAGCCTTGGAAGTCCCCGGCTAGACAAATTGTAACTCACGCAAACCAGAAAGCAATCGCATAGGGGATAGCATCACAACCGTTTACTTCACATCATCGCACTCACAACCCTTCTCCTTGCCCTTGCCGACCCAGCTACGACCACACTGTTCACACCACGCGCGACGCCCGCTGTCGACGCCAATAGGGCGCCCAGGGTTCGCCGCGGCCTGCAAAGCCGTTACCGTCTCGGTGCGATGGATGGAGACCATGTGACGCGTGAGGTCGTGTTTGCGGCTGAAAGAGCGACCGCATGACTTGTGGTGGCAAGCGTAAGGCTTGAGGCGGTTGGGGTCATGGGTCTGGATGTGGGTCTTGAGGTTGTACGCACGAGCGAACGCTGCAAGAGGTTCGTGTCAGCTGAATTAGATTGCTAAATGATTATGCGTTACCTCGAGGACACGTCGGGCACTGGTACTTGCGCTTCGGGTCTTCTTGCATACTCTCCATCTTGGTGCGTTGGGCGGTGAGCGAGGGGTGAGACACGCCCGACGGATGGGACATTGAAGCCGACATCTGCGGGGACACGCTCGCAGTCGAACGGGCCTGCGGGACTTGGGACTGCATGACACGGCCGCCATACTTGTTGAGCTGCACTTGCGCCGAGGGGTAGTAGTCGGAAGCTGCCGAGCTGCCAAGCCGGACCTGCTGCGGCTGCGCGGGCTCGTAGTCTGAGAAAGAGCCACGGGGGGAGGAGTACGCGGGCGAGTACTGTGAGATGTTGGGAACGCTGCTCGGAGAGCTACGGATGGAAGGCGAGTTCGGAAGGGCGCCGAAGGAGTTGGGGTCGTCGTGGGTGGGCATGGCCATGCGCTGGAACTCCATGTCGAGTTGCTCTTGGGTGAGGGAATAGACGCTAGAAGGGTAGTTGGACGTGGGAGACTGGGCCTTGAAGTTGTAGTAGCTCTCTGAACGACTGGATAGATTATCGTTGTAGGCAGAATCATAACCCGACACCGACTCAGACGAGACGGTGAAGGTCGACGGCGGACCGAAGGTGGGAGTCTCGCCGCGGTAGAAGGAGAAGTCGGCGGCGTCGACGGGGATAAGACTCAGCTCCGCGTCGAAAGCAGCGAGGGAGTTGTCGAGCTCAAGTTCAAACTGGTCAGGGTGAGGAGCAACAACGTCGAGTCCGGACTGGGAGTAGTTGAAGAAGTCAAAGGACTGCTTCTGGTTCTCGATACCGTCGAGGGCGATGGTGGAATGTGCTGCGGGCTCGAGCTTGTTGTGATATGCTTGAGGCTCGAATGCAGCGGACTGAGGGTAGAACTGGGCGAAAGTTGGGTCCGACATGGCAGAAGTGGGGAGGTTTATAACTGCGGAAGGAGAGTATATGAGGGGAGAAAGAGGAATGCGAGTGCTTGCTGGAGGGGAGATGGTGGTGAGGAGAAAAGGGCGAATGCTGCGGATTAGGCACACGTATGCGTTCCCACTCCGTGCCCATGCTGTGCCGCTCGGCAACAGGGCGCTAACGTAGTAACCTCCCGCTTGCCCGATCCGGCTCCCCATCAAGCCGCCATCCTCACCACCCCGCCATCCTGGCCTCTTTGTCCTTGTCGCCAGGCTGATTCCATCGCCTCAATCTTCTTCCCCCGTCCGCCGCCCCCGACGATACCGTCGAGGTGCACTCAGATTTGCTCGTCCCGCTGCTCGCAACCAACCCGGTCACGCAACTCCACACTGAGGATATCATGCGCCCCACGGCCGGCACCGCCCACGCGACGCCATGACTCATGTCCAGCGCGCCGCCGCGAGTACTTTGACAGCCCGCGCTAGAGCCTATTTGTTTCAATCACCTTCCTACCTCCCGTCTGGGAGCGGTCACTTTCCTGAGAAACACACCGAGGGACCACCCGGATATGGGAGCCTCTACAGCACTCCAGCCGTAGCCGCTACGACCCACTGGCCCGCGAATCTCCTCATCAGCTTCTCTGCCAAACGGTATCCCTCCAGCCCATCTGCCCAGCACAGCCTCTTCGCTCCTCCTGCCGCACCGTTGCCCGCATTGATATTTTCCAATTCGCGTAGTACAACAACACAGCTCCCATTTTCCCTCGCTGTTTTCGACCTTAATTGTGATCGCTCGACCCTATCGCAGAAATCCTCCTGCCCCTTCTGACCACTTGACTAACCCAAGTATACACACCCTTACGCAACCTGCGTCTAGAGCTCCGCGACTGATCGGATACTCCATCCCAATGACCCTTTCACCATTTGTTTCATTCCTTTTGTCGGCCACCACCCAGTCTTGTGAATATTGGCTGGAACTCGCCGCGAGCGATCTTCCTCCTCTTCGTGTTTCAGAATCATGCGAACGCTTACTTCGGGGGTGCGTCTGGGTGTGTGGAACCGACCCAGGCTGACTGCCTAGTTCCGACCCAACATGCACCTTGTGTCACTGAAGACGCAGGGTACTCAGTCGGGGAACGGCATTCATTTCCGTGTCAAGAAGAAGCCCTTTCCCCCCGAAGCTACCAACCATCCTCACTATTGCTCGAGAGCAATGCATCTGCCCGTTCAACATGCGGTTTGTGTGCTGCGCTCTGCGGTATGACACAGCATGGCTCTTCGGATGCTTGTCCCATCACGGTGGACAGCCTTCACCGCGGATCCTTCGATTCGATGATCTCATTCCTATCTTCGAACCAGATAACCAGATCACATTCCCCACCGCCATCTGTCAGATTATCAAGCTATCCCTCCCTTGCCTTTTGCCCATCACTCCGCATAATAGCCAGTTACGATCGGTGAGCCCCATCACAACAAAACTTCTAGCGACTTTGACCGAATGGGTAGTCAGTGCCTTTGCACGGCGACGGAGGACCACCGGGCTAGTTTCACGAGGCCTCATAGAGTTCGCCAACAAATTCGTACGCGACGAACATCAAGTTACTCAACGGCTATGTGGATGTAATAATGCATATGACCAACTCGCCAACGGTGCAAAATAGACACCTGCTCGGTACCATCGTGCCGGTGATCTATTCGGAACGTCCTCGACGTCGGCTTTCGCCTAATCTCGTGAAGACGACGTTGTCGAGGGCATCTCAGACGGTAGTGCCTTACCGTCTCCGCAGCTTCGACGTCTTGCGGCCCTAACCGCTAAGCCCTGCGCCCGTAGTGCGCGCGCAGTACGCAGTTAAGCACCAGTAGTATATGAACTCCCGGGGCCGACATCGCTTAGGCCTACCCCGATGCTTTCCCCCATCTCATCTCCAGAGCTTCGTCGGCCTCCCAGACTGTGATGCATTGGCTGCAATGTATGCATACCCGTGACAACCGAGAAGGTGATGCCACGGTGTGATCTCACCATATCATCCGTACGTGACTATGCCAACGTTTCTTCCGTTCCGCGCTACCGTAAAGTAGCTAGATGCCAAACTCTTTGAGGTTCCAATCGCAAATGCATCCGTTCTCATGGTGTTGTTCACGCGTTAGGTGATTGCTAGACCATCCACTTTGAGGCGTGCCGGAAGTCGGGGTCAACGCCGCCGGTTACTGTTCATCACATACCGAACTTCAGGATAGATCACCTCAATCGCCGCACTGAAACGCCTTGGAAGTACCATCCACATCGCATACATACGGAATCCGGGTAGAGGCGTTGCACTGGGGGAGTACATTGTGGAGCGCTATGAATGTTGAGCAATTGGTGAGCTCACACTCGCCCTTGGTCGCCGCGTCTTCTTTTGGCATGCAATCTGTCGCACTGTCTCCGAGGAGTGGACCGTCACTTTGAACTCTCGCGACGGGCCGCACAGTTACGTATCTGACCACCACGCCTCGGCGCTGGGGTGCTCCGCTGACCAGACATCGGGCGCGCGGGATTCAAACTGAATGTCCGGCTACGTGAGCTGCTAAGGTTCGTTTTTACTGTTAGGACGAGCAGCACGCTTGGGTGGGGAATTCCCGACGACTGATGCATGTCTCCGACACCTAGACCACGGCACGTTCGACCACGCCCTCAGGATGTTTCCATGGCATTCGTGAGGTGCACCGTTCCGTCCGAGGCACGGACCTATGGAGAGACGAACATTCACACCGACGTCACTGCTCCCGAACAGTGAGGACGTCTCCATGGCACCAACTCATGACCCACGGCCCGCTGGACTGAGCTCTGTGCAGCGTGCACGCGTGCGCGCAAGTATGCGCGTCAGCCACATGCGAATACGAGCCTGACTAGCGTCACAGACCTTGCCGGAAATCACGGATAACCGTCAGAGAAGACATGGCCCGAGCCGTAGGATGCTATACGCGACAGGATGCTGTAAACAAGTCCAGTTCCTTCCGAGGCACATCGGAGCGTCCGAGATGGCCGCTGCAAACTGTCTCCGGAGGGACCCCTTGCCCCGACGGAGTTTGTTCCGCCGTTCGCCCGCCATATCCTCTGTATGTTCGCTGCATTGTCCCTGATTCAATTGCACCCGCACTGGCTGTCCGTTCTGGGGCGCTGATCATATTAGTGTTCAAGCTTGCCGGACAGTGGGACCCAATGTATGGTAGTGGCGGGGCTGGCCCTAGTAACCAAGGCACGGATGCGATTGCTCCTGCTCTTGGTAGCCGTACGCATGGGGTCTTTGTCACCGCCATGCAGGACGACCCCACCTCAGGTCGTGCAACGTGGTATAGACTAGACCGTCAATGTGGACAGAGCATTCCCGCGCCCTATCGGAGACCTTAGTGCCTGCTATGCAATGTGTGGGAAGCTGAAGCAGTCGGCAGGTGATGTGGGGCGAATCGCATTGGGTGATGTCAGACGCGGCCGATGAACGTCGTCAACGAGTCATCGCATGGCTCGGCAGCCCAGCTGATAGCTTCGCCAGCAAGGGACGCTTCACCAGAAAGGAACTTTGTTGATCAGCAGTTCTCCGAAGCCCTTTGCGATGTTTGATTGGAATAAAAATCAGGATTCAAGGGAGAGAAACGAGGGCCAGTTTGATCGATCGGTGCCGGATCGGGAAGGTTGTATCAACAGCATAGCCTTCAGGTTGATGACACGACTCTGAGCGCCAGCTGGACTAAGTTCATTCCCTCCGTCCTAGGACGGCCGTACCACCAACTACCCCTGGCTCTCCGCCAGTCACCCGCCGGAAGAGGTTTGCATTCTACATAGTTCCTAGCCGCTCTTTCTTGCCGGCTTGTCGGTTTCCGGCATTGCACATGCTACTCGTCCCGTCCAAACGGGCCGCCTTTGTGGGGCTTTTCCTCGCCATATCGCAGGTCCTTGCAGGCCAAGTTCCTGTTCATAATGGCGTGATTGGCGGAGTTCCAGATCCCTCTACTCGACTCCTTTCCACGGCTGGCGTTTTGGCCGCAACCGGGAGCGGCACAATCGTCCAGACGACGCCCGGCAAATTACGCGTCGTTGAGAACAGTGGCATCTGCGAAACTACCCAAGGTGTTTACCAAGCCTCAGGATACGGTGATCTGACCAAAAATCAGAGCCTATGGTAAGCGATTACATGCTGAAAAGTGTAGAGCTTTGTACATGCTGACGTGTGGGTGATTCGCTTAATGCTCATCTGACGGTCCCTCCAAATCCCTGCTCGCCTTCTTTGGCCTAGGTTTTGGTTCTTCGCCGCCCGGGAAAACCCTGACGCGGCTCCTTTGACGATATGGCTCAATGGCGGTGTACGTATTTTTTCTTTGCCCCAGACTGCACGAGATGCTCACTCGTTCGTGATCGGTTTGACAGCCTGGGAGCTCCTCCATGATTGGGCTTTTCCAAGAGAATGGGCCATGCAGGATTACGAACGACAGCACTGGTGTGACCCTCAATCCATTCTCCTGGAACAACGTATCGAACATGTAAGCGCTATGCAATGCTCCTCAGTGCGTCCTGTGACCACATGATGACCCAAATGATTGTCCCAGGCTGTACCTTGACCAGCCTGTCGGCACTGGCTTCTCTTATGGCAACGCAAACGTGTCCACCTCTCCCGAGGCTGCGGCCGACGTCTGGAAGGTACGCTCCATCATATCCCGCATAGCGGGCAGGAAGTAGCCAAACCGACTAATACTTTTACCATGTGCTCGTCAGTTTTTGCAAATGTTTTTCTCCGATTCGAGATTTTCCAAGTACCAGAAGAACGACTTTGCCCTTTGGACGGAATCGTAAGACGCTTATTGCAGGTTTGCGATCATCATTGCACGGTGCCATTGAATGTGATCGACGCAGGTACGGAGGTCACTATGGTCCTACCATTGCGTCGTAAGAGCACCAACTTCATCGGACGTTGGGATTACGCTTGTTTATCTTGATATAGCTACATTCTGGACCAGAATGCTCGCGTTGCAAATAACACCGTGAATGGTACCACCATCAATCTGAAGTTCCTAGGTATCGGAGATGGGTTGACAGTCAGTCTTCCGGCTGCGTTTTCTTCGAACCACCGTCTTGTAACCATACTGACAACATCAACTTTGAACGCCAGGATCCTCTGGCCCAGTACCCCGGATATCTCACCTACTCTGCCTCCAACCCGTAAGCCCACAACTAGCTGAGCTGTTGTTCATACCCAAGGGCTGATCCTCCGCCCATGCAGGTACCATCCTTTGGTCTCGGACTCAGTGCTCCAAGAGGCTACAGACGTTTGGAACCGTACGGGAGGCTGCCAGGATCTGGTACGTGGTGTAATCTTAGCATCCACTAACAACAGCTAAAAATATGTGCAGATTCGACAGTGTTACAGCACGAACACTGACCAGGTCTGCTCTCAAGCGCAAGAGGTTTGCAACAACGGGATCTTGTCTGCAGCACTCGGGCCTTACGACCCCTACTACGTTCTGAGCACCGAGCCGGACCCCTACCCTCCGGATCTCACTCCTTATCTTACGAGTACTGCGTTGATGGAGAAGATTGGTGCCGAATCAACATGGGTGATGAGCAGCGACGATGTGTACTTCAACTTTGCTGATTCAGGCGACTGGATGCGCAATTCACGACCGCTGCTCGAGTCGGTGATCAATGCCGGCGTGCGGACTGTTATCTACGACGGCGATGCGGTAAGTGTGCTTATGCATATCTGCGCTATTTAGCTCAGCCTGAACCATCTAGGATTACATTCTCAATCACGTCGGGGTCGAGGCTATGGCATGTTGACTAATCCCGATATGCTCGGCTCTGACTGACATTCTACGAAGGTCGACGCGCTCCAAACGAAGTTTACAGACGAGTACGCCAAGCAAGAGTTTGCAAACTACACAGTGGCCGGCCAGGTCACCGGCATCTACAAGAATGCGGGTACTTTCTCATACGTTCGCATATATGGCGCGTGAGTGACCTGCATAGTGGTTTGCGGAGCGACCGCCCCGTTTGCTGACGTTTAATACATCAGTGGTCACGAAGTCCCTGCGTATTCGCACGGTACTCTCGGTGTCGGTCAAGCTGCATTCCAGGTGTTCTCGCAAATCATGAGCAACAGTTCGCTCTCCCCGACGAACTCTTCGGCTAATGGCACTACTGGATCCGCTGTCGGGCAACCGAGTTCTCATCCTAATTCGTCCCCTCTGGTATCATCATCTCTTTGGGTTGCCCTAGGTTCTCTGTTCTTGGCGATTGCGATTGTACCCTTCTAGCCACAGTCACAGTGTCTGATAATCTGTTGTTGCAGTAGTAGTAGTAGTAGTCATCGTTATGTATCTCTGGTAGAAGGCCTGTAGACCTATGACGCATGATGCATCGATACAAAGTTTGCGGCGTCTGTATAACTATAGAGCACGACACTCGCAGCGCCCGCCTAGCTCAATCGGATAGAGTGTGAGACTCTAGATCTACTATTTGCTTTTTGCCTTCCGTCGACTTCGGATGGCCAGCCCGTGGTGAGCATTGTGAGGCTCTCACCAACTGATTATCTGCTTGAAGACCGCTACTCAACAAGCGTGATCCGTCAACACGCAAAATCCGGCTCAGGCCTGATATATTGATAACACATGTATAAATGCAGAGTTAATTGTCTCTTCAGCCCGTTCTACCCATAGCAAGCATCACGATCGCGTACATATTAGCTGCCAATATGATGAAGAAGGTGAGATATGCAAGGCTAGTAACTACCCAACCAGTCGCAAATGAGACATGGGCTTCCTCATCGAACGAGATCTCTTCAATATCATCCAACCTGTGCTCGTGCTTCTCAACCAACACTGTGACATGTTTCTCCTTGAGCGAACCTAGACTGTGCTCCGTGGGCAGGTACACTTCTTCGATGACATTGACATCCTGGCGTGATGGCGCAGCGTCTGGGGTCAGCATCGCCGGAGACGCTTCGGGGGTCGACAGGCCGGGGTCTTGTGTGTTAGCCGCTGGCTTCCTCACGGACATCACGGACTTGGACGACGCCAGCCAGATGAGAGGCGCTGCAACGAAAGGAAGTACGATGGCCAAGGCCACCTGGGATGCGACGAGGAGAGTGTCTATGCCGGGTCGTCCCACGGCTATGGCGACCACGACAGACGGTATCAGACCGATGAGTCTAGTGACGATACGTCGGAGGAATGGCTGTAAGGCGGTCACAATCGGTAAGTTACAGATGATACCACATCCGGGGAGCAACGTAACATACAGAAATCCGCCATTCGATGAAGCCCTCGGAGACGATCTGGCCGGCGAGAGTTGCCGTGATACTGGCAGTTTGCCCGGCACAGAGGAGCGCGAGAGCGAACACAAACGCAGCCGCTATGGGACCGTGATGGGATCAGCCAAATTCCGATTCCGATTTACGTGACGATGCCACCGCACCTTTGCCAATGTGCTCCTTGATCAGATCATGGGCATCGAAGAGGTCTGCTGGTGTATTTCTCATTGATGTTCCGTCCCTAAAGAAGACCGTTGCCGCTATCACGAGAATGCTGGAGACCCCTGACGAGCTCAGGCCTTTGCGACAACGCGAACACGAGAGATGCTCACGCTGAATTAATTGGCACGGCAACGGCCAATAAGCTCGTGATCACATCCACAAGTCCGTGAGGAAGGTGAGCCCGGATGAAATCAAGCTCGTTATTCTCGCGACCGTATTTGTCCCGATAAGTCCTCGAGGCGGCTATGCGCTCAGCACGCGATACTGTAAAGAGAGATTGGAGCCAGGCGCCAAGTCTGCCCCGAAGGTTTGAGGGTCCTGACGACGTTGCAGGGTCAGGAAGGACTGATTCGGAACTAATCCTGTCTTGCGTTGCAAGGTAGGACCCCAAGAAGAGCGCGTGCGGCATGACCGTAGCACCGAGTATCCCCACAGCTGCGAGGATTAATTCAATTCAGTCACGATGATTGGACGTGTTCGGCAAAGAGCGTACCAGTGTATAATGCATCAGGCTTTCTCTCGAAGAGCGCTTTGGAGGGGATGTAGCCCAAGAAGGCTTGCGGCCAATCAGGTTCGACCCGGACCAAGAGCACAACAAAGCATATGAAGACAACTGCCACCTGTAAACTGTTCAAGAACGCATCATGAAACCATATGACTTTGACATACGAGCGCCATCACTGTATATTCAAAGAGCTTGACAGGGCGACCGTGACCACGAGAAGGATCCCCGATGATCAAGAAAATCAGGACATCGGATGCAGTGATGATGACCGCGGCCCACAGTGGAAGAGCTGGGAACAATAAGCATAGGCCGATCGCCGAACCCAGAAGTTCCGCTAGATCGGTGCTGACTATGGCGATTTCGGAGAGCACGTAGAGTGGGTATAGCACTCCGTAGCGAATCAGATATTTGTATCTTGGGCGGTCATGCAGGAGCACTCTACAATGGGAAGCCAGGTCTGCTGTACATCAACGTCACATCATCGTCAGCTTTACGAGAGCGCACACCTAAACCGGTGACGCAGCCCAGTTTGAATGCAAGAGACTGTGCAGGGTCATTGAGCATGAACGGACAGCATAACAAAGTTCTGATGCGGAGCGACGTACCTGCAATACCATCGCTCCAAGACCTGCCATCAGGATCACAAAGAGCATGGGGCGATATCCAAAGAGAGATCCGGCTTGGAGGTCGACGCTCCAATTACCGCTATGAAACGTCTCAGCATGGTGATGAACCTGAATGCAATGAATACTTACGGGTCGAAATAGGCTACCGAACAGATGATACCTACCCCCACATGCTTGCTGACATGGTGAGTTACGGTACGCAAAGTATATGCCACACGAGCGCGCCAGCTAGTAGCATCGCTCAACGAAGGGGTGCGGTACGCCGCAGCGCGCTCAGGATGGTTCAGGAGCGACATTGGGGGAAGAGGGAGCGACGAGAAGGGGGCCCGGGACGACCATGGCAGCAACTACTACTTGACATCGCACCAAGACAGCGGACAGAAACAGCAGACCGGTAGCGGGCGTAATATCGTCTGGGATTCTCACTGCAGCGAGCCCGGTGGTGGTGAATGGGAACGTTGCCGTGCACTGTGAGACTCGCCACGACGGCTCGCGCGGCGCTCGCCGCCCAATCGCGTCGGCAGCCACAATCTTGGGACTCTGTTCCGCTTGATCTCTAACCACCACCACCACCACCACCACCAGCCTCGCTTTGCACTTGCAGCACTCGTAGCTCGCCATGGAAGTCGACTTGCATCCTCCGGATGACTACAGCCATCGATTCTTCATCTGGCACGAATGGATTCAGGTACTCATCACTAGTAGATGCGCTTGGGCTCCCCGTGTTCACATCGTCTATCCTAGGCGCATGGACCTCTCACATTGGAGAACGCCTTTGATTACTTTACGACATCAATGTTCTATGATAAGCAGAGCAACAACCAAGTCCTCCGGATGCAGACAATGCACACCGGTGCACCTCTCGTGAACGAGGCCGAGGAGCTCAAGTGAGGGATACGCCATACGCCGGGTTCCGTGTTTAATCGGCCATATTCTCAGACGTTTCACTGGCATTGAGTTTGCCCTCGTCTATGCCGAAGCTCCGTCACTGTTTATCATCCACAAACGCGAACGCCTCTCACCGGACGAAGGTGAGTTCTTCAGATGAGTTTCGCTTTCCCACCGATCTCAGGGCACCCAACCGTCCAGTCCGGCCCCTGGCCGTGTACTTCATTTTAAACAACCGTATATATCAGTCTCCAGATGTGTACAATCTTGTATCTAACAGGCTCGTGAGTGGTTTCTTGCACACACTGCTATGAATAGTCGTGCTCACCTCGTGTCCTGTCATAGCTTACGTCCCTGCACTCCCTACAAAAGTCATTAGATATTCTCCGCGCGCATAGGCCTGCATACACGCCTCGTACAGGCTTCGCCTGGCCCATCGTTGAACCGTCTTCGGGTGACGCCGCAGCGAAGAAGCGCAATATGGATGTCGAAAATGCCCCCGAGACCACACAGGAGACCGAAGCACTGTCGGACGCTCGCAGCACCCCTGCTGCTGCTAACGACACGAAGCGGCAACAGAACAACATGCTGCTCTTTAACGCCATGCGGACAACAGCCGTTCATGCTCGCGAGTCATTTCAATTACCGGCTGTTCTTTCCGAGGAGACCGTCCCGGAAACGCCTGCTACCGCAACGGTTGGCCGGTCGTCCGTCACGCCGGCTCCCGCTCCGGTCGGCATTGCTACAAGGGCACCCTCTATAGCCCCTACGCCCCAAGAACCTACCAAAGGCCCGTCAGGGGGTGGCAAGAAGAAAAAGAAGAGTAAGGCTCAAGGCTCGAGACCGCCCACCGTTTCGCAATTCCGCGCTAATATTATCGCGCGCTACAGGAACGGCGACTCTTCCACAAGCTGGGTAATGATTCGGGTCTTCCCCATGCATCTTGACCATCAGTCTCGGGAAACGACTATATGTGCATGAATCACCTCAGGTGTCAACCGGATTGTCCGTCCAAACATCACAAAGGAACAAGCTCGGGCTGTGGGTGGACACACGGTTTTGGGAATCTGCTACGACATTGTGTGACTATCCCCGTGTATTTTATTCTCATGGACGTATACGAATTGAGTGTGCCAACATGACATCGCTGCTCTGCACGTTATACCCACAAGCGTGCCGCCTCGTATACGTACGGTATGCTATGACTCCTCCCGGTGTGTGGGTCGTAAGCTCAACAGGCCAAATCAGGTGTGTGAACAGTTCCTCGGACTCGGGACTAGGCACCGGAAAGGACACGAAGGCGAGCAAGCACGGATCGCGAGCCACCCTTTCTCGCGTTCCGACAGTCTGGACTATCTCGCACCAACCCCTGTGAGCCTGCCTGCCAACCATCCCAAGGGTGTTTGCAGCCCGGCGCTCCGAGAACCAACAGCCCCACCGCCACCTAGATACAGGGGGTTGGCAGATGCGAATGATTCTTTCCGTGCTTTCGCGGCGTCTTGTACTGCATGGGCGTGATGTACAGAATGGGAAGGTACGAAACTCAGTGCGGAGCATGGCACGATATCGGGGAAGACGTACCGGCACGGTCGATCTCATGAACATTCGTCTCGAGGACGAGACCACCTTGGATGATTTCAGCGAGGATGTGATGTGCCTTTGAGATAACGCATGGAGTTTCCGCCGCATGCAGCCATTTGTACCAGAGGAGCTCACCTCATCGAAGTGAAACACAAGGTCTAGCTCACAAACGTTCTCGAATGCGCTATCCAGGGATTCGACGAAGACCTGCAGCAGGAATCTGGTCAGATTCGATCCTGAGCTCTCTTCTCGCACTTCATCATCATGCGCTCGCACTCTCCTCGTGTGGCCGGTACGAAGCACCATCCGCGCCGATGAGTTAACGTGACGTCCACTCACTTGAATAAGATCCAATATCCCGAGCTCGCTCTCCGCACTATCGACCACGAAGACGAAGTAGAGCGTTGCATAGTTTCGATAAACGACACGCAGCCTCTCGCCGTCGCCGTCCTTAGGCTTCAGAAACGCCTCGAGCTCGGGTGCATCGAGGAAGTTGCACAAACCCGCCGGCCGCCCGGACACAAGCGCGTAGATTTTCTCGATGAGGGTCTGCTGCGACTGATGAATCGGGGAGTAGAACTTTGTCAGACGGGGTACGCCAGACGTGTTGACTATAGGCAGAGCACAGGCGTCCCAAGATGTCAGCGAGCGCGGATGGGAGGAAGGAGGACGAGCGGACAGATGAGCACCGCATGAATCATGTTAGGTTCTGGTCTTTGTTCTAGTCCCGATCCTGGTCGTGTATATCCGTGTCAGGGTGGGCTAAGGAATTGAGAGTGCTGTACACATCAAGCGGCGGTGTGCATGTGGTCCGAGTCGAGGACACTGTCGGAGACGGAAGCGATGAACCGCGCTGAGTGTCAGCCACGGGCGGCCCGTTCAACCGCCCATCGTCTACATACATGTGGCGCAGCACCGAGCGAGCGCGAGACTGAACATAGGCGTTCTTCCATAAGCAGACCAAATTATTGATGACACTGGTAGGAGGGATGCTTGACAGATGGATGGCATATGTTACAGTCGACAGAAATAATTGGATCGAATGGATTCTAAACGAAAGCTCGTCGTATTCTACAATCGTATGGTGCACAGTACTTCACATCGACCGCCCTAGGAGACAACAGGAGACCATGGGTGCATCGGCCTATTACTCATAGATGTAGGAAGAATTTCAGATATCGCTCAACGTTCACATGAGCACAGCATTGACCACTGCAGGGTCAAGGCTCGTTTGGTCTCCTCGAGTCGGTTTGCAGAGGTGCTATAACCGGAACATGTAAGATCCAAGTCAGACGCGAGCAACAGGAAACCTTGAAAGGATGCGATCGCGCTACTCACGTTCAGTTTCAAGGCGTGGGCATTCTTGTGGGTCATTGTCCGGCAATTGTAGCCATACCTGGATGTGTGGTCAGCACGAAGGCGGCTCGTCTAAGCTTGGATGACGCACCAACAGTCTTCTTGCGCTGTCGCACCGTGTGCTATAAGAAACCAGTGTAGCCGCTCAGCGCTCAGGGCTGGCAGATGGATACAAGGCAACTAGACGCCTACCGCTTTCCTTAGTCTTCCTCCACCATGGTAAGAAGCGTTGCCGGTACAGATCTTTGATGCAAGCGAGGCAGTACCATTCGTCTGTCGACCAGTGCTCTTCGGGATAAGTGTCTAAGACTGTCGACGCAATATCTAGTTCGACCATCTCCCTGAAGATGTCCTTCTCCGAGATCGGGTTTTGAGTATCGGAGAGATGCGCCGTGATGAGTTTGCGTTCTTCCCGATTTCGGTGCAGGACGCCGGGCAGCAGCCACGTCCTTTCGTGGACGGGCAGCAGACCGGAGAGAAGAATCATATCTAATTCGCGAACGGTCAGCGTGCTAGCTCCGGTTTCTGTGAATGGATGGCTCACTATTCACGCCTAGTAGGCTTAGCCCGCCGACAGATTCACAACGAGAACCTGGATTGAAGATGTCAGCCAGAGTTGACCTCTCCCTCAACACGGCAAGTACATTTGTCCTCTGCGCCTACAGGCGCCGTCACGATCGCGCTGGGCGTCTTGTCGTCCAACTCATCGAACTCCACTTGACGCGATTGTAACACGTCCTTGATACAGCGGCGGACCGGCTCCCAATTCCTGTAGACCATGGTTTCGGCGTCGAATCCCCCATTCTCCAAGCTGATTGCTAAAGCGGCTGGGTCCGCGTTCGCGACAAAGGAGACAGCGGTCGCTATCGCAGGAGAGGATTGAGTGTGCTCCTCCTATCATACACAAGAGGCCAAAAGACTTACACCGTTTCCCTGACCACAGGCTTGTGTCCTCGGCGAATGCGCCGACGTCCAGTATCTCGCACAACTCCACCGATGGAAGGGAGCTCAAGAGGCGCAGAAAACTGTCGCAGAGCACAGGCTCCGGCTCGTCGTCATCGTCGTCATCGTCGTCCTCGTCATCGCTTTCAGTGCTCTTGGCCGTCTCCTTCCAGATGGTTCCTTGGTCGGACATTTCCAGCCAGAGCCAATAGCGATACATCGCTCTATCGAACCGCAAAGTCTCCTCTGGGCTGAGCATACTCTTGGGTGAGCTTCGGTTTTTCTTTCTATGATTTGCGTGGTGAGTCAGTGGTCGGATGCTACTGAGTCTAAGGGGTGGCATGCCTCAAACTATAGAAGTCGCGGAGAACATGTACCGTATGGGCATTCCTCTTCAAAATTGACAGAAGGTGGCCCGAGTTTGTCAAATCCAGGGCCGCCAAGTGGCTTTCGTCGGGAAGACCTTCAATGTCGACATTCTCTTGCGAACACTGATGAAGGTATTCCGTCAATCGTAGGGCAGGCAACAAGGCTGCGCCGACGACATTCGCGATAACCGCACGAATGATGGATTTGGGGTGAGTTTGAAAGACTTCGTGGTGCTTCCTTGAGACGCGGATTGCTGCACCCAGTGTGGCCAAGTCAGGCGAGTCTTCCAATATCTGGTGGATCACATCAGCGGGGAGATTATACATAGACATGGTGTATTCTATGAGGCAACGATAAGCACTGTGAGCGTTCTACGGTGGTTACTTATGTACTCACCCGGCCGCAGGTGATGGGAGTCACGAAAGTGGCGTACTATTTCACCTTTGTGCGTCTACTCGGAGCCGCAATGAAGCTAGACGCCAGCTGTGGAAGATTTACGTGGCATGACTGGACGAAAGTCACTTACAGCGATGTGTAGAATGATACGAAACCCAGGCTCCGTCTCACCCGCTGCTTTGAGTTGAAGGGGGAACTATGAGGGAGGGAATAGGCTGTATAATATATTCGGAGGTGTTCAGCCTGATCAATGTATCACAACTTTTACATCGCCCCCTGACGTGGACACCTGAGAGAATAAAAGTATACACCCACTATACTATACTGTGCCAGGCCAGTGGCAGACGTGATAAATGTAGAGATCTAATAGGCAATATCTGGTGGCTATTCAGTGTGGTAGTCCAGTCATGTAGTTTACGTGGGCAAGTATGCGCGACCACGGTCATACAGAGCACACATAGCCGAAATCAGGGTATATTTGCCAGAGCCCGAGCCACGAACGTGCTACGCGTCGCGTCGGTCATGTGGCGGGAACCTTCCTGACATCACGTCAGGCCCCAGGGGCATTAGGGATCCCTGCAACAATCCTTCAGGCTGTGCTGCGAGTCATGCTCGCTAAGTCAGCGGTATTGACGGTCTTGGAAAACTGGCCCCGATGTTCAGATCAGGCAAAGAGGTCGGACGTGCCGAGTCGCACGCGAGAAGGATCATAGACCGCGTTCCAACCGTGTGCTGCATGGCGGTCACACCTGGTCGCGCTCGATGAAATCCACTAGTCAGGAAGTCCACGCCCGGCTGCCGCACTTTGAATCGGAGCGCACAGCGTACATGCAGCGTGGTCGGGCATGGCGCCAAGACTCTTCTGCACATCGTTCCCCTGCCTCGTTTCGCCGCTCACCCTATTCTCGTCCATTTTCTGGTCATGTGCGGACGATCCCGCTACCAGTCTGCGTCCCAATAGGGCCGCTCAATTCTTGAGGACGCAGGACGCAGGACGCGTTCAGAGGCCATTGATGGAGGTGATGGGCTAAGCGAGACTAGCCGACAAGCTCGCCTTCGAAACCCCTCGAGCGACGATAACACTCCTCCCCCCTCACAAAGTGCCTCAAGGGTAGTGTCAATCGACGCGGAAAGCTTTCGTCTTCAACATACTCGCGGTTCATATTTTTATGTGAGGTTTGGGACACGACAGACCTCTTGGAGAACAACGGGCACGAGAAATGAGGTTGGTACCTTGCCCTATGCGGCAGGTTCGGCTAGCGCATCACATCCATCAAACGAGCTCTGAGTGCGTCCTGCGTCCTGCGTCCTCAAGAATTGAGCGGCCCTAATACTCCTCTCTATTGCCTCTGATATTCCGTGCTCACATGCATATGCAGTTCAGTCAGGTTGCTGGTTAGTTCGATGATAACGCGAATTTTGTGCGCCCCGGGACTTGGCTTGAGCTTGGCAGTGACGGAACTATTTCTGGACGTAATGTGATTGATGCATGAATGGGCGGAATGGGTGGACGTCGGATGATGCGGCGAAGACGTATGAGCAGACTGTGTGCCTCACACTGGGCTCATGGCGGGCAAGGGGGCGGCAGGAGGTGGAAAGAGGAGAGCTGGAAGGGGCGCACCGGAGAGGATGCGCGAGACAAGTGGCGAGAGGCAAGAATAGTGCGCGATTCGATTGATGATAAGTAGAATGACAAGCCCTCGGTTGCTGTTTTGGGAATGCCAAGCCAAAGTCTCAAGAATAGCTACACCGCCGATGCTTATTTTCGGCAGACGCCACCCTCCTCCTCCTCCTCCCGCTGCCCATCCGGCCACTCGACTCGACCAGCCTGCGTCGCCATGAGTCGCCAGAGATGCGTACGAGCAGGGCAGAGGCAGCCGGGACGCAGGGACGGACTGGGCGAACCGGGCAGTCGATACGGGAGTTGACGGTGGGACGGGTTCCGAGCAGGTCTTGGCACTCTAAAATTACTCGATGGCCTCTCTCTCGACTGAGTGTCAAAGATAGTCCTTCGACTCTTGGCTTTGCTCAAATACGCAGCTCTCCACTCTATGCCTCATCACCAAGCCCGACCGGCCCCTCCATTCCCCTCCGCTGCCCATGAGCATCCTCCCATCCCCCCCGCACGTCCCCCTCTCCTCAGACCCCGTCTACACACACCACCCATCCCATCGCGCCGTTGACTCGAACATGAGAGCTGTTCTTGCTTCTTCTTGGCATGTCCTGGAACAAGTCAGTAGCCAAACCCCATAGCTAGCGCGTGTCGTCCTCATTCTGTGCATTCTCCAGCCCCCGCCGCCCACTCTTCGCGAGATTCTCGAAGCATACAAGGCCAAAGGCGACGGCGACCGAGAAATGTTGCTAGCCATGTTGAACGCCAAGAGCTCAGAAGACCAGGTCGGTACATCCGCATGTATGCACACCACACGTCCGCTTACCATATCACATGTTGTCCTATATCTCAGCGTCTCGCGTCTTATGCGACATTACATCGCACCATGCTTGACATGTATCAAGCGCCTTTTGCTCAATCAGCTACCACCGTCCTGCCGCTACACATTCCAGACAGCCATCATTCTCAAGCATATTCACACGCACATCCCTTCCCGTCACCACCGGCATCCTACCACCATTCACCCCCTCCGTCGTTTTCGCAGCCATTGCATCACGACAATTCACGCCAACACCGGACTCACTCGGTGTCTTCTATGCCCGAACAGAGTCAGGACAGGAGTACTCTGCCTTCGTCCTCAAGCCAACCGATCCGTAAACGGCGTCGAACGTCACGGTCACCTCCGCCACACTCACGGGCGAGGCTTTCTCCCTCAGAAGAGCCTATGTCAGCCCATGCAAACGATCTCCCTCCTTCACCATACTCGTCGGCGTCTTCGGCACAGAGCAGCGGTGGTTCGCCTCGCTCTCGAGAGTCGATGGCCATTAACTCGCTGCTTCTTGACTCACGTTCGACGCTTCGAGATGAAGACGGGCCGACACGGAAACTAAGTTCAGAACGGAGTACGACGATGGCTTTCCGGGAGCGATAAGTTCTGCAGGAGTTTCGTGGTGCTCCACTACTATCAGTGTGCGACATCCCTATGTAGGATTTTTTTAATCGTGTCTGGCATTACTGTACGTGATCCCCCCTCCCTGTCTCTGTTTTTCCTAGTCCGGCGTCGGGTTCTCTGTTCAGGTTGTAATGTGTCCTCGGGCTCCGGTGTCATATGTCGTGCTATCTTGCACGTGTATTTTAATTCCTACGCAATGTTGTACTGTTTCATGCATCACCTCTGCCCGCCATGCAGTGATATGACTACAGTTTCTCCGAGTTCACTGCACGATCCACGGCTATCAATTGCAGACAGCACGGATATCGGGTAACGGACGTCTCTGTCCTTGCCCAAGAACTTCCGAGCCTCGCTATTCTTGCGCAAGCTTCGATCGATAACCTCACATTGGGCTCTATGCCGGTAGCCAAGGTTAGTCGTGACGATTCCAACATGTCGAGTTCCTCTTTCATCCGGCCCGTTCCCACCACCGCACCTGGCGCGGTATCGATGCCCGCCGACACGGCGCCGCCGGTCCCTTCTTTTACAACATAGCGGGACGGGATCCCCGTAATTCACGCGCAGCGATTTGTTGCTGCGGCTGCCATAGGACCACGTCTAGGTAAGTACGGTAGTCTCAGCTGCAGCCACCCGCAGCGCCCGCGTCCCGCAGTGGGACCGGCACGTCAGCCTCATCTACGGACTCATGATCGTGGCAACTGGTGATCCGCTCTTGGTGCGTACAGCCGATATTCTCGGGGCTTACCATCACGCCTGGGCTGCAAGGCACCTGTGTCGACGGTTCTATACGGGTGCGCCTGAGCCACGGCAGCATAAAAGCCGCAAAACTTACTACCTGCCTCGCGCGAAGGGAGGCGCTCGGGCCAAGCTGGATCAAGGACACGGCAAGACTGAACTGAACCTTGGGCGTTGGCGAGGTAAGAAGTGTATGTGAACTGAGGTCAGCTGCTGAGCCTGCAGTGGCGCGTAGCTTGTCAAGCTGTCAGCATCGCGAGCAGCTGCGGCACTCTGTACAGGTGAGTTCTGCTCCGCGGCGAACGCAATGTCGTGCCTAAGTGATGTTTGACATTTCTTTGCCTAGTCAAGGTACTGTTGCTTGCCCTTTGGACGAAGATCCATGACAAGCCTCGTAGTCAGCCTGGGGCGTCGACAAAGCACGCTGAGCAAACATGTTCTTATTACTGAGTCAGCGGAAAAGTAGGTTAGGGCCACCATATTGTGAGGCGCGTGCCTGTGGACGGCGACTCGATGTTCCAATGCACCGTGACCGCATATGGTCGTTTCACCCCCCTACTTCGCAAAGAAGACAAGAACCACTGGCGTCGGAAACCCCGACGCCGCCAGCGCCGAAGGTATGCATCTGCAGGTGTCTTCATAGAACCATTCATCCCATACGGGCGCGCCGCTTTCCTACCACCGTCGGGGATCTCCACCCTCTGAACGGCGTCATTGCTCCATCCTCGGAGTTTGTCTGAGGCAAGAGAACTCCCGCTCGCCGCTTTGTGTGCCCCGTTCTAATTGCGCTGGGCTAGTACGGGGGAGCCACAGCCCTTTCTTGGCTAGTCGTCGGGGAAGTGTATCTGCATCCTGGCAGGGTCCCCAGGGTTTACCAACTGACCGTCCTATTGTCATAGGGGGGGCCATGACATGCGCATCAAGTATTATCAGTGTACTTCTGTACGGCGATCTGGTACGTCACAACCACTCCAGGCGGGTCTGTCCAGGCGCTGCGCCCACCCTGCTTCTCATACATCGTAAGTTCATTGTAGAACGGTGAAGACTTGCTCCCTTGATCCAGCTCATGTACATCTTCAATCCGTGTTGATCGAGGCGCTTCTCATATAACTCTGAGCCTCACAAATATAGCTGACTCCAATAGCGGTGTCAATACGACAGTTGGCTCATCGAGAGAGGCACCCGGTTGTCGAGTGATTGGAGTCCCTCGCAACCTTTGAGTATATTTCCCACTGAGAGCGTTTAAGCATCGGGATGCGAGGACATGTCTGAATGCGGCGCGATTTCCAGACAGAAAGCCCATGTATTTTCCAGGACCCTGCCTCCCGGGATACACAGTCCCCCTTCATGATCAGTTTCCCAAGGCTCGGAATTTTTCATCATGCAACATTGGACTGCAAAGCAATTCCCGCAGAGTTCAGAAGACAAGCATTTCGGAGACAAGGAGGTCCTGATACTCTGTTCTATCTAGACGGACATGAATACTGCTGGGTATCTGGCCGTACCGCATCGGTGGGTCTTGCGGCTAGTCCGATAGTGGACAGTCGGTACCAGCCCCGGCGACTCTGAGAATTCGACGTTTCAGAAGTGTGAGTCCGGTGGAGCAACGGCGGCCTAACGCATGCACACGTTGATACACTGCTTGACTTAGAGCATCAGGGTTGCGCATGCGTGTATGCGCAAGGCTCAGTCATGACACCCCCTCTCGGGTGTGGGACTGGCGTTTGGCCGACCCATACGCTTGGATACGGTTGGAGAAGCCAGTCGGCTTGAAGAAAATTCTCTCCCGGTGCGCGAAATAGGGTCTTTTGCTAAGAAGCCGTGAACTCCGAAGGATTGACATACTCGGCACCTTGTTCATTGTACTTGTGGTTGAGGGCAGGCATGAAGACACACTGGCGCTATATACTTCAAGAGCCAACTCATCTCCTGACAGGGAGGCGAATTGTCTCATGGATCATAGAGAAGTGGTGCGTTAGAACATCGTGGAAGTCATCATAATCATCTATTCGATCGTTATTTATAGATACATACACACACGTTTGTACACTCCAGAGAAGCCTGACTAGAGAGTCGCTGGGCGGATATCATATAGGGGCCCGTAGGACTCTTCTGCTAGTTACCCACAACCCTCCTCGTCCTTCAATATATTGAAGGACGAGATGTGTCATCGAAGCATCCGTCATCAAAATACATGAATAAGAATGATAATACTTAAGACGCGTTCGGTGCTAAACGCAGGGCCCTTATTGAGCTAATATGGCAGCAAGAAACCTGGGAATGGCAGGATCGGCCGCCCACACCAGGTGCGCCGTGGAATGTTCAGCCCGATTAGTTGCGGAAGAACCGTGAACCTTGAAGAGGCCTCGCAGGTTCAGCGAGAGCTTCCCTCTTGCTGGATGTGCAAGCCCCGTTGTCGGTCCAGACTCCACTGGCACCTACGATGGTCGGAGTCACGTAAATCAACGAGCATTCTTCTTGATAGCTATAGAAATACCCACTGCCCGGGGTCTCGTTCTGAGTCCACCACTTGGCGGTCCAAAGGTGGCCACTAGGAAGTCGGCGGTGGTATTGTGTGTTAACAGGGTTGCGAGCGACGTGGAATTAGGACGCACTTGTAGGTCACTTCCTGACCGCCGTTGTAAGCCGTCGTTGAGTTCCAGGCCGCTACACCGGCGCAGGCGCCAGCGGTGGGGGCCGACCCTGCAGACGTCGACGTCGGCGTTCCAGAGGGCGCGTTTCCAGCGCATGCGCTGACTACACAACCTCCTCAACAAGAGACCGGAAAGAGTTGCGGCGTTCACGTACTGGGGTTCCAATCGCCATTAGGGTCCGCACTGGGGGTGTTTTGCGACCACCATTTGGCCTGGCAAGTAGGTACAGAAGGTGAACATAGATATCATTGTACGAAACCCCGATCGCACCTCCCAGATATATCTGCAGGACGACCAAAAAAGTGAGCAGCCTATTCTGCTGGTCCACACTATCGGTTGGGCTCACCCATTGTACGACACTTGACTGTTTCCAGTGTAAGCGTTTCCCGAGACGTAAGCAGGGGCAGAACAGGCTGGGTAGGTGAAGCCAGTTCCGCCGGCAGCGACAAGAGCGTTCTTGGCGGCGAGGTCGTAACGGTTGTTCACTACTGCCGCGTCAGCAGAGTTCGTGATCTGGCAATTTAAGAGATGGCGCACCATACGCTTGGGAGGCATCCCACATCATGACACCTAGCGATCAAGTGAGATCATGTTGTTTGCGAAGGCAAATAGAATTTACCTCCGAACGACGGGAATCGATGGCGAGTAAGGGTCAAGTCGCTCGCAAGAGTCGCAGGATCCTGATATCCACTGCCGGCGGCCGTTGATGACGCAGGAGCACCGACAAAGACTTTGACGTCCGGGTTGGGACTAACTGTCTTAGCCCAGATATCCCTGTAATATATCTCATGAGCTATCGTTCATCAGGCACACGCAGGGACATATACCAGATACCGAAATTGAAACCCTGAAATGCATAGAGAATTACCGTTAGGGATACTCTGATAGAGGTTTCCACGAAAAGCTACTTACACTAGACGAGTTGAACACCTGAAGGCCGCAAGGGTTGTTGTCTAGAGCAAGAGCGATCAGGCATTGGTACACTCGCGGGCTTCACGATGACGTACAAAACTGTACGTAGATTGCATCGAACGAGGCAGAATTGATCACAGCTCCGAGGTTGGCATCCGGATATACACATTGGGGAGCACCAGTGATATAGTACCTGGCGCATGACATGTCAGGTGAGGTAGCACAGTATGCATATATGTGAGTCGTCACTCACTTCTTGCTTGCGCTGCTGAAGTAAGAACGGAGACGGTTGATGAAAGCGACGTAACCGGTACTCCCTCCACCTTCGATATCCAAGTCGACGCTAGTGATGTGGCATCAGAACGAACGGGTCGGATCAAGTACCGACAGGATCGTATACTATCTTACCCATCAAGGACAGCACTGCCAAACGGACGAGTTGAGCTGGTACCCCCCAAGAAGTCATTCCAGATGGTGTCAGCGAAGGTCTCAGCCTGGGAGTCCGATTGGAAGCCGACGCTAGCACCTCCACCGCCAAGACTGAGCGTCACTATCTTCCCTTTTGACTGACAGAATTCCACATCGGACGCTAGAGGTGCGCAATTGACGAGGCCTGTCCCAGAGAAGGTAGCGTTGTCCTTCGCATTGCAGGTCTGGGTTCGGAAAGCGCCCACTCAGATGACTGTCTTCCTACGCAAATGAGACACATACATTCCCAAGGTCAAGCACAGGCGCGCCTCCAGTGCCAAAGAACGAGTCGACGAATGCCACCGGGATCACATCGATCGCATCGTCCTGTTGCATCGACGGTCAAGTGAATAGGGACCGAAGGGACAGCGAACCGTCTTACCTGGCAGTAGAACGACAACGTCTTCTGGAAGTTGGCAGTATCCGTATGCGTCGCACCATACGAGTCCTGACCCCAGTAGCTGGAAGGAAGACTATATGAACACGCGACGTAGCCAAACTATGCAACTCGATCATCTTACACGACCACCTGTGGAGCATCCAGATTAGCATTATGCAATACGAGTCGGGACTCTCAGGCACTCACGTTATCGTATCTACTGTTGTCGTAGGCCGTCACACCGACACCCGCAAGGCCTACAACGACTGTGGCGAGAGCTCCTAGAGTATAGGATTGCATAGTCCGAGCCATTGCAAACCCAGGCGCGACCAGTAAGACCAGTAGGAGACCTGCCGACACAGAGGCCGTAGCTCTCTTCGCTGCTTATAATGCTGCGCGCATCCGGGAAGGCCGCCATGCAACAGCACGCTGGACGGCAGCAGAAGGTATCGGCATCGAATGGGAGTCCATCACGGGATGGAAGAACCGCTGAGAAGCACGCGGTACACTGGCAGACCAGCGTGCAGCGGCGAGGCAGAAGGCCAGGTGGCAGAATAAGTCTGGTCACGAAGCCACGATAGAGGCGGAGAAAACATAGGAACCATGCGTGCGCCCTTGATCGCACGGAACGAGGTGCACGGTCGACAAGTTGGGTGGGCTTGACTCGCGTACTGAGGCGCACGTGTCACGCGGCCGGCCATATCAAGATAAGAATATCCTCAGATAGCCTCACACACCTCCCGAGCTTTATTACACAGTACTGCGTGCATCGGCATGCCACGGAAACGGCAAGCGTCGCAGCCAGTCGCGACAAAAGACTACCGAAGTCCAACCACCATGCTCCCCGATCACGGTGCCGCCCCTCCGTTTTCGGCTTCATGCAGCGTGGCATTCCTTACGGGATCTAGGACAGCGGTCCTAAGTTGAGGATATCTGCAAGCGAACGTATGGCACGCAAGCACATACCGAAATATTGGTGTGCCTGTGCTTCACGCGCAGTCAGACGTTCCTGATGATCGTAACGCAGTAGCCGGTCCAGCAGGTCGATGGCCTCGTTGGAAATGTATCTCTGATTCTCCGACGTCGTGAAGCGTGCCCAAGCTTTCTTCGGGTAACTGAAGGTACTCTATGGTATCAGTAGCCATATGGTACCAGCAACGTCACTCACTTTCCAAGCAGTTCGTCGTACTGCGGATCGAGCGCTATGTCGTACTTATCTATGTATTGATACAAGCCCTCGGTACCCAGCACCTTGGTGATCTTGACGAGTTGGTCGTAGTTGTCATGGCCGTGAAAGAACGGTTCCTTCCTGAAAATCTACTGGACGCTCAGGCTCAAAGCACCATGAGGGATACCACAAAGCACGTACCATTGAGGCGAACATGCAGCCGAAGCTCCACATGTCGAGGCTATAGTCATACTCTTGAAAGTCGACGAGAAGCTCCGGCCCCTTGAAGTAACGCGACGCTACTCGAACATTGTACGCCGTCCTTGGATGGTAAAACTCGGCCAATCCCCAGTCGATCAAACGGAGCTGTCCGGCGATTAGGCTTACAAGGCGCGTAGAGGACACATCGTCTTACCTTCCGTCGCTCGTGGTCTATCATGACATTATGTGGCTTGACATCGCGGTGCATGATACCCTTGGAGTGGCAATAGTCCAACGCCTACTCGCCTGTGAGTGCTGTGCCTCGTAGAGCATACTATACGCACCTTCAGCAGTTCAAACATGTAAAATCGCACGTCGTAGTCGGTGAAACGGGGGTATAGTACTTTGAAGTCGACATTATGCACATATTCTGTGATGAGCGAAGGGATTTTGGACGAGGGGTCGCGGACGACGTCAAGGAGAGCAACAACGTTTGGACCTCCTGCAAGGTTTTGGAGGATCTTGATCTCTCGCTTGATTTTCTTCTTCTTAACGGGTTTCAAGACTTTGATGATGCACTTCTCTTCGTTGACGATGTTGATACCCTCGAAAACCTGAGGTGTAGGCCCTTTGTGAGTGGCGCAGATCGTTCCACATAATCCAGGCTACGCACCTCAGAGTACTTGCCCCGGCCAACTTTCCTCACGATCTCATAGTGATCCTGCGATCCCCATTGTACCTGCAAGTTGTCTGTGTGGCCTCTTCAGAGCGCGGGACGCGTGCAAGGAAGGAGATTTGACCCGACCATACTCGTACCAAGAGGGGCCGAGCTTGCTGTTGACGTCCGCGTAGACACGCGCGACGGACTTGGTAGTTGCCCTGCCCATGTGTGATGGAGTCGGCAACAGCGGTACGCAGGTACAGACGAGATGAAAGAAGAGTAACCCCACGCGACGCCAGTGGACGGATAAAATCAGTCCTTGCGTCCTGCGCATGTCCAGCGCTTCTTGTCTCACTCCAATGCGCTACTGACTTTGCCCGAGCACAGCATATCCTCTCGCTTACCACGGTCCATCATATGCCTCCAAAACCCGAGTCCAAGTCCAAGAGGCCGCCCCGCTGGCCAGACCACCTCCAGTATCTCTCAGAGCCTAGATACCATTCGTCTGTCCCCACCGCTGTCCGTGCGATTATCTGTCCAAATCCTGCGGGACACGCCCGACCACCGGTGCATGCCCACAAGCCCCCTGTTGCGACCCAGTTCATCTCAGATCCCTCTCACCCCGCTCACGGCCAGTTTGGCCTCTTCGCTACCAAAAAGTTGCCGCCGCGCACACTCATCCTGGATTATATCGGCGAAGTGCACTGCGATGACCGGCCCGACTCCGATTATGATTTATCCCTGTTCCGCACGGGCACTCCTGACCATATCAGCGTAGGCGTGGATGCGCAGCATGCTGGTAACGAAGCTAGATTCATCAATGACTACCGTGGGGTCAAGGCGAGGCCAAACGCCCTCTTCCAGGAGCGGCGGACCGAGGGTGGTGAGCTCCGAATGAGTGTATGGAGCGGGAGCGAGGCCATCAAAAAGGGGGACGAACTCTTAGTGTCGTATGGCAAATCCTGGTGGCGAGCTCGGCGTGTAGAAGATCGCGGCCTAGATTGTCGTAAGTGAACATCCGCAACGAGCATCCGGTATCTTTGTATTCCCCAATCGGGCACAACCATTCACTGAAGTTCCGTGAAGAGCGCAGTCCAATGGAAGAAAGAGCTCCTCGCAGGTGAGCATCACATTATACGGCAACAGTTGATCGGAAGACGGCTACTCTGGTAAGTGCAGTCCGTATCTGTACGGTCTACTATTCACCGTTCGTGACCAAGCTCCTAAGGCGTCAGAATGCAGTAGGACCATTCCGGGGTCCATCAGTTTCCGAAGGTGGCTAAGTCCTATGATCTCTCCCACCAATCGCGACATGCACTGCAAGAGGACCAAAGCAGACACGACATACAGTATGCTATGACCAAATCGTGAGTAATGTATCTTCTAAGTTGGATCTACGTGCTCTGACCGGCTTCCTAAGGGCCTCTTCCACGATCGGGTTCAGTTACGTACAACCAGTGTATTGAATGCCCGACAGAATCCATCCCTCATCCGCATGTTCCGGATGAGCTTGACTCATGCACGACCAGGGTCCTTGGTTGATCAGTCTTTGAGGTCCCCCGTTAGCCTGGAGCGCATGGTTGCGAGAGAAGGTTCCCACACAAGACCTGCCGTCGGTCCCTGCAAATACATGTCAAAGCACCGAGCCTTCTACCGCATCATGTTCGAAACAAACATCCACGTGAGGAATCAGATCCTCCCCATGCTATCATCTTGCACAACAGGCAGGATCGCCGTCCCTCTATCAATCTCGCCAATCCATCCAGATTTATCTTGAACGTCTATCGGAGCCGATTTTACCGGACTTTCAATAGAATGCCGGTCTTTCGTGAGCAGCATAGACGATGTTGGGAAGCCAAGCGATAAAGCTATAGCGGTGAATAGGGCTGAGGGCACGAGTTTCCCCGGAGCACGCGTCGTTGCATTATTTGACGGCGATACTCCACGGTTTCCCATCATTTGCTTCTTGCGGAAGTCTGTCCGACGTCCGACTTCTAAGATGCCCAAGTGTCGGGCACGTAAGATGTTCGAGTAATCTCAGAGTCGAGCACCGTCCATCGGAATCAGGCAACTTGGGGTGCTTTGGCATGTTTTCTCACCTACGTCTTACCAGTCACCGGAGATCCGGGGGCAAACTCGAAGAATCGACTCGAAAATCACACACTGGTGTCCTGCTGCGGGCTTGCCTAGCCACTTGGCGTGGGCTGAGAGGACGGGCAAGTTGAACGGCCAGCGTTGAGCGCTTGCTCAACGATGTGACTTGCCTGATTGGGTCGCATTCACGAAGTGTCTGGAAGAGGCCGAAAGTCCCACGTGACGGTAAAATTCCCGGCTTCCCGACCGGCCGACCACGCTCGCTCGCTGTTGCTGGACTCTTGCACTCTTGCATCTCTCCTTGTACTCTATAGATTGCCTTGCTTAATGCCTCCTAGATTGTCTTCGCAGAGATTCTTATCACTCAATTCACTCCACGCGACATGTCTATCTCCGCCAGTAGTCCACACTCGTTCTCTGGTCACTTGTCTCACTGCCAGGCAGTCATGTCATGGGAAGGGGCGACGACGGACTGCTGAACCTAGACCATCGGTAGGTTGCCTCTGAGATATCTGTAGACGTATACTTACCAACGCAGAGAGCCTTCCATGCATCGTCTCCGCGTCCAGCACCCAAGGACCCTTACCAGGTGTTGGGTGTCAAGAAAGATGCCTCTGCAGCCGATATCAAGAAGACTTATTTCGCGGTGCGTCCCGGTATCATATATGGTGTAGTGCTTGTTGTTGAACTTCCTGACAGCTTGCTCGGAAATTTCACCCTGACACGAACCCTGACAAGAACGCACAGGAGAAGTTTGTCGAGATACAGGAAGCTTATGACGTGCGTCTACTCCTCGGCATCTCCAGTTCTAGACTTTGATCTTCCGGCATTCACAGATACTGAAGGACGAGAAGAAGAGAGCCGAGTACGATAAGTATGGTGCAGCCTCGCAGCAACCTGGTTTCGACGCCAACGCATACGAGAATGCGCGCTCCGGCTTTGGAGCGTCTCCCTTTGGGTCCAGTTATCGAGGCTTTTCGGGCACGTTTGGTGGGGGCCGTGGAGGTTCCCCCGGGCATATTTTCGAAGAGCTGCTAGGCGCGTTCCAGGGCGCTGCTAGGCAGACTGAGCAAAACTTCTCGCGGGGCGGAGACATCGAGACCACGGTTGGCGTCAGTTTCATGGAGGCATGCAAAGGTACCTCCAGGACGGTCAATATTACCCCAATCGTGCAGTGCGATACTTGCTCCGGAACCGGGCTCAAGAAGGGCGCCTCTCGTTCGACTTGTGGCTACTGCGGCGGCTCGGGTGTCAGGACATATGTGCTTGACAGTGGGTTCCACATGCAAACTACGTGCAACGCCTGTCAGGGTGCGGGTTCTGTTGTTCCTCCAGACAGTCAGTGTGGCCCTTGCTCTGGTATCGGCCATGTAAGGGTGAAGAAATCTGTCAAGGTCGACATCCCAGCAGGTGAGTAGCCCAGGCTTCTGTCGTCGTGCCGCGTCTAATTGGGATGTACTCGGCAGGTGTTGAGGACGGGATGACCCTGAGAGTACCAAGCCAAGGTGATGCTCCGCTAGACCGCCGCAGTCGACCAGGGGACCTGCTCGTCCGCATCAACGTCGCTTCATCGAAGGTCTTTAGGCGCCAGGGTGCCAACTTGTACCATGAAGCACGGATTCCAGTACATACTGCCCTTCTCGGCGGCAGGGTTCGGGTGCCTACCCTCGACGGGGAAGTCGACGTTCGTGTTCCCTCTGGGACCCAGCCTGGTGAACAAATGGTGTTGAAAGGCCATGGTATAACCCCGACTTTTGGTCGCGGCCCAGGTGACCTGTTGGTCACGTTCAATGTCCAGTTACCAAGGTCTGTTGTTTCATCGGCCTGTCGCGCTTCGTGCTGACGACCCTTGATAGAGCGCTTACACCACGACAACGCGAAATCTTACAACAATACTCTGATGACGTGGAGGGGAGGTCCACCAATAATAATTCACGTCAAGAGCCACCGCGATCCCCCTCCTCCGACGAAGCGACCTCGTCCAGCACTTCTGGTAGTCGGGTCTCGACTGGGCCGGGAACGTCTACAAACGGTACGGAATCTTCTCCATCTGTGCGCCCAGATGGCTGGGTGTCTCGTACTTTACAAGGAATGAGGAGACTCATCGGTTTTTGATTTCCCATATACCGATATAATGTGATCCCCATCCGCGAACGTTGTGCAACTCGCGTTTGCAGATTCGGATGAGGGCGACCACCAGCGGAGACGAGACCAAGATCGCAAGAAAAGGGCGGCAACGGCATGACACCGCCGACTTTCGCTCTATACACTTCGGCAGATTACGACGGTCGGTTTACGGCTCTGCCAATAGCTGTCAACTTCAGTTCTCGTAGGCTATATTTTGGACTACTCTTTAGCACGTATTCTACTGATCAGGAAATGCGCTCGTGTGCGGGCCATGTGCGGGCCTCGAGGGGCTGCCGGCCATCTTGAGGGCCAATTTTGATCTGACATCCGTATCCGTTGTTCTGGTATGCAGCTTGCCCAAAGAGGGCTGCGTCATTCGATGAGCGGAAGTGGAGAGGGCGTACGACTCGATTCGACTGGTCAGCGCACGAAATTTCTCATGGACTGAGAAAGAGCGCTCCGTGATTGATACACTGCATTCTGATTTCCCAACTTGATTAAACTGGCTGGAAGGCCTGGTGCTCACATCGTGTCGCATTGCGCTTCTTGTATATGCCCTGTCGAAGCGAGAGCTAATATGACCGTTGGGAAACCTTCCTCAGGTGCTGGGGCTTGGATGGACAGAGAAGCAGGTTACCCAGAAAACTCTGAAAGCCCGATAACGCAGATTTCGATCATGATTTGCACTTGCCATATTGGGAATGTGTTGCAGCGGAGTCAAACTCGGTTTGCCTCAGTGCTCACCGCTCAGACGTGCATTTGGTGACTCTTTCTGAGATTCCTACGTAAACCCCTGAGAGGCCTTCGGGCGAAGCGTCCGTCTCCCACTCTCCGAGCTTCTCTACACGCATGCAGGCTATCATGTCCGTTCCCTACATGACCCGTTCCTGGAGCCCAGATCCACGGTGCCGGACAAAGCAACCTTGACATCCCTAAACACGGCGCTACGTAGAGCTTCTCCAGATCTCCCTTCTTGACCTCCTAGATCTCCGACAAAGAGGGTCCAAAGTACCTTCGAGATCCTTGGTACGACCTCAATAACTAGGCTCGGATTTCAAAGTTCACACAGGATATCGGTTCACAGGTTATGGCAATTTCTCGCTGATTTTTCAGCGTGGGGCAAGCGATACCCGTACCCTCCACGCAACTACATTACATAGTTGACACGTCAAACGATTCATGAGATTCTTCGCTTCGTATAAAGCTGCTGCATGACCATGGCCTCCTCTCAGAACACATCTTGCAGCTTCCCGAGCCAATCGAGTATCTGCATCAGCCCTTGACATGACGCACAGTCTCGTCTACTCCACTCCCCACTCTGAAAAGGACAGCGTCTTGTCCGAGATCATCCCCACACCTTCGTCAACGAGGTGCTCACCGCAGACGTCGATGTCCCGACTATCGTATGAGTCGTCACACTCCAGCGAATGCTCTACCCCGACTGTCGCCCCAATTCCTACTCCGAAAACATCATCGAGCGATACGCTTGTATCGTATGATGCACGCAAAACCTGGCAGCCGTCGACTACACGCCTTGTCGTAGCTCATGCGGGGTGAGTCCCTGAGCGCAGAATATGGGCCAGAGTTCGCTGATCGTGATGCATACAGCGCTGCCTTAACTCTATTCCTCGCAACAACAGACGCGGTATGATCTTCATTCCCCAGTTCCCAGCTGTCCCGTCGGCTGACCCGGACCGACAGACCATCGTCTCCACAACTCTACCCACTATTACGAGCGAGTTCAACGCCAATCAGGCAGAGTACACTTGGGTATCGGTGACGTACATGCTCACCCAGACCGCATTCCAACCTCTGTATGGGAAACTCTCTGATCTCATTGGTCGAACGGTAAGTGTTTCTGTATAGACTCAGATGTATGCCGTTCTGATGCGACGGCTTTTAGGCGGTTTTGTACGCCAGCATCTTGATTTTTGCCGTAGGCTCTGCGCTATGTGGTGCGGCACAGGTACGTCCTTGCACGCTTCATTGTGAGTCTGGCGGCCAGACAGCTGATATCTCCGCACGAATGCGGCGTAGAACATTACATGGTTGATACTTGCACGCGCCGTTGCTGGTGTCGGGGGCGGCGGTATCGTGTCCTTGGTCTGGACCATTACGTCAGAGATCGTCGACGTGCGCAAACAGGCCAAATGGTCACAAGCGCTCAGCGTTACTTGGGCTTGCTCAGCCGTCGCGGGCCCCCTCCTGGGCGGAGTCTTTTGCGGTGAGTTAAACCTGGGTGTGCGGCTATCTTTAAAGCGATTGCTTACAAGGCCGAGCAGAGAAGAGCGGTCCTCTGAACTGGAGATGGGCATGTAAGTCTTTGCAGAACAGGTGACACGTGCGTCACAGCTGATTTCATTTCCAATAGTCTACATGAATCTTCCCATATGCGCATTCTCCTTCATGATCCTATGGCTCTCTTTGCGCAACATATACGATGGTCGTACCCCGATTGTCTCATGGAGCCATTTCGGGAGAACGTTCGACTTCATAGGACTGTAGGTTACGACTTCAGGCTACCGGATCAGACGCCCCTGATCCGTTGTTTGAACAGGCTCCTCTTCATGAGCGGAAGCAGCTGCATTGTGATCGGCTTTAATTTCGCTACCCAGAACGGCTGTACGTCTTGCTTCCCCTTTGTGTATATGACTTGATTTGACTGGGGAATCACAGGGATCGCCCCGTCGACACTCGCGTTGATCGTCACTGGTATCGTGGTCCTAGTTCTGGGCGCCATCTACGAAGTCCGTACGAAACGCGACGCACTCTTTCCCCCAATTGCTTTCAAGGATCGTACGATTGGTATGTGCGCGGTTCGGGTGATTCTGGTAAGCGCTCGCTCACTTCATCACAGTCATCATCCTTGCCGTAACGTTCCTCCACAACTTGGCATTCAATGCCGGGACGTTCTATCTGGCTCTCTACTTCCAGGCAGGTGCCTTCCTCCCGGTTTTAGTCGTCTGATCGCTGATCAGCGCGCAGGCCGTAAATGGACTGTCCCCCTTCGAGGCGGGGATGACCATGCTGCCATACTCGCTTGGATCCTCGCTTGCTTCGATGCCGAGTGAGTTGAGCTCGTCTCTCAGACGCTTACTCAATGTTGACACCTCCGGCCTATCCAGCTGCCTGGCTCATCGGGTACTGTCAACGGCGCAGTCTCGACACCGCTTGTCAGAAGTACATCATTTGCACAGGCCTCGCCCTGTCGTCGACCGGCTTCGGTACGAATCTCCATTGTTTACGTCGCCAGCTCCCTGGGCACTGATGACTCTGTAGGTCTTATGATGCTGCTCTCTGAGACTAGCCCGAGGAGCACTCAGATCGCGTTCCCACTGATTGCCGGCGTGGGTTTGGGCATGCTCTTCCACGCGCCGTATCAGGTCTTTACGCGTGCGTTACGGCGTCAAGAGGTCGCGTCAGGGACGAGTGCGTTTTTTCTCGTCCGATTCACAGGCGCGACGGTGGGCCTCGTAAGTTTTTGCGCTTCCACTGGAACGTCCGCCACCGCTCATGCAAGGTACCATCAGGCCGTCGCGGGGGCCGTCTTTTTGGGTCGGCTACGTACCACGCTGCCTGCTGGCGTCGACGCGCAAGTCGTTCTCGAATCGGTTGACATCCTCAGGTCCCGCAGCGAATGGCCAGAAATCCTACACGCATTGTCGCTCGCGACTAAGGTGTGGATTCCGGCTTTCCGAGAGACACTGTTTGACTGAATTGCATTTTGGCGTATGCTGTACAGGCCATCTGGACCGTCTGTTGTCCATGCCTTGGCGTGGCTCTGCTGGTCGGTGTCTTTACTCGCATTTCTTACGCAATAGCTCAGTACGCTGACCGCTTGGCCGGCCAGATCTCTATGTTCACACGTAAAATCTTCCTCGACCAGACCGCGGCTCGAGAGCAGGAAAAGTCACCCGGCACACTGGCAGAGAAGCCGCCCGTTATGGCGTTGGAAGGAGCGTGAACATCTGAGCCATCGGAATGGGTTAGTACGCCTCGTGTCGCATTGATTCAGTGCTTGACTCCTGCATCTTCTTGGTATCCTTATTGCCCTTCTCCAATGCTTTCACGGACGCTTTCACATCCATGCGATATAGAGTTGTGCAGTAGATACCAAAAAAAACAGAACGTCGTGTACTCTACCTTTCACATGATGTGTCGTAAGGATTGAGGGGTCGATCATAGAAGGTAAAACTTAGACTAGCTTGGGGATAGCTTGGGGAAAAACTCGTAGATCATGACCGAACCCTTCCTAGCCGATCCGTCGTAATGCAGGGCAACGAAGTGCGGAGTTCTTGATCGGTGCTGCAGAGGGGTCCGGAACAACGGGACGAAGCCGCGAACACGTATTGAACTTCGAGACGTCGACGTCGCATAATCCCCATGAGGCTACGGACTGTCCAACCAACGCTTGCGAAGCTTTAGGCATAATCGTTGCGTACGCTTCCGCGAAAGCCATGCTGCATGACATGCGTCAGGGGGGGGCAGGAAGCCGGCGAAGTTCGTCCTCGTGAGTTGCTGAGGAGACGGCCAATAGTGGCGGATAGGGGTCTGGGGGCTCAAGTGTGGTCCAGACTCTTTGAGAACCAAATACGTGGCGGCGGACTGAATAGTGCGAGATACTTCGCGAGATTGGCATCGAGATTAGGTTCGAATGAGAGAGCAGGATATTGCGAACGCCACGAGCATCTCGCAGGCGACCGCGGAGACAAGGAGCGTCAACCCGGTGCTTAGACACTGTTTCGATCATGCGCGCACAACCCTCGTTCGGGGCCTTTGAGAAGGCGAGAACGAGCGGAGTGTGGGGAGAAAGCGTACAAGCACGCAACGGTGTCTTGGAAGTTCCCCTCATGGCAGTTGCATTTAAGTTGACGATGTACTGCAACGAGGATGGATGTAGGTACGGGTTTTGACGAGGAACTGCAGCGCCATCGGCTTGGTACACATGGGATATGGCTCGAAAGGCCGGGGCAGAGTAAAGGTCTGGACTGGGTCTGCTCAATCTGGTAAAACAGCCTCGGGTAGGCCGTTAGTCTAAGACGGATGTTGCGGGACGTGGTGGGCCGACCTTACGACATGACGACGTGGAGGGAGAATCGGAAGGTGGAGAAACACCGAATGGCAGCTCACTGCACGGTTCGCACATGACCTTCCGGGAGATGGCTGGTGCGGTTTGAAGGACTGCTCTCAGCGAGGACGATGTGGGAGAAGAATCTGACCTACACCGCGTCCTGCTCTGATGACTGGATCTGGGCTGCTTGCATTGGAAGCAATATGAGTGCGTAGAACTTCGAGAACGGGCAACAGGTGCCGACGTCGAGAAGAGCGGTTCATATGATGGCTGGTGTCATGGTATATGAAGTCCGCATAACGCTCCTTGCAAGCATTAGCAAAGGACCCATTCTTCCATCTGGAAGTCAAGATAGCCGTTCGGGGTGCTCGCAATCGGGTAGAATGACCGTCGGGAAGCCTGGGATGACGCACCGTGCGGCGATAGAGATTCTTGATAATAGTCCCCCCACAGAGCTTGAACACTCCGATCCTATGTGAGGTGGTGGGCTGGCATGGTCAGACGGTGCACGTAAGACTGGTCCCGGACGGCTATTCATGCATCCGGAGGAGCAGAAGGCTGAGTTCAGACGATGGGGTCGGATGAGGCAGGATGACTTCGGGAGACTGGGGTAAGTCGGGCGATAAGTGGGGATATCGGCCAGATAAGGCGGATAAATGGAACGGCTAAGCTCGTGATAAGCAGGATCGGGAACGTTCCCACGGGATGTGGTGAGAGCATTGGTCAAGCATTGCTCCACCTCTCTTCCTCATACCAGCTCGTGTGACTCTCATCTGCGCCTCCTCCCGAGCTTGTCCACACCCAACGCCATCCATTCTGCTCTCTAGACTGCAAGGTATTTTTTGTCTTATGGCTTTGGCTCCGTCCAAACCCCGCACGAGGGCCCTTTCCGCATACAGCAAGCTTCTCAACATATTTCGCGAAGCTCGCATCGTGCTCCGGCCAAACCAACAGTCAATGTCACCCACCGTCGGCCCTGACCTCGCGTCTCCGTCAATTGTTGGCTCAATCGGGCCCACTGGGGTCGCCTTCAGCAGGTCATCCACGGGCTCCTCACGTACACTACCCGATAGTGCCTCAATTAGCTCATTACCCACCTACTCCTCCTCGTCCCTCTCTATTCCATTCGAAGACGGTGATATCGATATTGTCAGGGTTGAAGGACTGCGACATGCAGCGCTGAGGTTAGAGGCTCGGTGAGTATATAACGTACTTCGTATCACAGCTCCCCTAGGGAGGCCCGCCGGCGAGCTGACCACTTGTGGGACAGGACGGGGAGGGTATCTTGGTCTGACGTTCGCGTAACTCGTGTCCTTTCGTGTATGCTGATATGCCCTTTTCTAGACGCTACAAGACTGCACCTTTTGCAGAGCAACTCCTCGAAATTCTCCGCTCCATCCGCGCTCCATCTTGGTCTGACCCGGTCATCGTCTCGAGCAAGGTCAGCATTCAGAAGGTATCGGGCTCTTTGACGAATGCTGTCTTTTTCGTGTCGTGTCCGTCGGTGCCCAAGGCGCGCATTGTCTTGCTGCGTGTGTACGGACCATCATCCGGCAACCTCATTTCACGCCCGCACGAACTGCACACCCTCCACGTGTTATCCTCGGAGTACCGCATTGGCCCTCGTGTTTATGGCACATTCGAAAATGGGCGTATAGAGGAGTACTTTGACTCCACTGCCTTGACGGCCAACGACCTGCGCGACCCTGAGATAAGTTCCTGGATCGGCGCTCGGATGGCTGAGCTGCATGGCGTAGACATTGACGCTGTCACCTACGGCGCTCAGCCTGCTGACGGCCCCGAAAGAGGCAACCAGCTCGGTGTTCACAAGAACGTCAAGGCTTGGCTCCCCTCTGCACGAGAGGTGCTAGAACTGCCGGGAGCTCCAGAGGAAGTTCGCAAGAGCCTTGACTTGGACCGTTTTGAGCGGGAATGGCAACTCTACGCCCAGTGGTTGCATCAGAAAGAGAAGACCAGTGGCGCCAGTCGACGAGTGTTCGCGCACAATGACGCGCAGTACGGCAACCTGCTGCGTTTGCGAACGCTGAAGGAAGGCTTACCTGCACATCGCCAGGTGAGCGGAGCTATCACTGCAACTTCCGCGAAGCAGCTAGCTGACCGCACCCGTTCTCCCCCTTCTTTGCCTCATGTTGTGGCTACCGCTCGCTTAACTGCACCCTCGCACATGGGTCTCCGCACTAAATTACTTGTCCGACGGTCGGCAACAGATCATCGTCGTCGATTTCGAGTACGCAGCCCCCAACCCCGCCGCATTTGACCTAGCGAACCACTTCCACGAATGGACCGCGAACTATCACGGGAACACTCCTCACATCCTCGACCCTTCGCGGTACCCCTCCGCGGAGGAACGCCGGAACTTCTACCGCGCGTACCTCACCCACGCCGACCGCCACATCGACGCGCCAGCGTCAGCACCTATCCCCGCGGTCGTCTCAGATGTGTCCGACGACGCGCTTGCGGCGAAGATGGAGAAGCTCGAGGAGCACGTCCGCGCCTGGAACCCAGCGTCGCACGGCATGTGGGCCATCTGGGGCGTCGTGCAGGCTCGCGAGCTTGTGGAAGGGAAGGATGGCGAACCCGAGTTCGACTACCTCGGCTACGCGCAATGCCGCATGGACGGCTTCCGTCGCGAGTTGCGCGCGCTGGGCATCCCAGGGCTTGAGCAGCTGCCGTAATCGTCCCGCGAAATTTTTAGCCCTTTGCCCCCCTACGCCTTGCCTGCGCCTTCTCCCTACTGGAACGTTTCCAAGCTCACCATTTCCTCTTCCCCGAAAGCCCCTTGTGCACCACGTGCCACATCTGTTTCATCCCAAGCGTCTCGCTTCGTCAATCATGCCGTGAAGCTTCCGATGAGCGGTTTCTGTGGCCGAGGAACGTCAGTCGAGCCCCCATCTCAGCGTCGTGGCGTCGTTCAGGCTAGACATTCCACAAACCCTCCATCTGAAGCCGTAGAGTATGCTATAGCACGCTTCTACTGTACAGCCGTCCTACGCTATCGTATACCATGGGTTGTCAGACGCCGCGCTCTCCGAATACACGATCTGTAGATTTTGTCACGTATCTAATTCTACGCATGTACATGGTCGCAATATACTACAATTTGGGAACGATTCATATTGCCTCTCTTCAGCACGATTTCCTCATGCTCTCTGCAAGGAAGTGACGCATTGGGCTTCGACAACGGCTATGAGCCGGCATGAGCGGGAGCAGCGAGGGAGGCATAAGCGTGATGTATTAATGTCATAAGATAACATGTGCGGGAGACGTCGACGATTGGTGAGGATGTGGAGGGGGTGAGTATGGTGAGCTATCCAGATTGTCAAGACAGGAATAAGTCAAACTTGCTTCGACGAGATGAGCACGGGGACAGTGAAGCTGAGCGACGAGACGAGGAGCGGGAAGGCAAAACAAGGACTACAGGAAAACATAAGCAACGGACGGCGATCGTGAGTAAGGGAGAGAGGGGGAATGGGGGTAGCAGTGGTATGTCCAGCGGGTCCGCATCCGCATCTAGAGTATCATGAGCACCGAAAGCACCATCGACGGTTCCAAGACAGATCGGCCCGCCCAAGAGGCAGACATGCATGCAGGGAAGGTGTCGAGCACCAACGTCGCTCCGAGACCACGCGGCGGCGTTGACCAGCAGGCCCCTGCCGCCCGGAGACGTCGGACGTCCGCAAGCCTACGCCCAGTTTTTCTCCGACAGGCGCGACGAGCCTACGTTGTAGTCCGCCCACGGCGAGTTCGTCTTGAGCTCGTTGCCGGGAATTGACGAGAGCGGATATGCGGTGAGGTGGCTAGTCGCCCGGGTCGCGGTCGCCCAGTTGCCCGCGCTTCCAGAGCGCTGGTGCGCGTTGATCCTCGAGACCTTCGGGGGCTCGGGTGACCCGTTGAGCTGTGCAGCGGAGGGGGTCGCGGTGGTAGGGGTATTAGATACGCTGCTCAGGTCGAGCTGGATGTCGCCCCCGTTGAACGAGTGGCGCACATTGGGGTTCACTGCAGTCTTCGGGCCGCCACGCTGCACGCCGGCGAAGTTTTTGAGCCACATGTCGTCCAGAACCAGGTGCGTACGGCATGCACTTACCTGCGAGCCCACGATCTCCAATCTAGAACTCGTGTGCCTTCCGAAATCGGGGCCGGCGGTCACAGGGCCCGGGGACCGTGCAGTCGTATCCTCCCCAGACGACATCAGGATGCCGTTGTGAGCGAACGTCGGGAACGCAGACTTGTTTTGCTGTTTCGAGATCGACACATCCGTCACGTTCGTGTTGACGCGCAAGCCATCGGGCCGGCCGCCAGACTGGAACCCTGCTGAAGGCGGAGTCGTGCTGATGCTGCCCGACCCGGAATTCATGCCGCTCTCCTGCGTGCGTTTCGCAGATATGCGCGCCAACAGAGAGCTCGAGACCTCGTTGGGGTCGCTGTTAGTGCTCGACGAACGAGCGCGGCCGTCTGGGTTGGCCGGAGGGGGAACACCGTCGGCACCAGGAGGGCCACCAGAAGCAGGAAGCTCTGTATGGATGAAGCAGCATCTCTTGCCATAAGGACAGGAGCCGGACACCCAGAACGTCTGCGATAAGGCGGAAGTCAGTAATAGAGTTATACAACGGTCGCGCTGCGGATGAAAACACGCACCCTGCATATCTCGGTCTTATACTGTGGAACGATACAGAAGGTGGGGTCAGAACATCTCCTGAATGGACGTACGACGAAACGCTGGGAACAGGAACAAACCTTGGGGTGCCGTTGAACCTTGCGGAGCTCCTCTTCACCGTGGGCGAATTGGCACTTGGCCCCATATCGGCAGGTACCCTTCTCCTCCCAGCTCCTGCACAACTCCGTCTTGTACAACCCCAGCTTGCGGTTGTTAGCGCTTGGGCCGTTCCCCGGGTTGGTGTTGGTATGCGACGACCCAGTGTTGTTCATAGCAACGCCCTGAGCACCGAGGGGAACGCCGTACGCGCCGGTATACTGAGCCTGCAATTGCGCCATCATCTGCGCGGCCGCGAGCTCGGGCGAGGGGTACGGCTCGGCTCCAGGGGCACCGTAGAACTGGTTGCTGAACATCGGCAAGGCCGAAGGCCCCATCGCCGGGTACATCTGCCCAGCGGCGAACGCATTGTTGAGCAAAGCAAGAGTTGCAGGATCACGGAGAGAGGCAGGATCCGAAGCAGAATGTTGGTGAGTACGCTGGAAGACGCCAGATTGTTGCTGAAGACGTGCCATCGTAGGGTTGTCGAGAGGCGGCGTGGGCAACATCATGTTGTACAGCTCCTGCTGAGAGTTGGCCATGGGCGGCATCGCGCCAGGATGTACTGGGGCGGGGTAGCCCCCGAAATTCGTAGGGCTGGGAACGACCGGTGGGATCGCGGGGTTGAAGCCTCGAGGTTGTTGACGATAGGGTATGTTCGTGACCACGTTCGGTGGCCGTCCGTGGACGAATGCGGGTGGGGCGCCAACTGGAACGTTCGGAGGCACAGGGTTGAACTGACGCTGCTGACCCTGGAAATCCGCCGGCAAGTCCTCCTGCGATCGCGTGAGGGCTTGTCCTGGAAATTGCTGCTCAGACAGACGCGACGGGGCACCATTATGCGAGGCCAAGAGCGAAGGGTACGTTGGCTGCTCGGCCTGTCTCTCTGGAGTGCCATGAGGAGACGACCACGTGTCCGTGTTTCCGGGGCTTCCTCCCGCCTGTTGCAGCCGCACGAGATCTGTGCTGGACAGGCCGCCGCTGTAGGAATGTGGGCGGTTCCGCGATTCACCAACGGCGCCTACTTTGAGTGGGGTCACGGGCGGAGCGCGCAAATTCTGGCTGGCAGATGATGATGCGGATGCATGGGAGCCGGTCGTGTCTGCGGACGACTCGCGCGAGTGCGATACAATGCCAGTCTGAGCCAAGTGATTAGTTGAGGCGGAGTCCAGACTCGTCTGCGACGCTGTGTCTAACGGGGATTCCTGAAGAGACACAGCTGCGGGAGACGCGTTTCTCAAGAGTGAAGAAGTGCGAACCTGCGCTGCGGCCCCGTCACCGCCGATCTGAAGCTTGGCGATCTCATCCACCAGGCCCCATTCTGCGTTGTCCACTAGCTGACCATTTGAATCGAGTCGCCAATGTCCCTGGCCATTTGGCGCTTGGATCGCGTCTGCTGCGTAAGGCTGTCATGGAGCGGCCGAGGAGCACGAGTCAGATGAATTGACATACCCTTGACGAGACCAGAGTTGGGGGTTCTACGGGCGGACATGGTAGACGGTAACATGTACACAGAACTGAATCGAGGAACAGGCTTTTTGATGATAGGCACGTCGTGAATAGAGAAGTTCGTTGTGTCGAGGAAGGGAGTCGTAACTGTTTCGTACATGATGGGTATCTGGGTGAGTATCCGGAACCTGCGGCGGGAGACTATAAGAGGGCAGAGGGCAGGCAGCTTACGAATTATGGATAAGTTGCCGATACCACGTCCTTAGTGCTTGAGGGATAAAAAGTTGCGAGGAAGATTGTAGGCAGAGATGTGCGTGAGTCGTGCGCCGCGGGTGTTGTGATGGCAAGAGGCTACCGGCCCTGGTCTAGGAACAGCTTAACCGCAAACAGGCGACGATAGCAGCTGGACTAGGAAAGGTAGAGTATGAAGGATTGGAATGGTATAAACAAGTTGAAGCACCGCGCGGCCGCGGGTCGTGATGCAATGCGCTGGGAGAGAAGATGCGAGATAGATAGGTGGATTGATGCAGAGATGCCGAGGTGCTGAGAGGGCGGAGGGAGAGAGACGAGAGGCCTCTTGGATGGTGGCAGGGAGAGGGAGGGAGGAAGGAAGGAGGAAGCGGCGGGGTGAGCCTCGCGCCTGCCTGACGGAAGAAGTTCAGGGTCTGATTGCAACGTGCCCCTCTCGCCGCGGCGGCGATTGCCAACACTTGCAGCTCAAAACCAGCCACGCCTCCAGACGAGCTCCCCCCGGTCCATGCTCAAACGTCGTGTATCGTGCACGTATCACAACCCTCTCTCTCCCCCAATCGATCCGTACAACCATCGCACTCTGTCTGCAGACGACCTCCGCTCCGGCCACGTGGGGCGGTGCACAACCGTAGCCGCCCGCTCGTGTAGTGTAGTTCCCCCGCCGCTCCGTCTGACCCCACTCAGTTTCTGGCGGATCGTGTCTTGGTGACCCTGTGTTTGCGACACACAATAAACTAGTGCTAGGATCGGGGACCCCAGGATGGCACGGCATGCAGGGCAAGTGTCGCCATAGTTCTCCGTGACTTGCCTCAGGCGCTTATGGAATCCTCCGTGGGCGGCGCGGTTACTGCTTTGGGACACCGTCAACAATGATTGCCTTTTTAGCGGACAGCCCTGCATGATAATATTTAGCACCTTCACGGTCCTAGACATCCTCATTGTCGAAATTGTTGATACACAAGTCACAGATGGTCAATTTCATTGCCTACAGTACCGCACCAGCCCGCATTCGCAGAAGTGCCCCAATTCTTGGGATTTTCGCCGTTTTCTTTCTCCCGGTCCCTCTCAATGCCGACGTCTCCTCGACGTTTGCCTTGATGGGATCGGTGAGTCATTAGCTCAGTACCATGTCGATGCGCTGCATATTTTTACGTCTCCCGCGTTTGCTCGAACAAGTGACGAGCACCGCGACTTTGCGGAGGTGCACCTCCGTACGCGTGTTGCGCAGCAGTTGCCGCTAGATCGACCACTAGATCGACCACAGCAGTCGACAGTCCGATTTCGTCGTGGGGCGATGTCTATAGTGTCGCGCATGTTGATACGCGGCGTTCCACCTCGACGATGTCACCGAGGCTCTGTTGGAAGCACTCGCCACAGACGCTCCCTCACTCGAGGTGTGGTAAGCACTCCTATGATGACTCCACGAATATGCTTCCGCGAACGTTAGTCCCGACAAGCTGACGACATTTGTCCACGTCGATTGTGGACTAGTGCTCACCAAGCGTTGCCGCAGTTTGGCTATTCGACGCTTGGGACGTTCTCGAGCTACTAAAGTTCTGATCTGCGCCGCTCGTCATGTCCCAGCTCTCTTCCATATGACTGCCTCGAGTTTCCCGCATGCACATTCTTCTGATAAAGTGAAATACGGAGGCGCTACATGCGCGTGTCCGGACCACCATCCGCTCACAAATGAGCAAAGCGGGCGTAATTGCTGCTACAGAAAGAGGCAATAATCCGTACCAGGGGCGACCCGTCGTCCATGCGCTATCGTTCGCGATAGCGCTTGCCCTTCTTGGACAACGTTGCCGTAAAGAGCCTGACGCCTTTTGAGCCCTGTTCAATTGGCATACGAAGCAACGGACCTTTTAGCTGATCGGCCTCGTCGATGGATGATACCTTGCATGGATCCGGGAGAAACGCAGATTGGACAGCTAGGGCCTCAAGCTTCGTGCCGAGGGCTTCGTGCCGCAGCCGCTTCGCGCACCCTAGCCTAATAACCTGCCCCTCGCGGTCGCAGCAAACCTACACTCCACTTACGTGCTCTGACTCGGCCGCGTCCCTGCCGCAGATACGGAGGACTCGACGAAGTCGACCTGGCTGCACTTAGCCCGGAGGAAGCCATGCCATACTAGGAACCGTGCCCTCGGCTCCCGTCCGCTTCCCAGTCTCGGTCCTTCATACACTGCCAGGCTCTGGGGCCCCTGAACTCTGCTTCAACGTACAGCCAATAATTTAATTTCCATCCCGGGGCCATGATGCGCTCGCGTCCCCGGATTGCACGTACTCTGACGTAGCGCGTGCGGGTCAGGCGAGGCTTCTAGATGGCTGCGTACGTCTTTGCACGGCGTACGTGGTTGGGCGCACTACTATACGGGTTATGATCGGCAGATCAATGCACTTTGTGCCTTGTTGATGACAGCCCTTGAAAGGTCCGGTTGTCTTCAAGTTGTAGGCTAAAGCTTGCACGTGTACGGGGCAGCAATTTGTAGTAGATTGCAGACGCCCACAGTGGCAGCCGGGAATCATAGGTGGGAGCGCTGGAGCCGACCTAATTGCGCTGGGAACAGAACAACTTGCAGGAGTATTCTAGCTGCGACGTCGCCTATGGCTAGTGATTCCGTTCCATCCATAGAGACGAGAAGAGAAGGCATGTATCGTGGGCCCTCGGGGGCAATCTGTCCAGGGCGTATGCGACCCATTTTCTCATGGGAGATCAGCTGCTACTGAACGCCGTTAAGCTTCTCAAGGTTTCATCGAGGCAATGGCAGATTCCCCAAGATCCGCCGACGCTTTCAACACGTAGCTTGAGGCAGGGTCGTTCTCACAGATAGCGTTTGGATTTGCTCTTGATTGCCCAAGCAATTAGCCCGAAACACATGCATGCGAACGGCGAATAGTTCCCAAGGCGAAAGTCTCTCTCTCATCGCAGTTGGGGAAGCTAGAGAAGCAAATTGCGATTGGTGCGATGGTGGTATAATACAAGTATGAAAGCCAGGTGGAATATATGATACAAAGACAACGGCGACGTTGATACAAACAATGAAACCAACTTTTACGCGTCTGGGGATAGGGGATGAACGGGGAACCAGCCAAAGGAGGGATGGGAACAATTGACGTACAGTACGATGTGCCAACAAGCATGGTGGACAGACTCTGCAGCTGATCTTCGTTGAACGCCAATTGATCCTTGTGCCATGTGTCCTGTGCGGTCAAAAGTTTTGAGGAAAAGCACCAAGAAAGATGTCCCCAAAGGCAGACCTGATGTGTCTAGAAGAGAGGAGATAGTAACGATAAGTCAGGTCTGTCCACTGTAAGCATTACGTAGAGACGGACCTTCTTGAACTCCGATGCACATTTCCTGATAGTGGTCGAAATCGGAACCGGGTCCGTCGCATGGTTGGCGAGGACTGTGAACGGGGTGAGCACCTAGTACTACCACATTGACGTCTCCATACCTTCGGTCAGGGGAGGCATCCAAGGTTCTACCGAATAGGGGAAACTCTCGACCAGAGCACACAGACCCAAGATAGCGGAATGCAGCGATCGAAGCGAGTCCGCGTACGACGGGTCCCGACGGTTTGGGAGTTTTGTTCGGTGCAACGTGTTGACGAACCGATCCTACTCAGGGGAAGACTTCGGATTCATGAGCGATTACGGCAGACCGGCGATCCGTACCTTGAGCGGGACGATGCTCTGCCGTTGAGAGCATCTGACTACCCCCGAGAGCATCTTTGAGGCCATCTCGCGAACCTCGATGTTCTCATCAGACAGACACTCCTGCAGAACATTCATAAGTCTTGAGACGAGTGCGCCCGACATGCTGAGCAGATTCCGATAGAAGAACACGATGAGGGTCGGTAGTGCGTTCACCCGGATGCGCCATGACTGCCGTGTGATATCAGTTGCCTGCAGTTATCCATTTCAGCCCTTAAGGCAGCGTACGTACCGTCGATGACTTGATCGCGTTGATGAAATTGTCCGCGATCACTTCGATATACTCCGGCGGGGGCGTCACAGCAGATAATACGTAAAGGACTGCGGAGCTGTACGTCTGGAGCTCGGAGCTATCATTCAACTCCGACATTCGAATTATCTCGGGCCTGCCGCGGTGTCAGACCATAGAGAGAACGCCAAAGCAAGGAGGACCCACAGCAAGACAATGACGTATGGGAAAACGAGAGGCGCTTGAGGGCCATGTGCTAAGTCCCAGACCCATTGCAGAACTAGGCATGGGTTTGTTACTGAATTGTGAATGGTGAATCCGTCATCGACGTACCTGTCAAGCCGACCTTGTCGTACTGTGACTGACTGACTCTCGGAGGGGGCAGACGTTGCTCTTTCCACACCGGAAGTTGGCTCACTATCTCTGCAATTCGATTGATGTATCGTGCTTCTCTGTAGCACAGCTTAGTACCGAACTCCAGCCGCTTGAACTCTAGGGAACGCACCGGATTCGAAGAGGGTCGGCACTGGTTGCACAAGCAGACATGAACTCGATAGCTGAGGAGTATACCGGACGCCACTGGATAGTGATGATAGCATAGATATTTTGGGCAATCTGTGAACGGATCTGTGCGCGATCTCATGAAGTGAATAATCACCGTGAATGAGAGCGGTATGAATTGCCTACCTCGGCATAGCCGGTGTTGGCGTTATCCAAGAACAAGTTGATGTACTGATCAGCCAAGGAAAGGAAGCGCAAATCAAGGCAGTCAACCAAGATGTTGAAGATGGAAAGCGACTTGCTCACTACAAGAGGTGAGATTAGGCCCTGTGGAGAGGCGTTTGAGGAAGTCACTTACTGGCAAAGGCCGAGTCTCCATGGAAGTCAAGAGGCAGCGACAATATCCATTTGACGAGCGGTTCAGTACGCCGGGGGTCCCTATCCACCAGTTGTTCCTGCGGATACGCATTTGTGTTAGGTCATCACGAGAATTGTGCCCAATAGGCATAACTTACACTGAGGAGGTTCTCCCAGAAGGAGATGGTATCGGGCTTCATTTGAGCGTGGATACGGTCGAGACGAGCGGTGATCCATGACCACAGGTGGTCCGCATGCTGCCTGGGCCAATGCTTCGCGCCTGAAACAGTTGGTTATGACCTCACAGTAAGCTACAAATGAGAGTTCTTCCTCACCTCGCGACAGCCCAGCCAGCAGCTCTGCTCCCGACCGTTGCTTGTAACGATCGCCGTCTGCCAAAAGAGGATCGATCGTGTCCAGGATAGTCGATAGCTTCTCATGTTCGAACATCTTGGCTATTTCTCCTTTGAGCACCGGAAATTAGGATGCGTTCTAACAGCCTACCTATAGACTTCATGAAAGTGACGTTCTCCGCGCGTAGCTCTGGCGTCGCGCTATTCTTCATGGATTCCTGGCCCCACAGCAGCGCCAACACGGTGAAAAAGTTGTTCTGATCCATTACCTCACTCATGGCGCGAAGAGTAGGTATCGATGCTTCTTCCCATGAGAATGCCGATGGTCCTGCAGGTACTGCCTGATATCCCTTCACAGTGGGTGTCCACATCAAGAAACCCGTTTCGAACTTGTCGACGCGGAGGTCACTACGAAAGGAGGGGGTAGATGAATCATGTCTGCTCGCCGTGAGATAGTACGCACCCTTGTTGCTCCGACGGGTATCCAGGCTGACCGTGTTGCCGCAGGAACTCCTCCGGATCGCCAATTGGTATATCTCGCCGTAGGGGGTTCGCCCATTCATCCAACCATAGTTGCTCACTTGATTTCGAGAAGGTTCGAATCTTAATATGCGCGCAAACTTTGACGACAGCCCTGCCAATCGATCCTGGTTAGCTGGAGTGGCCCTCTTTGTATTTTAGCGAACTCATCCACTTACTTCTGAGCAGTCACACGAATAGTGGCATGGGGGCTGATGACCTGACGCAGGAAGAACGCTGCGAGGGCTGGCGGAGGCGCAGCATCTCTCCGCAGAAGCCCATACAGGAAACGGATTGCGAATTGTATGTACCGCCACTGAGAACGCTTGAAAACTGATGAAGGATTACAGAAAAGCACAGCTCGCTTACATGCGTAGTTGGCCTCTCCGCAATGTCCAGCAATGCATTAACCTAACGATGAAGGGTCAACAACAAGTGCAGTGCTATCAGCGCAGTACTGCCTACAGTTTCTGTGTAGCGCTGGTTCTTCAACGCCACACGGGCACTACATTTGGCCGCCGCGGCTTGCAGGACCGCCTCATCAACAACAGGCGAAGCGAATTCTTGCTTGATGGCTTCAAGTGCCTGCAAAACGCCTGGGACAGGCTCAGTGAACGCATCGGTATGACAGGACTCCTCGTTGAGGTAGACGAGAGCATCTTGAGCCACGTTGCCGATAAGCTTCTGAACTGAGGGCTGAGTTCTGACGTCAGTCTGCTATTACTGGCTCAAGCAAATACGATCACCTTCTCCTGGTGCTGGCACTCGAGGAGGGAAAGGAGGTACTGCCCGTGGTAATTGAGATCTACGACCGTGGCTATCATTAGAAGCACTACACATGATCATCCTGAATGATCGTACCAGCGAGTGCGTATGCAGCCGTGCCCTTGTTCCATAGCACGTATAGTGCGCCCTTCATGCGGTCGGGATCGACGTTCTTCTCCAAGGCGCGGAACACGTACGGCAGAGTGAACCTGGTGGAGCGTACGAAGTACTGCACGCGAGTCAGCCAGCTATCTACCGACTGCGACAGGGCGAGCTCCTTACCCCGCAAGCGTTGTGGAGAATGGCTTGCGAATGTCTTCGTACTCTCGTGTACTGCGACAGCGACATCTCAATGAGATTCTCAATGAGCTGGTCATCAAGCGAATCACGACGACGGTACAGAGCATGCATGTACAGCCTGCCCGCATTGTACACCTGCGCCCGCTTCAAGAACACCACTCGGGAATTCTCCTTCTGTTTCGGCCAAACACGATTGGAGCTATCGCGAGTATATCAGTATATAGCCAAATGACGACCGCCATGCAGACGCCACTTACTCGCGTGCTTGTCGATACGCCTTGGTCAGGCTCTCAAAGTTGCTGCGCGTCATCGCATACTCGAGCAAGTACACGTCAATCGCACGCGACACGGCGATCACAGCATCGATATGGTCCTCACCCTCGTTCTGGTGCGTGAGCAGGCTGGCGGCCCGATGAACGACGGCGCCGAAACGTGCGCGGTGGGCGATAGCCCGCTGGTACTGGGGGCTGCTGGGGTCGGTAAGAACGAAACCTGCCTTGACGTCGAGCGGTGTCACGAGCAGCTCTGGCACCTCGACTTCGTAGTTGAGGCAAGGGTTTTGGACCTCCTTGGGGCCAAGGAACAAGAACGTCGGGAGGCCTCCCCATACGGAGCGAGCAGCATGCAAGTAGCTGATTTACGATGTGTGAGTTGATCTTAGATTCCAGACTCTTGAGCGAAGCTGCTCACCGGCAGAAGTCATTGCGAGCCACGCTGTCCCACTTCCCTGCAGTCTCCAGCAGTGCCTCAACCTTGTCAAGCGCTGGCGCTGCAATCCTGTCTAAGATCTCCAGGACGAACTCGATCTCGTCGTGATTTGGGACTATGGCATGTTAGCGTCTTGTAGCAATCCAGGGGCATAGTCCCCTCACCATGCCAGGTCACCTCGGCCTCGTCGGCATCGTACATCTTGCCCCATTGCGTCGTCAGATTCCGGTTGAACTCTATTAAGCGAGAGCAGATGAGTGGAACTCCGCGACCTCGTCCGTCCTTCCTTACCTGGCGAGTCCCACTCGTCGGGATTGACATAGCGCGAGTTGACCGTGTAGATCGTTGCAGCGGTGTGTAAGATACGGTTGATCAAGCGACCAGTGCCCGTGTAGCCGCGCTCGCTCTTCGTCTTCTCGACGAGGAGGGTCATGAGGCCGAGTAGCTGGTCCTTGTACTTCAGGATCTGTGGCAGCGAACGTCAGATCCCGCACCTCTGAACTCAGCGAACACGCTTGCCGTCGATCCCCCATAGCCGAAGCAGCCGCGGAGAATGGACATGTCTGTCCTGACAATCAGAGCTGATCGAACCACAGACGGATGCAATACGGTACGCACTCCAATGCAGCGTCGTGTCCGACGGGACTGCCTCGTGCGTCGACGTCGTCCGGATGCTCGACGCGCCGTGCTTGAGCTCCTCCTGGATCTGCGCGATGCAGAACGGCAGGAAGCGGTCGATCGTCTTCTCCGGCTTGACGCGCGCGAGGCACGACACGAGCTGCCCGAACGCGCGCACTGCGTTCGACTTCGCGTTCGTGCTCGCGTACTCGAACACGAGCTTCAGCACCAGGTCGAAGAGCGCGTCCGACAGGTGCAGGCACACCGTGTCGAGCGCGCCCTTGATCGCCTTGAGGACCGCTTCCTCCATCTTGCCGCCCGTCGTGCCCTTCTTGCCGCCCTCCTCGGGCAGGTTCTCGAAGAGCGCGAGCACGCGCCGGAAGAGGGACGTGACCCAATCCGCGAAGCCGGCGGTGCTCTCGCGCGCGAGGGCGCGCTCTTCTTCGCGGCTGAGCGTGGGCATGATTGGGGAGTCGACGCCGGCGGGGAGTTGAGTGGTGTCGACGTCCATGATGTCCTCCGCAGGGGCGTCGCTTGACAGGTCGACGCCGACTTGATGCATCGAAACATCGGCGATCTTGATGTGCTGGACCACTGATGAAATGAACATCGTCGCGCATATAGTCTTGACAGGGTCGTTCTATTGGGCAGAATACGTTAATGCTCGGAGGAACATTGCAGAAAGCGCGTCAACTTACGAGGTCGATGCCAGGAATGCAGAGTTCCAAGAGTGGGACAACGTGCTTCTGACCACCGAGATACAGCTTCTCGGTTACAAGCGGCAGTGAAACTGCCGAAAGCATGGTCATCACGGCGGTCGTACGGTGCGTCTCATTAACAACTTCCAAGCCGCTATATGCTCGCTCAAGAATCTCCGGCATCACTAGATTAGGCTCCAGCAACGCCATGGCCCGCATAGCGGCCTGAGAGTAGCTGATGGTGAAGGGATCCTTGGAGAACATAGAAAGCAGAACGGGAGTGCGCAAGGTGAGGATGAAATTCCGTCGGATCTCGGGGGTGAGGCGTCGCGTCTGTGAGCATGTTAGCTCTCTGCATAGGCATCGGCCCATTCCCAAGTTGTAGACTTACTACTGGTGTCTTGCAGTAGGGCTGCTGCTCGTCTTTCCACCGTTTGGAGAATTCCGCCATGAGGCGCTGGACGAAGTGGGTGAGCTAGAGCAAACGGTTAGACGTCGTGGGTAACTTAAACGTTCAGAGAACATACGTTAAGACTCCATATCCCGTAATTGGAGGGGTGGAAGAAGGACTCCACACTGGTCACCAGCTTGTCGAGCGAATCGAGGGCCCTAGAGCCTGCAAGGTATCCTTCCGACGAAGGCGTCCCCGGAGCGCTGCCGCTATCTGGACGGACCGAGCTGTCCAGCGACAGTGAGTAGACGATGAGCTTAGCCAGTGCGCCTACCACGCCGGCGTTAGTTCCTAACCTGGACAGCTTGTCATACAAAACTTACTGCTTCGGTTAATCAGCTTCTTGATCCTCAGGGATTGCTTGTCGGCCATGGTGTCCGCGTGACCAGCGGTAGTGCTAGCACCCTAGAGAAAGAGTCAAATCCTGACATACGCCGGACGGCCAGTGGGTTTCTGCCTACCCTTGTCGCTCCTACAGGAACATCTGCGAAGACGAAATAAATACCATCGTAGGAAAATCTTGATTGCACGCGACTCACTCATGGATCCGAGAGCTTTTCCAATCAAGAAGGTCCATTCTGCTTCGCTCCAGATGCCTACCGTCTTCCATTCTGCGGCACCCTCGGGACCGGCATCTCCGAGCTGACCAGCAATGTGCTCTTCTGCAAGCTCTCCACAAAGCTCCACAAACCTATCGTCGATGAGCGAAGAGTTAAACGCCTCCCACAGTTTGAATACAGTGGGCAGGTAGACATGGGTGTGAGTAGGAGGGATGAAGGAGGTCAACACGGGGACCATGGTCAGTACAGTCTAGAACGATGTAATCAATTTCTCATGGTCGTAGCACATGCACTGCTCGCACGTACGTCCTTGGTGAGAATTGGCAAGAACGTCGAGAGCATATCAGGGATCTCGCTAGCGGTATAATATCTCTTGCACTGTTCGGCAACGAATAGTAGGATATTTACGACGTTCCGTCTACCATACACATCGTTTATGAGTATTGATCGGGAGGGGGGACAGACTATCACCAAAGGACAAACATACGAGGAATCGTGCATCCTCTTCTTCGGCCAGAGCTCCTTCTGGAGGACACGCCAGAGGGGCCGCCAGGGGAGCTGCAAGTCGGCCGTATCAAGCTTACGCCGACTGTCGGGCTTGTTACAGATGAGGCGGGAGAGCATGTCCGCCCAGGAGCGCATGACGCGCGGCTCGATGCCGGGTATGAGGCACAGCTCGTAGTAGAGACGGGTGAGCTTTGCGCGAGTGGGCTTGGGCATCGGGTAGCGCATGAGGAGCCAGCTGTAGGATCGGATGGGTCAATCACACGAGCGAAGGTACCGGCAGGTCAACGGCGCACCATTGAAGCATGCCATCCCAGGTGGTGAGGACGAGCCAGTTCTTGGTCTCAGCGCAGACACAAATGCGGCCGACGATGTGCTCGAGCTTGGCCTGCATTTCCTCCGGGGCTTCGCATTCATACGGAAGTTGATTGAGGTAGGACTGAAGACTCGCGCGCTGCCGCTCGAGGGCGTCCGGGGAAAAGGTGCCCGACTCGGAGGAGGGGGAGTCAGGAACAGAGACGTCGTCGTCGTCCATCCCGAGATGACTTGCGGGTAAGGAAGAGAGCTTGAAGTTCGTGAAATCAAGAGCACTGTTCATGGTGGCGAGGAGAGAGATGAGAGTGGGAACGGAAATGTTTAGGTACATACGTACGCACCTGAGCTGTTTTATGATGGCAACAGGGGGCTTACGAGTCTATGGCTGACGCGTCGAGCGAAAGGGACAGTGGAGAGTAAGGCGGTGGCTGAGCTGCGCGCTGAGCCTGTCTATGTGCACTTCGATACAGAGGCGACGCGTACTCCCGCCCACGCTCCATAGCGCCCATCATATACACGCCACGTGCGTTCCCCGGATACCGGCCCGCATGAATCGCGACCATCCCTCCGGCGCGTCGCGACTCTGCCCAGGCTCAGACGTCGAAATAACCGAGCACTCCGCTCACCTCTATTGAACCACTGTCAACGAGAGTCATGAGCTGGCTGCAAGCAAGATTCGCGCGCGCTGTTGTTCAAGGCTGCCGCTCCTTCTCTGCTTCCGCCTCCTCCCGCTTGTCTGGCAACTCGAAAGTACTGACTGGAAGCCTGAGCCGTCCGAGGTCCTCTATTGATGCTGCCTTCTTCTGGGGCTCCGCTTTGGCTATCGCAGCCGGGCTTACACTAACATCGACTGTCCACCTTGATGCTGAGGTCCCCTTACCCACAGCGGAAGAAGAGACGCGTGGTACGTTCTGCGACACCTGCGAGGAGTTATATATCCATCTGACATTGCTACCAGTTGACCCGGCGACGTCTATTGCGTTCCCCAACACTCTCAAGATTCAGTCCAAGACGCCGCTGCCTACTTTTACCCTCATGGGTGTCGGCGTTCGGACAGTGTCTTTCCTGGGAATCAAGGTTTATTCAGTAGGCTTCTACGCTGACCTCTCGAATCCTAGTCTTGCTGCTGTATGCCTCCCCACACAAGTAATCTCGTTATAGCGTTCTGAACCTTTCGTAGATCCCAAAAGACGCGACTCCCGAAGAGAAAATCGACTACATCGTGAGGAATGCGGCATGCGTACTCAGAATAGGTATGTTACAATATCTTCCTTGACCGAATGTCGCGCTCATGCCCTTGAACTAGTTCCGACACGGTCGACTTCTTACAGCCACTTGCGTGACGGGTTCATGCGTGCAATGCAAGCTCGCCAGATCCTATGCCGCCAGCGAGGGGAGCTCTCGCCGGATGACGAGCTTGCCATCCAGTCCCCACTCCGTCAGCTCAAGTCCATGTTCCCGAATACGCCCCTCGCGAAGCACTCGCCGCTGGACATCTTGGCTACTGCCCCGGGAAATAAGCCGCGCACACTTATTGTGCGCGACCTCGGTTCCGTGCAGAGCGACTGGTTGGCTCGGGAGTTCGTTCTTGCATATTTCGAGGGCAAGGGCATCAGTCCACCTGTGAGTCGACATACGGTCTTGCCTGCAAGCCACGACCCGATCTGACATCATGTTTAGCTGAAGGAGTCAGTCATAGAGTACGTTCAGACCCGTCTGTAATCTAAAAGCGACGCTCCCTAGGACTGTAGAGTAGATAGATGTCTTGGTTAATGAAGCAGCAGTGCTGGCGTCGTCCATGCGCCTCGTGTGATAATTGGGGATCTCACAACTGTCGTGCAGAATGCGCATGCGATGACACTACTGTTCACGGCTCCCGCAGATCGCGACGCGTACATGGCGCGTAGACGTCGCCGGCGGCGTGACCGACGCGCCGCAAGACGCCGATCGGCGCTTCCCCGCGTCGAAGACTGGCGAACGAGTTTCCTCTCCGCCCGTGTTTGATTTTGCTGCAGCTGAGCCCGCTCTCGTTCCGACTTCTCCCTCAGATCTGCACCAGGCCTGCTACTTACACCCGAAGCGTCCTCATCTCGCCTTCATGCTATCACAATGAACATCTCGCGGACACGAAGCATACTCACCCACGCACGGCGACTGTACGAGTCGACGTCATTTCCCTCGGCTTCGGCCAATGCGCCGCTCAGGATCGTCGTCCTGTCCGGCTGGACGCAGGCGTACGCAACGCATGCGAACGTGAACACCGCCACGAATAGTGCAGGAGGGAGCAAGCCCTCGGCCGCGTCGCTGCTCTCCAGCGCACTCGACCAGAAACAGCGCGCGGCGCGCCGGGAGGACTCGGCGGGGCCGTTCACGCTGGGCATCACCCCGCCGCGGCCGGACGAGGTGAAGCCGGAGAAGAAGTGGTCGGAGCTCAGTGCTGCCGGGAAGGGTGCGTTTTGTGCTTGCGTCCCTTGCACTGTCTGGGCAGTCTGAACTTGAACTGAGCATGATGACTGGCAGTTGTGAGGACGACGGCGCGGACGACGAACCTGGTCGTTATTCTTGCCGGCGCGGGCCTCACGATCGTGCTCATGTATGCGCTGACGTCGGAGTTGTTCTCTCGGAACTCGCCCACGGTGCTATACAACAAGTCGTGCGAGCTCATCAAAGCATCGCCGCAGGTACGTCTGACGTGCTAGCGACCCTGCCCATATCAGCCTTCACAACGTTCATGTGATGCAGGTGCACCAATATCTCCATGAACCTCTCGTATTCCACAATCACCCACCCACGGTCTCCCGTCCCCGGCACCGCAACCACTATGTCTCTTCGCAAATCTTTGTCGACTCGACCGGCCGTGAACACATGCTCCTGAACTTCTACGTCCAAGGACGTCCGCCAGGGTCTGCCTCGTACGCAGGCGAGGAAGAAGATGGCTTCTTCGCTCGGATCTCGCACAAAGCACAACTCGCGGCGATGAAGCTGGGAGAGATGTCTTTGGAGGACGTCAAAGAAGAGGCCGTGAGGAGGGGGACCCGCCTGGCCGAGCTCACGAAGGGCATGTTCCGGTTCCTGACGGGGGAGGAGGACGCACGGCCAGCGGCACCTCCTATACCTGTCCAGGAGAAGACGGTGAAGGAGGAGCAGAAGGGATGGTTATCCTCTGTCACGGGGATCTTTTCTGGCATCAAGGGTACGACAAAGTCGGGACGCTCGTCGGGAGAGGCGTACAACGGTCCCGCATTTACTGAGGGAGAGGTGCATGCTGACCTTGTCATGGTACGTGCGCCTGCTATTTGACATTCGGAACCAAGCTCATAATCCCTGCAGAACGATCAAGGGTACTATGAGTTCCGGTACCTCCTCATTGACATGCCGAATTCCAATACCAGGAATCCTTCTCGAGTATTCGTTCACCGTTCAGATGGCGTCCGGGAAACGGAGCCTATAGTTCGATGGCATCGGTAACCTCGCGAATGGACTCTAACTTATGCGTAGATGCTGCCATCTTGCAATAATCCGCACTCACCACTCCCTCAGTTTCAGCGCGCCCGGGGGTATATCATCGTTGTACATGTATCGGAATGCTGACTACAATACAAATGCGAAAGCGTCCTGATCTGACCGGCCGACCTTGGGTGTATTGCTGTGCGATCATTCACCAAAAAGCTTCTGAACGCGCTTCAAAATCGAATCCTTGCTGGGATCTGCAGAAACAGGTCAACGTCCGCTCTGACCATTGTGGCATGGGGAATACACGCACCATATGGATGGTCCTTCGAAGGAATTTCAAGGAGAGCGGGGAATGGTTCTTGGTACTTGTCCACCAATGGTCGGATCTTCTCAGCAACCTAGAGCAGAGTCTGGACGCAGTCCACAACAGGCTAGTGGTCAAAGGAACGTACGTGCTGGTTGATGAGCAGGATGGCAATATCCTTGCGTGAAGTGAAGTCCTCGAACGCAGCCTCTATAGTCGGTATTTGGGTCTCTACGTTAAGTGCGCTGAGTTGATTGTTGTCACTACATGGAGCAAGTGGGATGAGCACGCACTAGAGTCCACGACGAGGAAGTTCTTGCTCTGATTTGGCCCAACGTTGCCTATGCCGGCTAGCAGCAGCCCAGTTACGGAGTCCTGAGGGGTTCAGAACGCAAATGGAAGGGGATTCAAAAAGAATGTACCTCATCTCCAATAACCGCGAGCAAGTTTCGGTCCTGTTGGTTGGCCATGGCGCCGGCGGATAGAGGCAGTTGCGGACCAAGAAGTGCTCGTCGCGTCTGGGGATGCTGTCACTGTCTCCCAGAAAAGGCAGGTACGTCGCACCACGTGATAAGATCTATGACGCGTTGAGCAAATCGAGATAGAATTGCGCGCTTAGTCACTTTTCTGCTGCATCCCAGTCACCCGCTTTCCTCTACCGCTTCCTCACATCAATATTTCATCACCAGCCGTGCACGACCATGGTGTCCGTGAACGACATATTCAATCGCCCGCCGACTATATCAGAGGATGCTCTCCAATACACCCTCTACTTGCCGCCAGACCAGTCCGACCGCGTCTCGGCTACCGCACTCGCTGCGCTCTTGTCAGAACAAGTCCAGTCTTTGCTCCCTGAACATCTATGGCACCGCGATACCTTTGAACTCAAGGTCGCGCAAGATTCAGAAGGACAGAAGGACGTCTGGGTTCTTGAGGGCCGGATGCGCGTCGGCGATTGCATAGACGACGAGTGGTGTACTGTCTGGCTCCTACGAGAGCTCAGCAGCAAATGGGATATAGTGATCAGGTACGTACCGCATTGTAGTATCTATCTAACGACGCTTACATTCGAAACGCAAGTGTGTACGACTCGGACGGCGAGTTTCTGCTCATAGAAGCGGCGGAAGAGTTGCCGTCGTGGGTGACTCCCACCAATGCTGAGAATAGGGTACGCCGACACTCCTTCCTAATGCCGAACCTGTCGTGTTTACGAGTCTCGATCGTACTGCTAGGTCTGGATCCATAGCTCCCGCCTACACCTCGTTCCGCTCTCACATGTCTCTCCGCCATCTAGCAAAACGCGCCGAAAGTATGTCCCGTACGGAGACGATGATACTGAGAACCAGATGGATGAGAGCGAGGAGAACCACGACTTCATCACTGCTGCAGATGCCGTCAAACTGGTGCGCGACCCATTGGTGGATACCTTGGCGCCGCAGAATGTGCAAGACGTCGTATGGAAACGCATATCTGGGTGTGTTCGGAATTCTAGTTGACCTCAAGAAAGTCACAATCCTGACCAAGTCCTGTAGATACCCTGCCGCTTCCCGCCAGCATGTACATGTGACGAAAGCGTACCTACCTGTGGATGTGGCCAGAGCTCTCGCCGTCAATCCGGCTCTGGTTCAGAAAGCTGTCGAAACCTTCTATACCCGCGATGCCCTGCAGCTCCGCGTAAGCCTCCGACAACCTTTTGAATGACGCAACTTTTATAACGTGCATGCAGGCTGCACAGAAGATGTCTCGTTCTCCGCCGGAGCCGGCGACGCTTTCCACTGTCAAGATGACCCGGACAGCGTATGCGCAACTTCTTGGCCAGAAGTTTCATCCTCCCAAGGTATTTGGTAGATGGGAAGAGAGGGAGGGGACGAAGGAATGGCGGTGGAGGGACGTTGGGATGAAAATCGTAAGTGAAAAATGCACTCCTAGAAGGACCTCGTGTGACATAGATCTGATCCTCTGTAGGCGTGCGGTTTTGAGATGCTCTATCAGGAGAGCAAGAATCGGAAGGAGACGACTTCTGTCAATTTCGATGGTTCTCCGGTATCGGTGCGTCCTTGCTCTCTTGCGTAGCAGGCGTAAATTCCTGACGTGAAAGCAGCTACAAGCTCTCAAAGATAGCCTGCGCCGAAACCCAGAGTACATGCAGTACATCCGCCACTTGATCTCCGTAGGGTATTTTAGAGGCGAGCTTGAAGGTTCCCAACTGTGGACGACGCTTGAGGACAAAGCGGCGGCCTCGTTTGTCGCCGCTCGGAAGGATGAGTGTGTTCTCTCTCATCACCCTCTTGATTTATCGTTTATCGACCACTCCACCAGCGATGCCTCCCGACCGTCGTTCGCGACTGCGATCCAAGCAGCCATCAGTCAGTACACTGACGGTCGCGCGCTGCCTCAGCAAGAGGAAGACCCTGACGACTGGCTGAATGTCGATGCCGCCGACTTCGACGCCATGCTCGAGAAAACGATGCGCGGCGACAAGGGCGAAGGGAAAGAGAGGGCATCCAACGCAATGGATATCGACAGGCAGGAGGACGAAGAAGATCGCATCGCGAACATGCAAGCCACCCGCTTGCGCGATCTCGCCCAGAAGGTCGAGAACTTCGTCGAGGGCCAGGGTGATGTCGAAGGTGCACGGTTTGCGGAGTGAGTCGTTTGTCTGCATTCCGTCGTGAATAGCATGCTCAACGTTGCCTTCAGCGAAACGTTCTCCGAAGACGAGGATAGCGACCACGGGGACGACGATCCGGAAGAGGAGGACCTCGACACGGACGAAGACGCCCCTCTCCCCACGCCATTAACCTCTGGCCTCTCGTCGGAGAAGCTGGCCGAACGCAAGGCAGCGATGGACAAACTTGTGCCGGGGATCGAACCCTCTGAGTATGGCAAAATGCCGTCATCCTACTATACTAACTCCCAGAGGATCGCGCCTGTGACAATGGAGACAGAAATCCGAGAGGAAATTCTCACCGGCACTCCGGCAGATACCAACTCTCGCGTTCGCTCACACGCCATCCGAGCGCCGCTATTGCCCCGGGATCGTTTCGACGGAGTTGACTCCGACGATGAATCGGAGGAAGAAGATCCCGCAGCCGACGAGGAGGATGAAGAACATCCGCAAGTAGTCGGTGATGTAGAAATTGACATGGGAGAAGAAGAAGAAGAATTTATCGAGTTTGCACGACAAGCTCTGGGCGTTGACGACGAACATTGGAGGAATATACTGCAGGACAGGCGGGATCGGGGTGGTGCGTCGGGATGGGTCGAACCCAGCTATTGACTACTGACTTCCGACATAGCCTTCGTTCCTACGCATGTCGTCTCAGAATCAGGCACTCAGCGCCCACCTGTTCCTCAGGTGCCGGTACCGGCTCACACGACATCAGACTCTCCAACTGGAGGCAAGACCCTGGCCTCTTTCGACGAGGTTATGAAGGCTATGGACGCCGAACTCGAACGTGCCCGGAGATCACGTTCTCAGGACCAAGGCCATCACACCTCGGATTCCAAGGGTAAGGGAAAGGAGAGCAGCATGGACATCGAAGCCGCCATGGAGGCAGAGCTTCAAGAATTACTGGCGAGAGAGCATATTGAGACGGAAGAGCACGAGGACGACACCAGAGGCGGTACGGACTATCACCTAATCAAGAACTTCCTGGAAAGCTTCAAAAGCCAGGCTGGTCTATCGGGTCCCGTGAGCAACCTTGTTGGTCGGCTCGAGCAAGGCTGGACTCTTCCAAGAGACGAGCACTGAGAATGAGGTGTCCACACCGTCGTCTGCTGTGGCCGAGGTTCGATGACTGAGAGAATGTATTCATAGACTGTCAACGGAGAAGAATGTATGTATCAATCAATAGCCACGAGTATCCTCTGCAGCTCGACATCTAGAAGAAAGCAGCGCTTCCGCCGGTGGCCTGACCAGTCTCACTGGTGCCGGCGTTCCCTCCAGCGCCTAAATCAAAGTTAGCGTTGATACTGGCAATCACAACAGAGGACTCACTGGCAGCCGCATTGTTCACTGAACCGCCGATGTTGTATACAGTACCGCCGTTCCCGGGACCCGAAGCACCCGTGTAGGCATTACCACCAGGTCCGAAGTAGTAGCCATTACCTCCGTCAGCATCACCGGAGAAGGACGTGCCCCCAACACCACCAGTCTCTATTTCAACTGTCAGAGTCTCGTCCTGGGGGAAGTCGTTGGCGTCACTCACGTGCATCCGTGTTGTCCACGGTACCCTGGTCCCCAGCGTCGTTTACAACGGTACCACCAGAGGCGTTGGAGGTGGCACCACTGTACGCATTACCACCAGCCGTGCCAGAGTCAGACGCACGCTTCCGGCGAGCGTTCTCAGCATCAACAATAGCACCACTGCCAGGCCGGTTAGCGTCACCGCCAACTGCAGTACCACTCTCTGATAGCCCTCCCGGGCCACCGGTCACTGTTTGAACACAGATGAGCAGGTATCTACGTCGCAAAGATGTTAGATTCCTACCAGCAGCGCCGTTGGTGAGCGTGTCACCAGCTCCATCGACCGCAGCTGCATCACTGTCTGCGATGTTGTTGACGTTGCCCCCGCTCGTCGACCCAGTTGCACCGGTGTAACTGTTGCCGCCCGGACCACGACCAGCGCCATCGCCGCCGAAGGAGAAACCAGAGAAAGAGTTGCCGCCATCGCCACCGGTGGCTGTGAAAAAATGTCAATGCTATCAACCCAATGATGAGCATGATTCGGTGGAGTAACACTTGCCTCCAGCAGCATTGTCCAGGCCGCCATCGGTAGCGAAATTGTCATTGTTTCCACCGATCGCATTGCTCGCGGCTCCGGAGTACGCGTTACCGCCCGCCGTCCCCCAATCAGACGCACGCTTGCCGTACTTGGAGGAAGGAATCTTGATGTTCTGCCCAGAGGACAACGCTTGCGCGTGGGCCTTCCTCATGGATTGGGCACGGTGAACAGGGTCGTCGATGTTCTGCTTGGGCTGCGTGGGCGTATTGGCCAAGAGGCCGGGAAGCGGGTTACCTGACGCGTCAGCGACACTTGGCATGTCAGGGACATTTGGCAAGCCAGGGACTTGGCGAATCTGATGTGTGGTGATGGCCTCAGTCTGAGCGATGGCGTTGTCGAGCTTGGGCGAGGCAGGAGCCGCAGAAACGAGAGTGGGGCTGACCGCAGCGGCGGCAATAATGGAGAACGCAATGACAGGGCTACGCATGACGCTGGTATGGGCGGTGTGGAGGAGTAGGTGGATGTGGCGATTAGACGAGCCTAGGCTAAAGAAAGAAGAACGATGGGTGCGGATCTGGCCTCATTGCTCGAGGAACTTATATACCGCCATCGCGCGAATTGGGATCCCGCCACGCCTTCTCAAGAGAACGGGGATAGATCGCAGGTGGTCCAAGGAGAATTACCCCAGATAGCATGTTTGATACTCGATATGCAAATAATCTGGAGGGACGTGGTCGATCGTGTGAAGAAGAGTGAAGAACCCTCGATGGCAGCCAGTATCGACGTCGGAGGAACTACCATTGGCAGTGGGGTGAAAGCCAACCTGTGATGTTCTGTGATGGTATGAGGATGTGGCTTTCACGGATCCACGGGGAGGACGTCCTACCTCAACGCGGCCATCTCAGACGGAACATTGACCGTTCGACCCGCGCGCGAGCGTGTCTGGGTCCTTGGCGGTCTGTACACGGGCTCAGTAGGATGAGACTGAATGCCCCGCAGCCAGCGACAACATTTGATTGTTGAAGGCCGACAATCGCTGAAGTCCCCGATCATTGCGACAGCACTTGATCGTCTCTCGCCTCAGTGGGTCTGGCGTGTGCTCTGTCAAAGCTATGCTTGATTATGAGTGCCACCAGATGCTGACGAACTGGACGTGAGACGCACTGAGATGTGCTTCTCTGTTCGTGCTGCCCCGAGCAAGCATCTTCCGTGAATGGAATATGTGTCTGACGGTGACTGGTTCAAGCGATGGCACCCGAGATAGGTGGCCGAGAAGCGCCCGTCACTGTAGTAAGCGCCGAAACGTGACGATACCGTCCTGTTGGGGCAGTCACGGTGGTTAATGTTGTTGCCTTCCTTCCACCAGCACAGCCCTCTTCGTTACTTCTGCCATTGACATCGCTTCCGCTCCCGCCACCCGACGGAGAACCGCGCTATATCTAAACCATATCCTTCTGTCCTAGGCCTGCTTACGCATGCCGTCTTCGGCACCCAATAATACACCAGATGAATATGACACTCTCCCAGACGACTTCGACTTCTCTGCTGTGATAGAGCCTCCAGCACCTAGGGCTCAGCTGCAGAGAGACGACATGGCTCTTGATGAATACGATCTCTTCAACGAAACGGACACATTTGCGAATGTCGACCTCGACACGATCGCGGCGCTAGGGCCCGCTCGTCGTTCGACCCAGGTTGGAGTGGAGCAACCACCAGCCATCAGCCGGCTTCAGGAAGGCGACGCACAGATGCGCAGTCAACGCACAGCACATTCTGGGAGCGTATCTGCAGCCTCGACACAATACACATTCGACGAGGTAAATTCGGCTTTCCTCGATGAAGTCGAGGAAATCGAACGCAATGCATACAGATCGGAGCAACCTTGTAGGTGTATATACTGATCGCTCCGGGGTCGTGGCTCATGGACCTGTCAAGCTGCAGATGCTGAACGCGACATGAGTCCTAGTCCCGTCTCATCGCAAGCCCTCCGTGAGTTATCGACTCAAAGGAACTGCTGAGCCTCTGACGAATCATCCCTCATCAGCACCTACGCAACGCGTCGTTGCTGCGCCGCCAAGTTTCGGCACATCCAGAACGACAACAAGTAGGTAGCTAGCTCGACGTGGATGCACCCAGGCCTAATGTCTCATGTTAAAGCCACCCGGAGCCTGCTGGGTAGCCAGACCTCCGATACCTCGCTAACCAAGCGCAAACGGTCCACTCTTGGGGACGTGAACCCCACCGCGAGCAAGAAGAGCAAGGGCAAGGGGAAAGCAAAAGACCCTCACGCCTCCGCGCGTGCCATCCTGACCGATATGGCGGACAGTATGCAGTGTCCCATGTAAGTGCTGACCATTCTCATCAGAATCACCCGCCCATGCGATTCACTCACATTGCCTCTTCAGCTGCTGCGAGATCTTGTGAGCACATCGCCGTCTATCAGGCCCAATCCTCCCCTGATAGTCTCCTCAGCGTCGCTCCCCACGTCGGAGTCCCCTGCGGCCACTCATACTGTGGCGAATGTTGCGTCCGTTGGATGAAGCAGAACGTACGTATCACCCCCAACTCTCACCAAAACCGCAGCCTCACTCGTCCGCAGCCCGGCAGACATCCATCATGCCCCACCTGTCGCGTCAAGCTAGCAAGGGACATCCTCGTGGTCCCCAACTACTCCCTTCAACACACAATCGATAAGCATGTCGCTGCGTTGGGTGCAACGGGCGTCGTGGACTGGCAACCTACGGGCACTCTATACCAAGAACGGCAACAACGTCAAACGTGAGTCACCCTCCACCGCCTCTTGCCTCTTTCGTCGGTGCTCAAGACGAGTCACGATCGCTCGTGTTCTAGGGTCTGGTCAGAGCTGTCCGCGGAGCTTCCGGCCTTGCAACGCACCCAGTGGGGACTGTCGCAGCCCGACAGCACCCCGGCCTCGCAGCTGGTGGCTCTCTTCGACGCGCCTCAATTCATGATGGAAGAGAGCAGCTCGAGCGACTCGGGGGACGAGACCGCTGACGAAGGTACCTCTCAACGATCTTCGCAGGATTTGTTCTCCTTCTTTGCTACGCCACCCGTGCATGAGCTGTGAAGCAGCGCTGCTCGCATTTAGGTAAACCATGCCTCTCAGGGAGGAAGGGTTATCCGTCATCGTACACTGCTATCATCGCTATCGCCAATTTGTTGTACTCAAGGTTTGTATCGCCCCGTGTAGCATAGGTTCAAACACTCTGTCATTGCTAGGATTCTCTTTTACAGGACATTCATTCTATAGGATGGGTCGTCTTGACGTACATAATATCGTGCAAGGGCTTGTGTGCGGCGTAAGACTACATGAATTCGAGACTGATACAGACAAGACGAAAGGTCAGAGCTTCCAGGGTTACAACAGATAGATCTCGGACCTGCCGAAGTGCGGTTAGGAGTACAAGAAAAATGATGTGAGAAGACTACATCGCGCGAACACGCGATGGAGGACTTAGAGCTCAAAAGATACCTCAAGCTGACCCTCCTCTCCGTCGAGACCCGTCAACTCGACAAGGTGGAAATCGTCGCCTAGTGGAGTGACGGTAGGGGCGGGTACCGTCTTTCCGTCGAACGCCGCGCGAAGCCCTCTAATAGGACCCTGACCACGCACGATAACGGAGGGGGACAAAGAGTCCCTCAGCAGAGACGCTGAGACAACCACGCGGGCTTCAGGGTGCCCGTGCAAGGCCGAAGATGGACGCTGAGGCAGCGGGGCAGGGATGAACTTGGTATCAGCCCCTGAAGGAACTCCTACTCCGTCCTTGATACCACAAGAGACGCCTTCGGTGCCTCCTCGCTTGATGAGACCACCTATAGTGGAGCTGTCTCGCTGTGAGGCACGAACGCTCCCCTCAAGAGGGGTTTGTGACGGCGTCGATTCAATCCTGTTCCGTGGCGCAGCGTCTCCGGCGGTCAGTGACGGCCTGGTAGCTGTTGTCGAGAGCGCATAGCCGAGGAGGCGAGTGATCGTCTGAGGGACGCGCTCGCCAACGATACGGACAGCGAAGGCCTTGAAGAAGACACTCCAGAACCAGAAGACGAGGTTGAATATCGCATGCAGATATGCGCGGACGAGGCGGGCGGGAAGATTCCGAATCAATGCTAGAGACGAGCGGCGTCGTCGACTGACATAGCGAGCGCCGCCATCGTTCCCACCCGACGCCGGAGAGGTGGGCACAGGCCGCGCAACACCGGTAGGGGGCGTCGGGACAGTAGTCTCCTCTGAGATTGGCGCTTGCGTAGGAGCGGGCACGAAAGGAGAGTCCACGGCAGGAGGCGAAGGCGGGGGAGTCGGAGGCACTTCGGGAGCAGCGGGCTTCTCGATTTGAGCTGTGAAGTGCTTGGACGGGCTCAGCAGCATAACCTGCCATGTTCGATCGTTTTCCGAGATTATACGTGCAGCCGAGAGGATCATGTCGACGCCTGAGGGGCCAAAGTCGAGGACATTGCTGTCGTTCGATAACGAGTCGTCGATAACCTTTGCTTTGCGCAATTTCTGAGAAAATAGCACCAGGCCGTGACTGCCAGACGATTGCTCCACCAACGGCTGCAACTTCCGAACAGCGATGGACGACGGCTTGCCTACGGCCTCCGCGACTGGTAAAACGATGACATGGTATGGGAGGGCAGCGTTTGACTGGCGGACCGCGACAACAGCAGAGGCGGGGTCGAAAGCGAGCACGGTACCATTGCTCAAGGCTGCCGCTTTTTCGAGAAGATCCTTTGAATGCTCCAAGATGCCCAGAACCGCTCGTTTATCCTTGCCGATACAGTCCACCGAGATGTCTCCATCGGTAGTGAGACGAAGGCTTGCCGACTCGCTCGCGACAAGCACTAACGGCTTGAGTGCATCACCCAGACGGGGGGAAAGGCGAGGGAGTAGCACCATGGCGCTACCATTGCAAGGCTCTGGTGCTGAGAACTGAGTGGGGAGACTACAGAGCCGTGAGCATTTCACACTTGTACAGCATCAGACCGGATTGATTTCACCTTGAAGGCTTCCACACCCAACTCGACCAATCCTCGGGCCTATCCAGCCGCACTGTGGACCCCTCTGCCGATGTCGCCTCAAGGCCATACTTTCCATCGTCGCGGACGGCCCAATGCGTCGACAGACTGATTCCGGGGATGCCCTGCTCGACCACAATGGTACCGTTGTTGTTGTGACGTCCCAGCCATTCGACATGGCCAGAAGCATGGACGAGCCGGAAGGTGTAAGAGAACCGGGCACCGATATGGTCGTGCAGGGAAGCGCGAAGCTTGAGATACAGGGTATTCTCCTCGCGTGCCTCGTCCGCCTCAGTCAAGAGGGAAAAGGGCTGCGCGGATGCCACAGGCTCTTTGCTTCCCTCTAGCTCTGTGAACTGGACTGCCCGCCATTCTCCATTGGTTCGCTTGTGTCCGTGGATGGGGATGTTAGTCCAGAGCTCGACCCTGAATTTGTCCGACTGGGCCCGAACGTAAGACTGGGGAGAATCAAAGGTGGCTTTGAAGAGGATGGTATGGGCGATTGATTCCCGGTCGGAAACGTGAGAGGGCAAGGGGGCAACCTTGGCGGTTGTCGTCTGACCGAGAGCAGGCGAGAAGGTGAGAATCATGACGGAAAGGCGATCAACGCCAAAGACTATACAACAAGGGAGAAGGTGTCCGGAGAGGAGGCCAGGAGAGCAAGCCTGCGGTACGTTCAGGCTCGGCGTCCAAGAAGAGCGCAAGGCATGGCGGCATCGATCGAACCTTGCCTAGCTTGCCTGCCGACCTCAACGAGGCCTGCGTGAGACAGCCCATGACGACATCTTTGGCCCGCTCGAACAGTCCAGAGCCCGCCACAAGCTGCACCGCAGCAACAGTCTTGCCTTGTGTCCCAGTACACGCTCACATCAGAAGGGGGCCAAGCGGAAGGTATTAATGAAAGTGGTGTGCAGGAACGTAGCGATTGGTTGCTGTCATTACATAACAGGCGATAACCATATGTCGCAGAATCAACGCGAAGGGTCGGCCCCTCCAAGCACATATCCTACACGAGCTCTTTACATGCACTTCGGGGTGACTAAGTATCAGTCGTCCGCGTCCATGTAGTCTGTCTCCCTCGTTTTTCTTCTGCCGGATTCGTCGCCAAAGCCGCTCCGGTCTGCTGTACGGGACACCATCTGCGCGACCAGATCGTCCAGCATCTCCGATGGCAAGTCGAACTCCGACGTCCGCACAGCGACCGCATACGCAGCTACAAGAGAAGTCCCCGAAGCACATGAGTCGAGATACGAGTCAAGCGATAGGTGAAGCCTCTGACCGTCCTCGATCTTTTCCAGCGATTGTCCGGTCACCGCTTGTTTCTTACGCAAGTCTCGGAAATATGGCGTCAGGCCTTCAAAGTCTATGTCCATTTCACAGTGAGCGTCCGGGGATGTTAGGGTGACTTTGACTTGCCTGCTTTACAATCCCGTACAAAATGGCAAACGTCATTGGCCTTTTGCCGACCGCCGCGCCGTGATATCGAGGCAATGGCAAATCGCATGAGCTCGCCCGTGAGGTCAGACAGACCGAGGAGGTAGTCCTCAAGTGATAGAGGGAAGTACTACTCGGACACCGTCTTCAGCATCTGTGAGATGGCACAGAGACAGATTGCTCGCTGACCGGGGTGCCGTCATCGTCGCACAAGGAGCGCTGCACTTCTTCATACGAGATCAACGCTCTATGCTCCAGGTAGTGCGCGAAGCTGAGAGCCTCAATGTACTCTTGTAGACCTGGCGAGACGTTTCTCTGGTAACGCGCGTATTTATCGCCGGACAATTCTGGGCGCATCCCCGCAAAAAGGGACTGAATTTCCTTCAGTTTGCCTCTGGCCCGCGAAGCAGCGCGACTGCCGAGAGTACGGTCGTCGGCCTCCCCGACATCCTCCGTCATGGTGCGATGAAGAAGAAAAATCACTTTCTTGGAGAGGTTGGTGACATCGCGGCTGGACTGTAGGATATAGTCAGGTCGACTGCGCAACGAACAGGAGGGCGTCCGAGATGCCGCTGATCGCATCCCGTATACGAGAACGGACCTTGATGAGCCGCTCTCTCCTATCGTTGTGGTCATCAAGTTCCTCCCTGAACTGGTCGAACACAGCGAGGATAGTGTCTCTGGAGTTGAGCGTCGGCGGTAAGGTCATCGTCGCTTGTTTGAAACGTGAAAGAGCTGGTGATCTTGGTCGTTACGACGTACGACTGCAAATCTAGCGAGAGTTGAGTTCCCACCACTACGGGTGCGAAAGGCAAGGCGAGGACGGATGTGCGTGCTGATAGCGCAGTTCCCTGAGACAGCGCTGTTGATTCGGCAAGTGGTAATTATGACGGGAATTTGAGTGAGCGTGCACGGAGAGGATCAAGGCCGTCGATCACAGCCACCATACGGAATATCCAGCGCCTATGCGTGCGCCGGCAAGGCCACGGCAGGCATCGACGGATGCTCGTTGCCACATCTCTTGCATTATCCCTGGGCCTCTTCCCGCTCCTTTCTCCTCGCTGCATACCCGTCCTCCACCAGTCCTTTGTGTCTCCCTCGTCACGCTCTGCCGCAGCACACCTGCAGCTGGATATAGTCCTGCTGAACCTTGATAACGCGTCATGGCGTTCGCCCCGAAACCCGGTTGCCCAATGTGCAGCATCGTCTCCGCAGCTGCGTCCACCGTTCCTGGCACACCTGGATCTCCGTCCAACGCCGCACAGCAGCACGAGATACTCTGGCGAGACGACAACTTCACCGTCTATCGGGAGACTCAGTACCCAGTCTCGAGCAAGGGTCACATTATCATAGTGTTCAAGTACGTCCTGCGTACGAACCCCCGCCCCCGCGCAACGTCGCTCACCCCGCTTCACACAGCCTTCATGTCCCGTCAATATATACCTTGGTAAGCCGCACCGTACTTGACGGGGCACGCCGCCCGTCGATCCCCTTCGCCGTCAGATTCCTGACAGCGCGTGCCCGCAGTCCTCGAGCGACCTCCCCATCCTCGTCTCCCTACGAGACACAGCCCACCGTCTCCTCTCGTCCTTCCAAAACCCGCCCTCGCCCCTATCATCCCCCGTGGCCTCGATGCAGCCCCAGCAGCCCCTGACCTCCGTCTCGCGCCTCCGCAGCACGCGCGAGGTCTTCCGCATCGGGTTCATCACGCCCCCCTTCAGAGACAACAAGATCCCCGTGACGGATCACCTCCACGCGCACGGGTATGTCCTCCCCGCAGACCTCCTGGGCTGGTGGCGCGCCGTCGGCTACAGCGCCATGGCCTGGTACGACATCGACGACCTGATCGCGGAGATTCGGTGAGTGCAGCTATTTTGAAAACCGGCCCCTGTCATGTTCACAGCGCTCTGCCCTGCCGCTGCGCGCACACCCGCCTCCGCGCCTCGCCCGGACTGTTCCTTTCCTGTTGTGCAGCGAAGAGACCTCGAACAACCGGGTTCGGTCTGGCGTGAATCCGCGGCCGATCGACTTCGTTCCGGCTGCCGGAGCGCGGAGAGGCACCGCAGATGGGATCGAGACGACGGACGCTGCTCTAGGCGTCATCGACCCAGAGCTTGGTGTGGGCAACCCGGCGAGCCCTTTGTTGCTCCCACCCACACCGAACACCATCCGGGCTGGACCCTCGTCGTCTTCACCCGACGCTTCTATACCCCATCTGCAGGTCTGACGTGACATTTTCGTTGATATACTGCTGCTAGTTGTATCCTCTTCGTAATAACGAAAGGCTTCGCAGCCTCACATTTGGTTCTGCTTGCCGGTATGTATGGGACAGGTTCCTGGATAGGGTTGCGAGCTCAAGAACATGTACATGGCAGTCATAGCTAAACGACGATAGGCTACATGAGGTGCTATTATAATGCAAGCATTGTCCGGACAGATATTATCTATGCAATTGCTTCTCTACATTAGGCATCTGGTATCAGGGATGACCCGTTAGCGACTCCGAGCGCGTACCATGATGAAAGACATACAGTACGACGAGCCAGACAAGAGGGTTGAGAGTGCGGCTAATTGCTCTTCGGTGAACTTCTTCGAATCTTCGTGCCAGGTGTCTTGGTGCGTCTTCCGGAACGTACTAGCGCATTTTCGCACCGTCGTAGAGATGGGTATCTGGCGCACGATTCATGTCAGCGACGTCATGGCACTTCAGACGATCATGATATACCGGGTCGTAAGTATGCTCCGCAAGGATATTCGTCAACAGCTCGGGCATCCAGCGCTCGATAGTGTACGGGTAGCTTTCGATGAGGGCGCAGACACCGAGGATAGCGGCGTGCAGCTGACGCATGGCGGTATGGTATGCCGGAGATTTCTTGTCCTCGGGAAGCTTGCTGATCTTGATGAGACGGACGAAGCGGTCCTTGAGGGCGAGGACACTCCTGCGAGGGGACAAGCGCAGAATGCCTGAGAGTGTGCTGTGTGTGGTCGGGCGGTTAGACTTGGTATGAAGGGTACGCGGCTCGAGACTTACGTTGCGGCCATCTCGCGCACCTCGACGATCTCGTCATCGAGACATCTGCAGATGACCTCCATCATCTGGACCAGTCTCGCGTCGCTGATCAGGAAGGACTGGCGGAAGTAGAACACTGAATGAAGTGTACGGTGATCAGCCATCGGTCAGGGACGAGAACGGAAAGGCGGCACCTTGCACAAGCGGAATGATCTTCAGGCGGACTTTCCAGGACTGGCGGGAAGAAGCGATCAAGATGTGGCGCATCGGTGAGGAAGCTGGGCGACTTACGGGGAAGGTCTGGATGGCGGAGAAGAACTCGTCCAAGAGAGGGTTGATGTGTTGGCGAGGGACGATGACGCCACACATGCGCACCATGAGGAGCTTGGCGCGGTAGGCGAGCTCGTCGTTGTCGTTGACCTCGGTGAAGCGGACGAGCTCGGGCTGTCGGGAGGCGATGAGCGACTGTGCTCGACGAGCGGGCAGAGCGGCTTACCATGAGCGGCAGGATGTAGTCGAACGCCGAGGTGGCGTTGACGTCATGGACCATCTGGAAAAGCCACTTGCAGACGAGGATGCCGACGCTGGACATTGACCGGGTTAGCACCGAAGGACAAGCAGAGAAGAACGCCACCCACCGATCATACGTCGATTGAAACGCCCGCACGCCAGGCAGTCTCTCCGCGCGCCAGATCGGGAACCGCTTCACAAGGTCCGCCACTCGTCCCTCATGGAACGTCCCTCGGATGCCCAGCAGATCCGCACTAGCAGGCAGCGTCCGGCACTCGCGCACAAACGTCTCCGCAGTCAACAGAGAAATGTTCGGCCGCCACTGTTCCCCAATCAGCCATCAGCCGTGGGCCGAGCATTCACGGAACCGCTCACCATGATCTTCTCCGTGAAGGCCAGGATCTCGCTCAAGTACGCCAGAACCTCTTCGTGATCGCACTTGAGCTCGGCCCAGCACCGGTCCAGAGCGTCTTCGACCCAGGGCGTGAACTTGATCCCCAGCTGTTCGTAGAACGCCCGGAAGAAGCACAGGACCTGCACAATCTCAAACGTAGACTCGCCCTTGAAGTCCACGGACTGGAACGATTCCATGATCTTGTCTGCAAGAGGCTGCATCCGACGCGGGTCCTTGTTGTAGAACACATGCTGCACGCGAGCCGTCAGCGTCAGCCAACGCCATCCGCGTGAAGGACATGGATCAAACCTCGAAGAACGACGACCAAACGGACAACGTCTCGTTGCTCTTCTGGTTGAAGACGTTCTTCACGTGGGGCACGAACCACTCCCAGAACTTCACTTGCGAATCAGTCGGCCAGTGCTTCGAACCTGCAACCACTCAGCCTCTCCACCGCAGAACGACCCAGGGATGTGGCGTACCGATAAGGATACCCGCGATGAACTCAGCAGCGGCACGCTGTTTGTTCTTGTCCTTGTTCGCGAGCAACTCCTCGAGCGTGGGTCGTAGCGCCTCGAAAGGTTCATCGCCAAGCAATTGGACTGTTCGACGCGTCAGGCAATATTTGGTTGAGGGAGACAGAAGGCGCTAACATATGGACTTGACGACGCATAAGTTGTCCTGCATGACCACGTCCGTGTTGTTTTCCGCAGAGTAGTGTGTCGACAGGTTCTTCCAGAACGTCGGATCCGTGGAGATAGTCCTGATTGTCGAAACAACTTCTTGGTTGCTTAAATCCCACGCTGGGAAAGGAGATATCGTCGAGTCTGGAGCCAAGAAACGGTCCAGTGTCTTGCCGAAGACAAGCCACCCCGAATCAAGCTTGTCTCGGAGCAGTCTGGTGAACGAGTTCAGTACGACGGTAATATGAGATATAACACCACTTACGGTTCTTGACGAGCTCGCTCCAGATCTAACGGGGTCTTGTACTCTTCCAGTAGACTATCGAAAAGTTCTCGGGTGGGTTCTTGTACTGGTACCTTTCTCCTCAATGGATTATGGTTCCGCTCCAAGGCAAGATCCACAGCTCCACCGGCAAGAGTGCGAAGCTTGACATAACGAGATATCTTCATGATACCCCGCTGCGCGTACTAAACCCTCAACCTCAGTCAATGTAAAATGTGATGGTAACGCATTCGGACGTACGTATCGCTATAGAAAGCGTGTGAGCAGAAGTGTCAGTCCGAGACGGTATGCAGTACGCACCATACTGGCGTTCGAGTCGTGACTCTTGCCAAACAGCAACTTGACATGAGAAGGCTTAAGCGGCACGTCCCTTCGTATCAAAGAGCGCAGGCAGCGGACAGCGACTATAGCGTATCTCCAGTGAGTACGTTCATCGTTCGCGATTGTCAGGACGGCATCCGTCTGCGACACAGTCAATACCGGATCAGTCGATATGACGTACTGATCGCTCACAGTCTGAGAGATAGCTTTGTCCGTTATGGCGATCCGCTCTATGCGCTGCGTTCTACACCTGGCCAGCAGCTCATCCTTGGAGGAACCAGCTTGTCCCACCAACGATCGCAAGTCACGAAGCGCATCTGCTAAGTCTTGGTTCTCTACTTGGTAAACCACATGGTTTGGCTCTCCGAAATTGCTGAGACCTAAGATGAGTGGCATTGAGCGTATGTCCAGGTCACGTGCGGGCCTCCAACTCACATGTCTCCGCCAGGGACGCGACGCAGTCTTGAATCGAAGACTAGAGCGAAAAACGTCAATTCAGGGAAGCAGATTACTTCAGCTGCGCCCTACTTTCTCATTATGCTGGCAAGCGAATAGCTTCTGAATGAATTCTGTGGCCAGCGTGGGCTCTAGTATATTGTGAGCGGTTGGTACTTAGTGTGACAGTACCTATGTTTCCTCACCGCCGATAGCGTACTTCGCTATGAACACGGTGTATGTTAGTAAATCGTGCTATACATATAGTGGCAGACATACCCAGAGTCGACATATTCAATGTCCACAGAGCACCCTTCATGCGGTCATCCTCGGTCCCTGGCTCTAGCGCCTTGTACAAGGCCGGAAGACAGCGTCGCCTGACTCCGTCAAAACTCTGGGAATCGATGTCAATCAAGGGCGAGAAGTATATTTGGCGTCTGACAGCTCACGTTGCAAAGACTCTCGAGGAGAGACTGACTCGACCTGTAGGACGATGTCAATGAGATAGTAGGGTAGCGCACACGTCCTGATCACGTACTCTCGTACTAGAGAGGCGTCAACATGGAGTTTCGAATTATTGACTTTATGAACTGACCGGTTATGAAGCTCCACATCGACCATTGTGTGACGTCGTCGATCAGGCTATCCTCCAAAGGGCCTCGCCGTCGCTCGATAGAATTCCATCGAAGACGCGCCGCATTGTAAAGCCTATCAATTAGATGTTCTTAAGCACGTGTCCGCCGCATTTACGCAGTACGATAGTATACCTTGCTCGTCGGACATAGAGTGCTCTGGGCCACTCCTTCTGACCCGCGTAGTGACGTGCGATATTGAGTTCATTCTGGTACCGATCAGCCTGCAGGTAATAGCTGCGCGGTGTCATTTTCGAGAGTAAAACAGGGTATTGAAGCAGCCACATACCTGTCTCTACTGTCGCCATATTCCAAAAGATACGTCCGAATAGAGCGGATCTACAAGCATATCGGTAAGGGTTACTCAAGAAGGCATCAGGCAACTCACTAGCCCATGTACCGCGTCCACCGTGTTCTCTTCGCCTTGTTGCTGCAGAGAGACCGAGGCTTTGTGCAGGAACTCCCCAAACTTGCGGCGCAAACCGGTGATGTACTGGTGTCGAGGATCGCTTGGATCGGGAAGAGCGAAGCCCGAGTTGAGCGGTTCTATGCAAGCGATCATTTCAGGAATCTCGAGTCTACAGCAGAGATCAACTTGAGCATGCGATGAATGGACTCGAGTACGATACTGACAGGATGTCACTCGTTTCCATGGCCGACCATTGCTCTTCGGGAGGTATGACCTCTCTCGCGAGAGTCGGAATACCAGAAAACGCGTTGCGAACGAAGCTCAGGTGCCTGACATGGAGATGAGCAATGTCTTAAGGCCAACTGGAGGCTTGGACATACCTGCAGAAGTCGTTCCGCCAGATCTCATCGCGAACAATGCCTGTTGACTGTGAGTTAAGTTCGTGCAATGCCTAGGAGACCTGACTTACCTGGTTCGAGAAGACTATTCAGAGAGCCGAGGATGGGCTCGACAAACTCGCGGAAGATTTGTAAAACGAACTCAATCTCTTCCTTCGAGGGGACATGCCACGTGAGCTGCGCATTGTCGTCAACGTACGGTCAAAATAGGAGGACCGGTCGTGGATACCTTCACATCTTCCGGTTTATACAACTTCCCCCAGTACTTATGGTGATTTGACTTGAAGTCTACTCAAGCACCATTAGCAGATGTTTAGAAACACGATACGGGGGCTCCAGTGCCGACCTTGCGAATGCCATTCGTCAGGGTTGACGAATTTGTTCTCGAGAGGATAGGTATGGCTCAGCGTCAGCAAGGTGCTCGAGATCAACTTCCCACTCGACGAATAGCCACGCTTGGAGAACGTTTTCTCATGCAAGATCTTGAACAGCGAGATGAGCCGGTCACGGTACTTCAATGTCTTCGATGGGGTCAGCAAGAACGCATCCGGGGAGCCATGACTCTTACCACGCGGCCATCACTGTGTAGTTGCAGATCATCAATGTCCGTTCGGGTGTGCCCAACATGGACGAAGAACCTACTTGTACATGGCACCCCTGAGAATCGCAAGGTCTGCAGAACATTCAGCCGACATCTTGAGGGGTATAGTATTTCAAGCTTACTCCAATGCAACGTAGCGTCTGAGGGCAGTGGCGTGGAACCCCCTGACGTTATTCTCAGCGAACTAGCGCCGTGGTCGAGTTCCGTCCGGATTCTCTGGTCGCAGATGGGCAGGAAGCGGTCTAACGTCTTCTGAGGATTGGCGTTGGCCACACACTCGACGAGCTGGTGGATCGCCCGTACGGCATTCGATCGGACGTTTTGCGTCGCGTAGTCGTACACTAGGCTGAGTACCATGTCGTACAACGGCTCCGATAGGTGCACACATATCTGGCTGAAGGCGCCAGAAACGGCATCCACGAGTTGCACTACGAAGAGTCAAATAAGCACTGAGATGGAACTCTGGACGCAACTAAGCTAACCTTCGGTGGCGCCACCAGCGGCTCCGTTGGGACCCTCCTCGGGGAGATTCTCAAATAGTAGAATCACGCGACGGAGGAACGCCGCGACCCAATCTGCCACGGTACCCGAGCTGTCCCTCAAGATTGCATCTTCCTCTTCCTGTGTTAGGTTGTCGTCCGACCAAGCTTCTACACCATCCGGGAAGCGCTCAAACTCAATTGCGGGTGCGTCGCTTGGGGGAGTTGGGATCGGCTCTGTTCCGTCTCCAATGGGCTGCTCAGTCTTAGCAAACAATTCACCGAACTTGATGTACTGCGCGACCTCGGAGACAAAGGAAGTAGTACAGAACTACAGCATTGCCATGAACTCGCTAGGTCAACGTAGATAGCCAAGCTAAGACGTACCGTCTTGGGAGGATCATTCTACAATGAGTTGCATCAGACGGGAAGTTCAGGGAGGCTATGGAAAGACTCACCAGATCGATACCAGGGAGCAAAAGCTCCAAGATCGGTAGGAGATGCTTCGCGCCGGGATAGTACACGTCACGGCAGACCATCGCAGGGGCAACTGCGCCAAGAGCCTTGATGACTGCGGTAGTGCGGTGCGTCTATCAAGAGTCAACACTAACCCTTCCAGCATAGACATGGATCACTCACCTCGACTAGAGCTTCGAGAGCGGGCTCCGCACGCTCGAGAATTGGATGCAATATGAGATCTGGCTCCATAACGCTCATCGATTTCAAGCAGCTCTGGATGTTGGACACAGTGGTATTGTCCTGGGAGAACATTGCCAGCAAAGTCACCGTCCGGAGGCACTTGACGAGTTCGCGACGAATCTCTCGCGTGAGGCGGCGGTGCTAGACAAGCATAGTAAGACAAACTGCGCAGCATTGTGAAAACACGGCTTACCGTCGGCGTCTTGCAATCAGGCCGCTGCTCCTCGTACCACCCTGAAGCGCGTTAATGTCTAAATAGCTTTTGTGGCGATGCTTCAAGAGAGTATCTTACGTTTATTGAAATCGTAGACAATGTACTTGATGAACGCGCTCAGCTAGCGATGAATGGTTCAGTACGTCGGGTTTGATATATGAGCGAAGAAGCGCACATCGGACGTCCAGCTTCCGGAATTCGTCGGGTGAAAGAAACTTTCGGTCGATGCAATGAGTCTAGCAAGCGCATCCAGCGCTTTGCAGCCAGCAAGGTATGTCTTGGCCTTCAAGTGGCCACCCTTACCCAGCGGCGCGGAAAGATAGTCAGCGAGACCACCGTTCTGCTGCGGCAAAGGAGTGCTAGCGCCAGACGCCAGTGGCGTGAAGAACGGCGTTGGTGCGCTCGAGGACGGACTTGGTAAGCCGTCGGGAGCCATGGAATATACGATGATGCGCGCCAAGGACGCTACGTACTTGCTTAGACTCAGTTCCCGGATGCAGGCGAAATGCACTCACGAATACGCCAGCTTGGCTTTGGCAAACGGTTGACTTCAAACGACGCCTGCCCGTCCGCATTTGGGCCTGTCGTCAAAGAGCCTTGGTCGGCGAGTGGAATTTCTGAAGATGAGTTGATCAACTTCCTTCATGCAAACCTCTGATTGACAATTCGACGCACCCATCGATGACATACACTTGGCCATAATGAATCCCCATTCCGCCTCAGAGAAGATCCCGACTTCATCGAACAACCCAGACCACTTCCATTTAGCCTCAAGGTCCTCCTTGGACCAGTTCGGACGGCCCTCTCCCTCGGAGCGGGCGTCGTCTGGAATATCCTGGTTTCTTTGAGGGTCACTCACGCTGGGGTCGACGTGTATTTCCGCGAGTCGGGCGAGGAACTGCAACATGCGGTCGTCGAACATGTATGAATTGACCGACTCCCAAATTCGAAAGAGCATAGGGAGGTAGGATTGTGGGTGAGAGTGTGGGAGGAAGGTCAGCAGGTAGTACTGCGATGCTAGGAGACTCTGCGCAGAAGGGGTTATCAAATATGCGATACGTCCGTATGTTGAACAGACTCACATTCAAGCTGATGCAATTCATGGGGGGAAGGAAGGTGGACAGCATTTCGTTAATGGCGGCAGGATGAAAAAATCGGCGAACAGTCTCTGCAACATAGCCCATGTACCAGGAGGTCTGGCTGTAATCGGCAAGATAGGGATGAGTGACGATGACACATATCTGTAATACCCACCACTACTCGCCTGATTTCATACTGACGCCTGGTGAGGAACAGGTCCTTGCTGAGGATCCTGTATACTGGCTGCCATGGAAGTCTTAAATCATCTATGGAGAGCTTCTTCTTCGACCGGGACAACACTTGCAATGCGTCCGAGCTGGCGGCGACTATATGATTAGGCATTCCAGGGGTTGTGCACACGTGGTAATATATCTTTATCAGCGCAACGCGCTTTTCCTTCGGAATGGGGTACTTGAGCATGCACCAGCTTCATGATACACACCGCAGACGGTGAGTAACTGATGACGCGGGTCCAGCGGCGGAAGGCGCTCACTATGTTAACATACTATCCCACTGGAGCAAGCCTGGATCGTAATCCTTCGCTTCCACACACTGCGCGAGCCGCAGAAGGATGAAGTCAAGCATTGCTTGCATCTTGGAATTAGGCTCGATAGAATAGGGGATTGACTTGGCGTAGTTCCTGAGCTTGACCATGGACCGGTCATCCGTCGCGTGCATGATGTCGTCAGGGACTGAGGGCGGGATATTTCCCGAGGTTGGTGGCCCAGTGTCCCTGAGAGTGAGGGTAGAGATGTCCGGTATGTTCATGGCGTGTATGAGAACAAATGAAGCAGGCTAGAAAATATCTAGGATAGGGATTTCGATCAGGACCGAGCCGGTACCGAGGTGAGCTTTATACGATGGGACGCGCGGTGGCGCGCGGCTCGTTGTGGCGCGCGAAACAGGCCATTGCGATGGTCCAACAATTGACACCGTCCGTCCATATGTCAGCCTGTACTCCTTGCTCGCCTGTGCATCGTGTCTGTTTCATGGGTATTGACAAGACTGACCGAAAGCACCGACTTGATAACAGTATCTTTGTGGGCATTTCTAACAAGTGACTGGCTAATCTTTTACTAGTATACATATACATCGTGTGATCTCATCAGGGGGCTATGTTACCCCGCAGTGCGCACTCAATAGTCAAGACACTCCGGCGCCGGCGGAAGAAGCGACTTCCTGCAGTTCTTGTATCGCCTTCTTTCGTACCAGTTCCCAGACGCCATCCCGCTGCGTCCTCGCGTCGCCCAAACCTTCGCGAATTTCTTCTAGACGTTCTACGTATTCCCGGCCATCGTCTTGCAGCTCCCGCAGATTTGATAATGACTTCTCCAAAGTTTCGAGCTGCATCTCCGCGCGAGAGAATTGCGTGTTGTCGAATATGGATTCCTGGTTAGGAGACAGGAACAGCTTGTGCACGACGGGCGTTAGGTCCGGTGCCCTGGCAAGCCGATTGTCCGCATCGTTGCCCTCGGCTTCCTCATCCTCGCGCTTTGGGACTAATGAAGTACTCACCCCGACCTCGTCGGGGTTTTCACTCATGACTTGCCACAATCGTCCCAGCGCCCTCCGCAGTGTCGTCTCGCCCTCGATGAGCGTGTTGGTAGAGTCTTCTAGTTCATTGAATACAGAAGAGCGAAACGAATGTGTTGTCGCCTTGTCTAGGACGAAGGAGGTATATGAGAGGTGTTGGGTATTCGGGTGAGGATAGGGTGCCATGAGAGGCGGGGAGGGGGAGCGCAGATGCGGTAGCGTTAAAGGCGCGTCTTGCTCTTCGTCCGTGGGCAGAAGTTGTCGTATGCGCTTCCTGGCGCGGTCCTCCGACTACGTCGGCGGTCAGTGGAATGCTATGAACTCCACGAGCGTAGCACGCACCTCCCAGTCTTCCATCCAAGGCCCCCATGCCGTCATCTTGCCCTTGCGCACCCATTTCGCCTCGTTGTAAGATTTGATACCCCAGTTTCCCCTGAAGGCAGGTCGTGGAAGGTCTTCATCGTTGGCCTCAAAGCCATACGAAGGGTAGTACCAAGCGTCAGTGTCGTTGGACGGGAGGCTCATCAGGCTGCGGCAGTACTAGTGAGACGGGTCGAAGCCGCGGCTGTGACGCGCGGACACACCTGGGGTCCTCGTACTTGCCCTCGTCGAGATGAGTAAACGATCTCTTTACGCCGCTGGTTGGGGTGACCATGTGTTGGCCGCTGGTGGAAGGCCGGGAGTTGGGCGCGTCATGTACAAAGGCGTCGGAAGCCATGCGCGCAGTCCTAGGCGCAGGCGCGTGATAGAGACACTTTGTCAAAGACCAATGGGCCCAGTGGCTAAGGGGCAGGGCGTTGAATGGCGAGCGCAGGGTGGAATGGGGGAGCAAGAGGCTGAAGGACATTGGGCGAGAGAGGCGTTCGGCAGATGCCGCACCACTGTGATTGGAGGATGGGAGTTTTGGCCTCTAGCGGGGCTCTAGCCAACCGTGGCTACCGCCAGTCTGAGTCTCTCCGCGCTGCGACTTCATCCTGCGGTCGTCGTTCCTCGACGTGCTCTGTATATTCTCCACGGCAGGCCCTGTTTTACTTGCCCTGCTAGCATCCTGTGATATTCCCGCTGCACGTACCCCTCTGTACCTGCGTCTCTCGACGCGTCTATGGCCAGTACCGAACCTACAACCTCGGCGTCGCATTCTGAGGACCGACTCGATGCAAACCACACAGACCTCAAGCCAACGAAGGACTTGACTGCTGCTGCGGACGGAGCTTCAGATGCAGGCACGGGCCCTGCAGGACGCTCTCGGGACGCTAGTCCAGCTTCTCACTCTTCGGCCTCAGGATTGTCTTCCAACAAGGGTGGCACTCAGTCCCCAGCTCCCTCTGGTTCCGCCAGTACGCCACCTCTGGGCATGCCGCACCCGAAGAAATTCAGCCATGTCAATATCAACAAAAAGTTCCTGGAGAAGACCTCATCCGCTTCTACTCCTACCCATACACTCCCGGCCTCCTCTACGTCGAAGGCGGCGAACCCCAGCCGTACGTATCACGATGTAACATTCAAGTACGATTTAACGTTTGTGTCATCAGAGAAATCCGTGCCACAAACGACTACTCCTCATCCGCGTTTGGTGACCGCGAAGCTAACAGCAATGCCGCAACCCAGTAGCACGAGTGGCTGGTCCCGACCTTCTTCTGCTGTCCCTTCGGTTGCACCAACTCCCACTCCCGCCTCGAATCTGAAAACGTCCTCGGGGCCCGCCACGTCGTCCACCTTAGCCTCAGTTCCCCCTCCCGGAGGCAAGGTCATTCAGCCACAACCGCGAAACAGTCAAGATACCCTCTTTACCAAGAAGGACGCGTCTGGGAAGCCTGTGTGGGGGAATGCCAAAGGTGGCGCTCTTACACCCTTGAGTAGGGCGCAGGCTGACTTCCCGACTGCTGCGGAGGTCGCCCAAGGTGAGTCCTGAGCTCATGGTGGTACGTCATGGCATTTATGAGTACGATATGACCATTAGGTCGTATAGCCAAACTATCGGACAAGACTGCAGCCAATGAAGCTACTGCGCAGAAACAAGCCGCAGAAGCGGATACCTTCCGTGGTGTGCATTTGGACCCTAATGCGCACCATTGGGACGAGGTCAGTTTCATCCACGCGATATGTCGGATGGCTTGCTCAGGTAGCCCGTAGATGGAAGAGGACGACGACAATTTCCTGGATGGTGTGATTGAGTTCGGGGATGGCAGGCAATACAAAGTTCAGCCTAGTGATGCACCACGAGCGACCTCATCGCCAAAGGATGCTGCTAAGTCGCTACCACCAGAAGACGCGCATTTGTCCGGGCTCAGCGGCGCGCCAGAGCACCCTGTCAGTAAGGAGGACCGTTTCGCGGATGATTTCGACAGGAGCTGGCCTCGGTCTCGGCCAGGGAACCAGACAGCCAGCATGTCCCGAGAGCAACGTTCCAACGGTACTGCTACTTCTCCCTCCTCCACATCCGTCCACTCTCCCCAGGAAACGTCTCGCCAACTATTCAACGAGCGCTCAAATCGACTCGAGCCATACTCTCACCAGCGCCACGGAGGCCCGGGGGGACCATCGCACTTTAACCGGAGAGGTAGTCGGTCTGACTACCCAATCTCGCCTACGGAAGTACGTCGGGATGCGCCTCCCCACACGCACTCTCAAGGGGTCCATCTCCTCCAGAAGGATCCTAACGGGAGCGCTGCGGATAGCCCTACTTTCTCCCGAGCCCCTGGCGACCGCCCGCCATTATCGCCAGCAGACTCCCGATTCCGAGACCGCCAATCCGGACGGCACGACCATCCGCCATGGCAGGGAGATGGGCCACCGGGATCAGGTCACGGCCGCAACGGACCTTATAGTGCGCCTCATCCACCCGCACGACCCCGCGATGCGCCGTTCGAAGATCGCCGCGGCTCCTCAGGTCATGAACAATTCTCCGCCGCATCTGGTGTCGATAACAGGAGACAACTTCCTCCGCATCTCTCTGCGCCGCCGCCTCGCAATGTTCCACCACCACGCACCGAATCGGACGTGCCAATTGCATCCCCCGTGCCACTGCCAAGTTCGCTTCCCCAAACTGAGCCTCCTGCGCCCTCTGCTACCAGTCAGGCCGCGGAGTCCCCTGTTGCCGAGCAACCCACCGTTCCCGCGGTGGACGTTGAAGAAGTGCGCAAGGCTGCGATGCACAGCGCAGCGGAGCGCGCGCGATTGCGGCGTCAACAAGAGGAAGAAGAGCGAGAGCGAGAGAAGGAGCGCGCACGCAAGAAAGCAGCCGAGATTGAGGAGCGAATGAAAGCTATGGAGCAGGAGAAAGCCCGTGAACGCGAGAAGGCCGAAGCAGAGAAGCAGAAAGCCGATGCCCAGGTAGGTTTCGTGACTTTGTCATCCGCCAACGCGCCTTTGGAAATAACAATTTGCCCAGGTCCTCGGGATCATCGAGGAAGCCGTATCCTCCTTAAATCCACCTGAAAAGAAGGCGAACGGCCTGTCTGAAGATCAGCGCAGTACTCCCGCGCCGCCGACTTTTGGTCGCAGCACCTCGGCCAGGGGTACATCACGGATACTTCCGTCTCGGAGAACATCCTTTGGAGGAGCGGTGGCAGCTGCTTCTGGTACACCAACAGCACCCTCGCCCGCTTCAGAAGCAGACACATGGCGTCGCAAAGGGCCATTGCCTCCTCTTGCGCCCTCTGCGGTCAAGTCGGTCTCGCAAGAGCTACTTGCTGAGCCCGCACCACCTGTCCTACCTTCCCCTGTCCTGGCGCACACTGCATTGGAAGTCAAGGATGGTGAGGAGGTCGACGTAGTGGACTATGCGGACTTTGGCAAGCTCGTCGGCTCCGAGGAGCGATCGCAACCACCTGTCGTTGGTCCTACCGCCCGCCCGCCCAGAGCTGTGGCAGCGGACTTCTTCACAGAAGAACCGGTGGACAACCACCGGCCGCAACCGCCTTCGTCGAAGGCCGATGAGGGTCCATGGAGGCGACGGCCGTCTTTCGGTAATGGTCCGCCGCCACATGTCGAGAAGCCTCCCTTCGGGGACAGTATGAGAGACCCTGCTCATGTTACACACGAGCCCCATCAACCTATCGAGCATGCAGGCACAACGTCTGTCGCACCCGGTCCAGCCTCTCACGAGGAACACCACCGTCGTCTGTCGGGGCAGCATCAGAATGGGAATAACAAGCTGGCACTGGGCCCTCATTATCGCGAAGCCCCAATGTCGACCCTGAATGATGTGATGGCACGTATCAAGGGCGCAATCGACGGGATGCACCACGACGAAGAAGCTCCCAATGAGGCCTCGAAGGAGATTCCCAGAGAAGCTCCCAAGCCTACGAAGTGGCTTCCACCCGCGCTGCGACCAAGGACGGCTATTTCCGAGCTCCCTCGCCCTAGTGAGACCTTCGACGTGACCTCCACCGAGCCACCGAAATCCCCGAAGAAGGCATGGAACATCTACACTGTCAAGCTTGCTGCGGTCTCCCGCCCTGTCGCTCCAGAACCGACAACGGAGCTCGTATGGCCTCGCAACGCGCCGCGGTACCTCAGGTTGGACGTCTACTCTTGGAATCCTCCTATCGACTCCCGTTATCGGCGCGGGTCTACGGTCAACGACGTGATCTTTGGCGGCCCGCACTACTTCAAAGGCCAGCCCAAGTACGACGTATTGTTGCCACGACAGACGATCACGCGCCGCGAACAATCCCATGCTATCGAGAAGACACCAGCGTCGCCTGTGGTGAATCTGCCGACGACCCCGCCACGAATGCGTAGTACGATCACGAAGGAGACTGCAGGACCGAACTGGCGCAAGGCCCCTATATCGCCTTTGGCATCGTGGCGGCCGCTGCCCAAGGACACGACACAGGATGTAGGCCTCGACACCGTGAGCCGATCTCCGCCTCCTGAGACTCCGTCTGCAAAGCAGCCTCCTCTTCCGCCTGCAGATGCTGCCGTACCCTCCGCGGTGTCGTCGACGAGCGCATCTGCAAAGATGCCTGTTGGCTCCAATGTCGGATTCTATCGCACGGCGGCTGAGCCTCAGGCGCAAGTGCAATTCATTGTCACAAGCGAGTTGGACGGTGACGCGAAAGCCGAGAACGTGACACCGGAACCGAAGATCGCGATAGGAGAGACACAGCCCGCTCTGCAGCTTGAGACAAAGGTGGACGGCGCCGCTTCCATCGCTGTGGTAAGATCCACCTCGCCGAGGAAGGTATAGCTGAGCTGACTATTTGTCCTCAGAACGGCCTACCCACTCCGCCCCAACAGGCGCCGAGTTTAGCTTCGCAATGGTCCAAGTCGCCCAAAGTTTTCGGACTGAAAGAATCCCCGTCACGAGCACCCGATCCGGAGCATTTGAAGGCTGTCTGGTCGCAGACATCCGACAAGGCACAGAACCAGCCAATCAATTCGCTCAAGGGCATCGCGGACGACCTCACCGGGGTCCCGTTCTCGTTACAAGATGTCAAGCCGGACGATAGCGAGACTCCACCGTCATCAGTTGCTGGCGCTTGGACAAGGTCGAAGATGTCTTCTTACGACGTCACACGTGCCTTCCAGCAGGTGCCTTCATCGTCTGCCAGCTCATCTCAACCACGACCTGCTCCTATCGCTCCCACCGTTAGCACTTCGTCATCAACAAATGGCTCCGCACCACGGTACCCCGGCTTCGCCTTCTCTCCTCCGCCCGTCGGTCAACCCAGCTTCCATCCTCCTTCAGCCTACCCCGCATACTCGCCCATGATGAGTCACGCTGCAAGCCCAACAGTAGTATACTCCCATCCAAGCCCAGTGCCAAGACCAATGGTCGTCAATGGTCAAGCTCCTCCTAACTATGGACAGCCAGTTTGGATGCCGTCTATGGCTAGTCCCGCCCCACCGTCGTCCAGAGTGATGCGTTCGCCATATCCCGCTCAGCTTGTCCCCTACCCTTCCCCAGGGGGTACTATGCCCGGGTATCCGTCGCCGGTGCCCGGTATGCAACACCACCACCCACCACCGCAACAGAACGGGGCTCAGGGCCGACCGCCAGGTATGCCCTTGATGAGCCCGGTCATGCAGCACGCCATGCCTCCGATGTACGCCAGCAGTCCGGTGCTCGTCCACACCTCTCCACATGCGGTCCCAGGACAAGCGTACCCTACTCCTGGCCAGCCACCCCGTGCACCTATGCATCAACATCCAAATCCCGGTACTCCTCATATGCACCATCCGCAAATGCGCCCGCCTCCGCAGAACGGATACGCGCCTGTACCGTCAGGTTATGTCGCCCATGCCCCTCGTCCCACTTGGTGAACCATTGTACACACGCACTTCTTGCCGCACTGTATCTTACTTCACTTGTTTTCACTTGCTATCTTTCAATTATTTGCATTGTTCTCCTCGCAGTCTGAAGACGTCTGCGCACGCACATTACGTTTGATCCCGACTGCGATTATCAGCTCATTGAATACATCTAGTGAAACATAAAAATCCAGTAGAGTAGTCTACGAGGGGATATGAGCTCAAACAGCAAGCTTGACAGCGTTGTGCGCTGCCTCATCAAGATCGTCGAAGGGAATTATCTTGAGACCGGACTGGCTGATCATCCTGGAGGTAAATCGTCAGCAGTGATCACCGGAAGGATTACAGGCCAACTCACTCCTTCGCTTCCGCCTCCTTGGTGCCCTTGAGTCGTACAATGAGGGGAACCTTGAGGGACAGCTCCTTAGCAGCGTTGATGACACCCTCGGCAATGTAGTCGCAGCGCATGATACCTAGTGAATCCAAGTCAAAATGCATCGCCCAAGGGGCAACAACGCGATAGGGATGCTCACCGCCGAAAATGTTGATGAAGATACTCTTCACCTTGGGGTCGGCAACAATGATCTCGAACGCTTTCTTGACAGTCTCGGGAGTAGCACCTCCACCGACATCAAGGAAGTTAGCGGGATTCCCGCCATGCAAGGCAAGGACGTCCATGGTGGCCATAGCAAGACCGGCACCGTTGACCAGGCAGCCGACGCTGCCATCCAACTTGATGAAGTTGAGGTTGTACTTCTGCGCCTCGACCTCGGAAGGTTCCTCCTGCGAAATGTCACGGAGCGCGAATACGTCCTTCTGACGGAAGTCAGCGTTGTCGTCAAAGCCGAACTTGGCGTCCATGCTGTCCCGAGGTAAGCCAGCGATGAAGTATGTACATGCGATAACTACGCACCAAAGAACATGGCCGTCTGCAGTCTCGCCCAACGGGTTGATCTCAATCTGGGTCGCATCCTTCTCCTTGAATATCTTGTACAGGCGGATGAAAATGTCCGCGGCCTCGTTCTGCGCGCCCTCGGTCTTGAAGCCCAACTTCTTCGCGAGGTCGAGAGCCTCAGACTTGCTAAGACCGTTCTCGAAGTCGATAGGTGTGGTAATGATGGCGTTCGGATCCTTGGCAGCGACCTCCTCAATGTTCATGCCACCCTGAGCAGATGCAACGAGGACAGGACCGCCGACGTTCCGGTCGTTGAGGACCGCGATGTAGTATTCGTGGGACGGGTCCCGTCGCTCGGCCAACATGACCTAAATAGGGAATATGCGTCAGGCCAGCGCATGCGCGACCGCGGCGTAGTATCCTACAGCGTTGCAGATCCGTCCGGCTGCACCAGTTTGCTTGGTGATGAGCTTTGCTCCGATCATCTTGCTCGCTAACGCTTTGGCCTGCTCCGGGCTGAAGCAAAGCATTGAGGGCGGAGGGGAGCGAGTGGAAGAGTAGACAACTCACGTTTCGATGACATGAACACCGCCCTTCAAGCCATTGTCGAAGTGGCCCTTTCCTCGACCACCTGCAAGGACCTGAGCCTTAATTACACTGCCAGTGGAGCCTACAAACGTCTTAGGCAAGAAGCGGATCCAGAAAGCACGAACGAGTACGCACTGAGTTGCTTCGCGGCCTCATAAGCCTCCTCGGGGGTCTTCGCAGCGATGCTTTTAGGTGTGGGTATACCATACTATACACGCAACGCATGTTTGCGAATAGGCCTGACGCGTAGAGAAAGTACTAAAATACCGAGTTGAGCAACTTGACGGACTGGTATTCGTGAATGGAGAGGAAGCGCCTCTGACCCGCAGATGTGGCCTGTAACCGAGGCTCCTCAGTATAAGACAACGCTTGGAACGATCAATGGAGCGTACGCGAGCCAACGAGCCGGCTTTCCGCAGCGTTGCAAGCATTGGAATTATAGGGAGCGGAGGGCTGGAAGGAGTAGGATTGCTGGCAGTCGCAGTCGGCGGTGAACATCGTGATTGCTAGAGGCTGGCTTAGTCAGCAATCCTCCGGCTTCACAAGCATCGAGCAACCGGACTTTATCTTCATTCAGGACGACGACGACGGTTGATCTCATCTGTGTAGTCTTCCTGTCTCTCACCGCTCTGGTCTGCACGATGATCTCACTGCGGAGTAGTCCTGGAAGAAGGAACCCATCCTCGCTTTGAGTTCGGATTGCTTATATATGAGCCGTTCGAAATTGTGCGGAGGAACAGACCCAGAGGCATCTAGACGTATGTACACCGTCATCTTCCATGTATGCCAGGTCGTATACTAGCAATCCATCTACATTGCTATATCGCGGATCTATGTTTCCTTCGCATGCCAGTCGCGACGTCCTACTCGCTTGCCTTCGAAGTGTTCCCGCGCGCCGGGCCTCGTGGGGCCCGTGCATTCACCTGACGTCTGCGCCGTGGTGGCGAATGGCAGGCACGAAGTCTTCCCCACCACCACCATGTCTTCCCTCTCGTCAACGGCCGCTGCGGCTGTGTCTTTTGAGCAGTCTACCCCTCAGGATGAAGCGATTGCTCTTGCACGTTTATTGGAAACCTCTACTGCCATCCTGCGCCAAGGGGTTGACCTTGTGGAGAATGGACTCACTTCCGACGATCAACTCACGACGCACTCTAACTATATTCCTGGCTCCACAATAGGTGCGCACTATGGTCCCTTTGCCTGTCACTGTGACCTCGTGATGAATGACTTGACTTGACGGCTTACGGTAGGGAAGCACTTGAGACATGCTAAGGACCACTTCACGCTGCTCCTTGACGCCGTATCTCAGCCAACCCCTCATGTCCTGAATTATGATAAGAGAGCACGCAATACACCGATGGAAAGCAGCCGGACTGCTGCGCGGGATTCCCTAAACGATTGCATTGCGCAGCTGCACAAGGTTGTGCCGAACGCAAAGTGGTCGGGACCCATCACTCTGCATGCCGTGACGCCTTTCCCTCAGGTGATGGAGACCACATTTGGTCGGGAGGTACGCCTCCGCAGGCACATGCACTTGTGATCCCGTACTGACCTGGCACGAAGTTGTGGTTCGCTGGGTTGCATGCAATCCACCATTGGAGCATGGTACGTTGTCTCCTCGCCCCGATGTAAATATTATGCTGCTAAACACTCCGTTTAGGTTCGCGTTATTGCTGGAGAACTGGTAGGTTCCCTGCTTCCCATGAGAATGCGGACAACTCGGTGACATGTGTTACATAGGGCATCAAAATGGAGGAATCGTTCGGATTCGCGCCTTCGACGTTGGTGCACAAGGCGTCGAAACCAAAGATGTAGTTCTGGCCGTTTCTTACATTGCCCCTCCTGGATAGCGCGCGGCACGCCTCTAGGATAGATACGCTGCTATACTGGTCACTATATGTATATCCAACGGTTAACGCCGTGTTAATCCATAATGTCTTGTCCTCGGAGCTGGCTACATGTCTCGTAAGCGCCAGTGGGATCTGGTGCCGGAGCGCGCAAAATCATTGATCGGTTCGCTCTCCGGTGCGTGTCGGTGGCGCAGTGTTCGCCTTTGCCCCCGTATCGAGCAGGTGTTTGCCACCACGCCCGAGATCCTTCCTCCGAGTGCCTTGTGACAGTCCCAAATGCCTCCAGAAATGACCCCCATTGATGGAGAGAGCCAGCGCAAGAGGGTGGTGCGCCTTCTTCGATTTATTGTTCTCCCACTAGCTGTCTCATGGAACCCATCCCTAGTGCTACTTCTTCGATTCGGATGTCAGTGGCTTCCACTATGGCCCCGGTCACCCGTAAGTGTCTTTGGCACCAACTCTGTATGTTGCTGACTATTTGACATGTCTAGAATGAAACCTACACGGATACGGATGTGTCATTCTCTCGTCATGAACTATGGCCTGTATAAGCGCATGGAGATTTTCGTATGTTCATCTCATGTCAGACATTGCCATCTGCCATGCCATCCTGACCCACTATGCATGCATATAGCGAGCCAAACCGGCTACGAAGCGCGAGATGACGCAGTTTCACTCCGACGAGTATGTAGACTTCTTGAGCAAGATTACGCCATCCAATATGAACTCCTTCATCAAGGAGCAGCATAAATGTTGGTCGCTACCCAAACTCCGTAACCACCGCAGTCGGCTGACGAGTCCTTATAGACAATGTCGGTGACGATTGTCCCGTTTTCGACGGGCTCTTTGACTACTGCGCTATTTCCGCCGGCGGGTCCATGGGTACGCAAGCCCAGGCGCCTCTTTTTGCCTTCCTTGCTCATCAACCACAGAGGGCGCTGCTCGGTTGAGCCGGGATAAGTGCGACATTGCTGTCAACTGGGCTGGCGGCCTCCACCATGCGAAAAAGAGCGAAGCCAGCGGCTTCTGCTATGTAAATGGTAGGGTACATCTCCTGGAGATGGTACTTGTACTTACTTTCACGGCACCTAGATATTGTTCTTGGCATTTTGGAGCTTCTGAGGTAAGAGAAACTACTTTACATCTTGGTCTGGAGCACAATTGACGTCTGTCAGATATCACACCCGTGTGCTCTACATTGACATAGATGTACACCACGGAGATGGTGTGGAGGAGGCTTTCTATACCACTGACCGCGTAATGACTGTCAGCTTCCACAAATATGGCGAGTACTTCCCTGGAACCGGAGAGCTTCGAGTGAGTGCGGTTGTGCATTCACCTTTTAGCCACGACTGAATATGGGAATAACCAACAGGACGTTGGAATTGGGAAAGGCAAATATTACGCACTCAATTTTCCCTTGAGAGACGGTGTAACAAACGAGAACTACCAGAGCGTATTCGAGCCTGTGAGATATGACGTGATTAACTGTCTGATAAGATGATAACCCATGGAATCTACAGGTGATGCGGCAAGTCATGGAATCTTACGACCCAGGCGCCGTTGTGTTGCAGTGTGGAACGGATTCACTATCAGGCGACAAGCTAGGTTGCTTCAATCTTTCTATGAGGGGTGCGTTCAACATGCTGTCATATTACAATCACACCTGACTATCATTGAGCTGGACATTGACAGGACACGCAAACTGTGTTCAATTCATCAAGTCCTTCAACAAGCCTTTGCTCCTCGTTGGTGGTGGAGGCTACACCATGCGCAACGTCAGTAGATGTTGGGCGTACGAAACAGGATTGGCAGCGGGCGTCGAACTTGGAAAGGGTACGACTCGCCTTCGTCTGAGTGCCTTTCTCGGCTTGACTGCGCGTGCCTTCAATTCCAGAGATCCCCATGAACGAGTATTACGAGTACTTTGGTCCAGATTACGAACTAGATGTGAAGGCGTCAAATATGGACGATATGAACTCCCCCGAGTACCTCGAACGCGTCAAGGGCATCGTTCTTGACCACTTGCGCCAAGTTGGTGGTCCTCCAAGTGTACAGATGCAAGGTATGTACCTGTAATCAATCGACCTTAAACAACTAAGCCTAACAGAATCACAGACGTCCCTCGACTACCAATAGATGACATCGTTGAAGACGACCCTGACGAGGACATGGTCGACCCCAACGACCGGCGACCGATGCGTCTTCTCGACTCACGGAGACAGAACGATGGCGAGTTCTCCGACTCAGACGACGAGGGTGAAGGGGGGCGCCGCGACCATGCGAGCAACAAAGATCGCGACACGGTCGGCACGGGGCGACGGTTCGGTGCTGCCGCGGTCGGCATCATGAGTACTGGAACGACGCACGGCGTGGGGCCCAGTGTCGCACCGCCGGTCGCCGGTAGTTCCGCGGCTCCTCCTGCGGTCTCATCGGAACAGTCGGATATGGATGTGGACGAGGTCCCTCTCGCGCAAGCTGCCAAAGCCAAGGCGCCTTCGAGTAAGGCCAATGGGACGGCGGCGTCGGGGGAAACGTGAGGTGGGAGCCGCCTGTAGGCGCGAGGGCATTCGTTTCATCCAATGCTGTCTATACTACAGCTGTAATAGTATCGCTTTTCGTTCATTGAACTTGCATACCACTGGATCTTCGCATAGTTCTCGCCATTCGGAAGTAAATGGGATTCTGTACAACCTGGTCCAGGACGCGATGTCACGTGCCCTCAAATGAGTAATGCCGCGCCGGACGCGTCGCGCAGGTGGCTCCACTCCGGTACCGCGACCCTGTCTGACACTATTTATTTTCTTCGGCACTATCATCCTCTAGAACAGAGAAATCCCATGGAGTCCGTCGCATCTAGCTCGAGCTCGCGCCTCACGACGCCTCCTCCCCGGGAGCTCCAGGGCCTGGACTTGACTCCTGAGCAGGTGAAGCGTATCGAACTTAACCGTCTCAAAGGTGTGTGTACCTTGTCGACCACTTGTACCGGATTTGCTCATAACGATCTAGCCAAGGCTAGGCAGCGTGAGCGCGAAGAGCAAGCGTCTTCTTCGTCTTTTACGAACAAGAATGGCAAACGTCCACTCGGTGTCACCCCCGCCACGTCCACTTCACCCACCAAACCTGCGCCCAAGCTGAAGCGGGATTCTCGTCTGGGGAAATACTTCGAATATGACCTATCCAAGATGGTCAACTCGAAGGGTGGTTTCTTGGTTGAGGATGGCAAAGAGGTAGACCAAGATCTCCGCGCAAAGGAGAAGGAGCGGGAGCGACAGAGAGCGCAGCAGAACACTGAACCTGGTGAGTTCCATGTTCCCCGGAGGCGCAACAGTAGCAGCTTACGGTTTATGCAGCTATGTTCCTGGATTCGAGCCTCAATCCTCGCTGCCAGGAATGCAATTCAATGGACATTGATCAGCAGTTCCGAAAGGTCTTTCATTGTCTTGTTTGCAACAAATGCAAGAATGAGAAGCCCGAGAGATACAGTCTACTCACGAAGACTGAATGCAAGGAGGTAAGCTTGTCCATTCGGATTGCGTTCCTTTACTAAATGGGGGCGACAGGATTATCTTCTGACCGATGGTAAGTGCCTGTTGGCCGCTGACTGCTTGACGACTGAGGCCATCCTCGCAGCGGAACTCCGAGATCAGGAGCTCATGCCCCATCTACTGAAAGCCAATCCACACAAATCGACATTTGCGAACATGATGCTCTTCTTGAGATACCAGGTTGAGGACTTCGCATGGAAGAAGTGGGGCTCGCCGGAGGCTCTCGACGCTGAATGGCAGCGGCGAGTGAACGAGAAGAAGAAAAAGAAGAACAAGAAGTTCGAGGAAGGTTTAAAGGAGTTGCGCCGTCGTACCCGAGAGACGGTGTGGCAAAAACGACAAGACCAGGAACACAAGCACATGTTCGGAGGCGTAGAGAGGGGACCGAACGGCATCGGTCAACAGATATGCCATAGCTGTGGCTTCACAATAGACGTAGAAGAGTTTTGACCATGCTAATTACCATGTGATGATTCTATTTCCTCCTTGCCTCCTTCCAATGAGTCCATATTGCCATGCGTTTCTACGCTGCTTACGTGTTAGCCCGCATGCTTATATGCTATCCCCGAACATGCTTAGAAATGGTACCACTACCGTTGTGAGCCGATCTTGCTCCTGCTCCGGCATCCGGCAGCATGACGGCCGGATTCATTCAGCAGAAGACCATACCGTCTGGCAACTTCCAACCGTTGACTATCAGGTTCGGAACCGGCTATGTACCGCAACAGCACAAATCCCACTGCATGCAGCAATACTATAATCCCGTCGCCGACCAACACATATAAGAACTCATCGACTTTGTCTATGGTCCGCCGCAATCCTTGACTTGTATTCGCCCCAAATGGTCGCAGTCGATTCACCAGAACACGAACATATCTCCGAGGCCTTGGAGGTCGAGCAGCTGGACGTGAACTTATTCAGGTCGAGGACATTGTACCTTCCGTTCAGATCAAGGGGTGTGTTCGGTGGGCAAGTCATCTCGCAATCACTAGTGGCGGCCACCAGTTGTGTAGATCCATCATACAGCTTACACGTACGTCCATGGCATACGACCTTCTTTTCACCGTCCTCACCTACTCTTTGGCCCACGACACGACCAGTCCCTGCACGTGAGCGGCCTTTGCATCGACTCTGAGCTATTATTCCTCACGTTAGGCCTACAGTGCTACTTCCTTCTCGGTGCCTCCCCCGCCTTCCCTATAGTCTACCATGTCGACCGCGTTCGCGACGGACGCTCCTACGTCACTCGGAGCGTACGCGCTGTGCAGCGTGGGCGGGCCGTCTTCATTATGATGTGTTCCTTCCAGATCCCGGAGCCGCGGCAACCGACGTTCCAGTTCCCCATGCCTCTCGGTGTCCCCCCGCCGGATGCTTGTGAAAGCATAGAATCCCATTACGAGAAGGCCTTCAGGGAAGAAACAGATGAAAAGGTCAAGGAGGTCTGGCGCCTCAACTTGGAAGTAAGTCCTGTTGACTTCTAGCACATGGTCTGCGAGACGTTTCGGAGGCTCAGACTTGGTCCCCAGGAGCGGGTGCGTAGCCCCATCGAGGTTAGGCTCGCTGGGGTGCGAGAAACCACAGACGGAATACCAACATTCATGTACTGGCAAAAGGCGAGGAACACGCCAACGCGCTATGATCCCGCCTTCCAGAAAGTATGCGGTCCTTCACCTCTTGTTCGACTTGCATTCACCTGGGACGCAGTGCATCCTAGGCTACATCTCAGATTCCCAGTTGTGAGCAGGCACATTCTCTGCTCCAAGTGGAGGCCCCTGATATTCCTTCAGCATGTGGAGTATCCGTCGTACGCTTGCTATACTTCACCGCGGCTGCGATTCCGACGCGAAGGTCGTTATGCAGGTATGCACCCACGTCTCTGGACAACCACAACATGAGTTAAATTGTGTCAGACTTCTCTCGATCACAACATAACCTTCTACGAGTAAGCATTCAACAACACTAACATATGGAGGATCATGGCTCACGTCAAGCAGTGACGACTTCGACTGTGGAGACTGGATTTTGTATGTGGTAAGTAGTACGTCCAGAGATCTCTGCTCTTGCCCTCAGCTATGATCGGGATCAGGTCATCAGCGAACGAGTCGCTAGTGGGCGTGGGTCAGTACATGGTCGGGTAAGTGTCGACTATACGATATTTCGTGTAATCTGCGTACGTTTACATCTTTTGCAGATGTATACACCTAGTGGCACTCTCGTCGCAATTTCCAACCAGGAGGGTCTCTTGCGAGTCGACAGCCCGTCTTTGAACACTTCTTCCAAGCTTTAGAGATCTACTGAAACTACTGGATGTGACCGTAGCCAATGTCTTTTCACGCTCTTAACACAACTTCTTCGTCGATGTTCACGTACATGTGGCATTGCGTACGGTCGACATACAGAGTGTAGAGCCGAAGAAGCGACAACACTACAATAAGCATTCAAAGATGGAAACACTCGCCGTAGAGCTTGAGACTGAGGAATTGGGCTCGCCGGAAGCTCTCGACATTGAATGGCAGCGGCGAGTGGACGAGAAGAAGGACACAAAAGGTTAAGAATTTCAAGGAAGTTCTATAGGAGTTGCGCCGTCGGACCCGAGAGACGGTATGGCAAGAACGACAAGACCAGGAGCACAAGCATATGTTCGGAGGCGTAGAGAGGGGACCGAACGGCATCGGTAAACAGATATGTCGTAGTTGTGGTTTCACAAAATAGGGGTGGTCAGAGTGCACGATTCTGTGCGATCCTGGAGTGATTCTGGACGACGATTCTGTTGCTCGCAATTCTGCGTCGACTCCCTGCATATCATTTGTCTCCCCGTCTATAGCCCATACGGTACATAGTTCGTGTGAAGATTCACGTGAGAGGATAGTTGCATAGGAACCCCATGAGGTAACTACTAACTGTGTCGAAAGTCGTCGACTCTTCACAGAAAATTTGCACCCGTAGTAGCCATTTCGCCTTAAGGTTGCTCAATTTTGGTTAGAAAAAATGCATAACTGATTCGTCTTGACCTTTGTAAATATGTAGGATGTTGAAGGGCGCGATAGAGGCCGAGCCCAATGGTGGACGTTGAGTATAGAGCTAAGAAGGGCCGCTCAATTCTTGAGGACGCAGGACGCAGGACGCACTCAGAGCTCGTTTGATGGATGTGATGCGCTAGCCGAACCTGCCGCATAGGGCAAGGTACCAACCTCATTTCTCGTGCCCGTTGTTCTCCAAGAGGTCTGTCGTGTCCCAAACCTCACATAAAAATATGAACCGCGAGTATGTTGAAGACGAAAGCTTTCCGCGTCGATTGACACTACCCTTGAGGCACTTTGTGAGGGGGGAGGAGTGTTATCGTCGCTCGAGGGGTTTCGAAGGCGAGCTTGTCGGCTAGTCTCGCTTAGCCCATCACCTCCATCAATGGCCTCTGAACGCGTCCTGCGTCCTGCGTCCTCAAGAATTGAGCGGCCCTAGAAATGCAGGATCGCAGTACCAGGAACGTGCCTTTGATCGCTTTGCGACATGGGGTGGTCAAAGTATAGGTCGATTTTGATGCGATTCA